TGCACAACATCTTTTTCGTCCCAGAGCTTCCACGATGCCCCAGCCGGCAGATAGACCTTGACCGTGCGCTGACCTGGCTCCAACACAGGCACAACCAAGTACTTCGACCCAAACATATACTGGGTCTCAACCTCCCAAGCCCGCTCATCCGACGGGAATTCATAAAACAAAGTTCTCATCACAGGGGTCCCCTTCTCATGAGCCTCCCGCATCAATCCCCGCGTGTAGTCACGAAGCTGCTCACGAATCCCAATATACCGTTTACAGATTTCATAGACCTCATCTCCATATGACCAGATCTCATTATCCGCCCCGCTAGCCGTCGGCTGTCCAGCCGGCTTCGGCTCACGGTCACCATGCAGCCGCATAACCGGACAGAACGTTCCCCACTGGAACCATCTCGTGAACAGCTCGCGGAACAGAGGGTCATCTGGGTTGCCTCCGTGGAAGCCGCCGATATCTGTCGTCCACCACGGGATCCCGGCTAGTCCCATGTTCAGGCCTGCGGCGAGTTGGTTGCGGAATGAGCTCCACGACGACGCGATGTCGCCGCTCCACACGAGCGCTCCGTACTTCTGGCTGCCTGCCCACGCGCACCGCAGGAGGTTGACTATGTTCGTCTGGCCCTCTGCGGTCATGCCTTCGTAGAAGCCCCGTGCGTACTCTTTCGGGTATGTGTTTCCGATCTGCAGGTTGCTGCCTGCGTGGTAGCGGTAGATGTCGAAATCGTAGATCGAGTACTCGGGCTCGGCTTCGTCGAGCCAGAATGTTTTGATTCCTATGTCGTAGTAGTTCTGCTTGGCTTTGCTCCAGATGAACTTCCGGGCTGCTGGGTTCGTTGCATCGAAGTGTGTGATGTCGCCGTCGCATTGCATTGCTACGCGCATGCCGCGGTCGTGCCGGATGAGAAGCCCTTGTTCGAGCATCTGTGGGAAGTTCTCCGATGCATTTTCAACGGTAGGCCAGATGGAAACCATGAGCTCGACTTTGAGCTCTTTAAGCTCCTTGACCATAGCCTCTAGAATCGGACATTGGCTGTCAGTGGGTCATGCCATCGAAGCTATGCAAAATAGAGAATGATAACTCACCTGGGTCTGGCCAGAACTCCGGATCAAAGCTCCATTCTCCTTGGTGCTTCCAATGGAAGAAGTCGATGACAATCAAATCCAGAGGAACCTCGCGACGCCGGTATTCGCGCGCAATATTGAGCAACTGCTCCTGGTTTGTGTAGCGGAGTTTGCACTGCCAGAAACCAAGACCATATTCTGGCATCATAGGAACGTAACCAGTCACTTTGGCATAGGCTTCTTCAATTTCCGCGGGGGTATCACCCGCCACAACCCAGTAGTCCAATGCCTTAGTCGAGTACGCTTCGAAGCTCATGACATTTGTTCCCAGAACCGCCCGTCCGATGCCAGGATTATTCCAGAGGAAGCCGTAGCCGAGCGACGAAACCGCAAAAGGGACACTGGCCTGTGAGTTGCGGTGCGCCAGCTCAAGGTCTGCGCCTTTAAGGTTCAGGTAGGGCTGCTGATACTGTCCCATACCGAAGATCTTCTCTTTATGATCGAGAGATTCGAATCTCATGGTGAGGTGGTAGTCGCCGCCTAGGATCGGACGCAGCTCGCGTGCTTCGACAGTCAACGCGCTGCACTTGGGGTCCATCGGGTCCTGGCGGTGGCGGGCATACTCCTCAAGGAGTTTGTTTCCCTTCGAATCGTAGATGATGATCTTGCCTCGGCGTGACACAGTTGCTTTGATTTTGCCGTTGGTGATTGTCGCGTCTTGGTCGGCGGATATCTCGATGCTTGGGCTTGGGCTGGATGGCTTGGAGGAGAGGGCCCAATCTCCCGTTGGAATGGACGCCTGTTTAGTTGCACGCACCCGGAAGGCATTATCCCCCCCATGGCTGCACCCAGAGGATGTGGTCGTCGAAACGGAAGACGAGCTTGTCGTCTTCGGCGTAAAGCATTTTGGTACACAAGATTGTTAGCAGTGGTTAATCTGCTGATTTCTGGTGGGAAGAAAAGGCGATTTGTGCTAGACAGATGAGCGGTCTAGTCCAATGAGTCAGGTATTAAGTATTGAGGGAACGCATGGTACCCCTCATCATGCAATCCTGATGCTGTGACATGGCTATTATCGCAGATCCACTGCATGAAGTACCATTAACAACACTCATTTGTCGAGTGAACTTCCAAGATGTCTCGGAGGCACTGAGGTGGAGATGCGCATCTTTAAACGCCCCATGATTATAGGGTATCCGTCACTAGTTTAGCCTAAAATCGACCTTCTAGATAGACCAAGGACACAACTCCGTGTCTTCCGAAAAAGGAAATTTAGATCATCTATAGTTATAGCGAATATTGTCTACCCATCTTTACAATTAATAGGTCATGGATTATGAAGATCAATATTACTCACACACAAATCAGAACACGTCCGTCTCGCAAACATTGCTCCAATAACAATGTTCGATCAAACGCGTAAATCAAATAAAGAGAAACGGTTTGTCCTTCTAGATATTAGCCAGCTAGTCTCGAAGCTACGGGACAAGTAAGCCTTTACTATCAACTATACATCTTAGCATATACTTGCTCTCTGGCGAACTCGGTAGCTCGGATAATTTAATTTGAGTGAGCTATAAGAAAGAAGCTTAGGAAAAGTAGTCTGTCTCTGATAGATACTATGGACGAGGACCTGGAAGAGCGAAATTAGGGAGTAGATGACGGGGTTAGGATGGTCTATCAGCTTCGTTGGAGAATGGTTTCCACCTTCTTGCACCGTATATTCTTTTGATGTATTGCCATGGCCAAAATTGACTCCCCTTTGTCCTCAATTAGACTTTTTCTGGTGCCTATTGTAAGCCTACACAGCACTTCCGAGACATACTTTGCTGTCCAAGACACGATGTTACTATTCATGACCTCCACCGCTTCTTTGTTTAAATATCCGTCAATTATAAAAGCAAGCAGCCTTTAGTTCTTCGAAATTTGTTGTCAAGCCCAGAATTCAACAATAATAGCTGTTTGGACCCGTGAACGTCCATGGGAGATCCCCAAGTTGTCCAGCCCTGGAGATATTGTCGGATGACTGATGTTCCCCGGAAAAAGGACGCTATTCCTTATTAGGACAGAGAGTCAAGCTACCAGCGGGCACGGTTTTCACCTTGCATTGCTCAGTTCTATCCCCTCATTTGTCAATTCCATTCGAATTTTCGTTCGAACTGTTAGTTGAGATCCATTTTGAACCTTCGATTCATCCAGCGAACCCCAAATCATGGCATTCAGCGGGGCCGCCTCAGCTCCTACCGCGGACATGGACATCGACATGGACCTTGACCTAGGACCAGAGCTCGAGCCCGAGCCCGAGCCAATTCAGGTGGTGAGTGTTTCTTTTGTCTTTTAAGTCGTAATCGATTGTCGACTAACATGTGTCGAGTGCTAGGAAACAACCTCCAACGTAGAAGCCACCGTCGACCCCCTCACCGATGAAGCGGTCTACGAAAAAGTGCATATTCGCGGCGTCGATGAATTGACCACCGAAAATATCAAACAATATGCTCGCGAATGCTCTGGGCAGGAACCAGTGCGCATTGAATGGATCGATGACACATCCGCCAACATCATCTTCCCCGACGCCGAAATTGGCCTCCAAGCTCTCACAGCTCTCACCCAAGTCGCCGAGGAAGAAGACGCGACTACCTTGCCACCGCTGCGTCTCCGATCGGCGAAACTGCTCTCCTCCCACCCTGATTCCGTCCTCCAAGTGCGATCGGCTGTCAAGTCGGACCGCAAGCAAGCACGCGCTCATGAGAAGAGTCGCTTCTATCTCATGCACCCGGAGCACGATCCCAGAGAGCGCCTGCGACAAGAGTTTGCGGATAGGAGGCGTAGCGACGATACAGGGGATGGCGATTACAGGCGGCGCAGATTCGACGACCGGGAGCACCGACGCCGCCGAGACCGCGACGAAGATGGCCACTTCAACGCCGACATGTATGATGATAACGTTGGCTCTGAACCCGAGCGCGCTCGGGGAAAGCCGAGAGGTCGTGGCCAGAGAGATCTGTTCCCAGAGGACGATAGCCGATCAAGTGGACGTCTCCGAAATCGCAGTGCATCTCCTGGACGAGACACGCTGGAGGAAGAACTTCGAGACCGAGGTGGTCGTGATGATAGCAGGCGGTTCCGTGAGAGATCGCCTCGATACATTCGTAAGAACAAGGATAAAGAGCTTTTCCCAAGCGCGGGCGCGGGCGCAGGCGAGAGCGAGCCAGGAACCCGCGAGCTTTTCCCAAACAAACCCACATCCAGCTACATCAAGAAGGAGTTGCTGCCTAGCAAGTCTAGTCACCATCGCCGGTCAGACGCATTCGACGCTTCCTCTCTGCCAGGCGCCTCTGAACACAGACGCCACAGCAATATTGAGCTCTTCCCTGATTCCACCAACAATGGCGCCCGCATTCGCGGAGCTGCCACAGCCACCGAGGATCAAGGATTTGCCATCCGGGGCGGCTCGTCGAACGGCATGTCGATTAAAGGTAGAGGTGCGTCGGTGCGCGAGCTGTTCCCTTCCAAATACGACAGTCACACCAACACGAACGCTGGGAAGGAATTGTTTTCCGATACCCTGGAGGGACGCGGCGGTCGCCGTCGTCGGGCTGAGGATATGTTCAGCTAGATAGACTAAGTGATAGGCTGAGAACTTCTGTATCTGCTTAATTTGTAAGGGGACTTCACGGGAGCATGATGGATATCCGGCGTTCGCGAATGGGATGGGGAAATCAATTGTCTGATAAAAATTCATAATGATACATACTCTACTCTGCTGAAAGGTGGAATACCCGCGTTTTTCTGTAATCTCCAATTAATGACTGGACTGAAGATGTAGAGTAGGCATATTTATGAGGAGTCGTAGTTAGGAATATATAGAAGCATGGCGTGTGCCGCGACTAACCTCTCCCCAACCAAAATCTCTCCCAGGCATCAGATGCAAGCATGGCTCCCTCCAAAACAGTAGATGCACTATCAAGTGCTATAGTTGCTCGGTTCTTGCGCAGCAATAATTATTCCGAGACATTAAAGGCTTTTCTCCGCGAGGCTGACCTTGCTCCCGACGTGGGGCAGACCTCTGGCGATGACACCAACAACTGGACCATCCAAAGCCTGCTCGAAGAGAAGAACACCTATGACCAAACCGTGAATTTTGAAAGATATGGCGAGGATCATCAGCAGTCGGCTTTATGGAGCGAGCCAGGTGAGTTTTATTTTGGCACGGCAGTCCAAGGTCATCGTGACTCGGCTTTGCATGTCAAGCTTTATCTGGGATTCCTTTTGTTAGTTATCTGACGTACCCTTAGCACCATCAAGGCCTGCTCTCATCCAGACACCGACATCATCCAATATTCTTGCTGCGTCTGTAGAGCAATGGCAGAAACCCCGCGGCGATGCCGATGAAGCTGCCGCAGACCCTGCATCAGCGCAGTCTTATATCATCTCCACGGGTGCAGATAGACAAGTCCATTTACTGCAGTCAGCAGAAGGCAATGCGGTTATCAAGTCATTCTCGGGTCTCTCTGATTCACCAGTTCTATCATTTATCTCGATCCTGCAGGGCCGGTACATCCTCATGACCAACATGTCCGGCCAGCTGCTCCTACAGCATGGATCCCAAACACTGGATAAGAGGAAGGATCATGCAAAGTATGCAGTGAAGGTGGTAGCCTATGAAGACAAGGCTGATCCTTCCAAGTGGTGGGTTGCCACCGCCGGGTGGGACGAGTGTGTTTTATTATATTGCCTCAATATCCCCAACGAAGCAGACGCACCAGATCTCAAGATTGGTGAGCCTGTTACACGCATTAAACTCGTTTCAAACCCGGAATCACTGCTGTTCGTCCCACATGTGGACAACAACGAGCCGCTCCTCCTCGTCTCGCGCAGAGACTCGACTTATATCTACTACTACCAGGTGGAAGCAGCATCGGAAGAAACAGATACTCGTGAAAATGATGGAGCCGATGCTGAGAAGTCCCGACGCGAAGCTCGTCTCCTTGGACAGCAGAACCTGGCCCCCCCATTCCAATGCCTGGGTTGCCTTCTCGCCGGCCCATATGGCGCTCAGTCCACACGACCCTGGCCTCCTGGCTGTGGCGACGTCGACATTGCCCCATATGAAAGTGATCATCGTGCGTCTGCTATTCCCTGCAATGAAGACAGCGCCCGCTTCAGAGGACCCAGTGACACAGGCATCTCAAGCACTGGCAACACTGGAAATACAGAACCGCGAGGATGCAGCTATCCTCGTGCAGGCAAACACCTTCGCGCCGCAAACTGCTTACTCCACACCGCAGGTGGCATGGAGGCCTAATGGGTCTGGGGTCTGGGTCAATGGAGATGATGGTGTGGTTCGTGGCATCGAGACGAAGACGGGGAAGATCATTGCTACATTGAAGGGTGCTCATGAACCCGGCTCTAAGGTGAGAACTGTTTGGTCGGGATATGTTGCTGTACCTCAGGAAGAGGGTGACCCGATCAGGGAGGAATGGGTTATCAGTGGTGGGTTCGATAAAAGATTGATTGTTTGGAAGGTATGACCTCTGTAAACAAACTCAATATATGTTATCATCGATGTGGAAGTGAATGTAAAGTAGACTGAATGAATTGATTCGAACATGTCTAAGTATAAAAATGACTGTTACTGCTTACGGGATGTAGCCCCCCTGACCATGAACCCCGTCACGATCGAGAAGAATCAAGACAGGATATATAGCAATCGGGAACTTGGGGGTTATTCTTGGCACGTTAAGAAAAATCCTTCAGCAATCGCGCATGAGAAAAAGCACGCAGCTGTACACACATATGCCGGACGGGAACTTGGGGAAAATGGGGAGAGACTAAGCTCAAGGGTCGCAACGCAGACAAAGTCGAGCCCTCGAGTCTGGAAGGAAAAATAGAAGGAAACAGCAGAAGAGATCCGCTTGGGAAAAGGGCACCGCTGTGCACATCGAATTAAGCCTGTTGATTTATCGATATCAAACAACTCGAGGCTCGTCGCGCAAGGAATAAGCAAAAACCAGGCCTATTCGACACAGCGGACCGTCCTTGATCATCGCACACGTTATGTTCTCTGGACCTCTTGCACGCTCGAGTTGCATTTCATGTTTCCCATTTTTTTAAGACTGAGTTCATAATCTATGCGACCTCACGCTTGCCCTCCTTGCGCTCCTTCTGTTCAATGGGTCAGTATTTCGTGTCATGGGTGGTGGTGGATGTTGGGTTCGGGTTGTGGTCAACGTACAAGGGCCTTCATGGTGCCGTGGAGAGCGTGACGGTGGTTGCGGCGGAACTTGGGGTCAACACCCTTGAGGGAGGGGTAACGGTTGGTCTTGGGCTTCTTGATACTATTCGAGAAGATATATCAGCGATTCGGTTCTGGTTGGGATGGTGTGATGTATGGTGGTCGAATGCAGTAGTTCGAAGAGATTGCCCGAGCGAATATTCAAGTCGTAACCTCGAAATTATCACCCCGGATAAAACCATTCGCACACTAGCTTTTCCACCATTTCCATTGAATCGATTGAAAAGGTCGGGAAAGTGGAACAGTAGGATGATCGAGGAAGTTCAGGGGTAGACGTACCCGTTACGGTGAGCCTTCTGGCTGTTGTGGTGCTGGGACGCGTTCTTGGACTCTGTGGGTGAAAATCATGTCAGCGCCATGGCCTTTTTTTCCCTGCCTCGCCAGCTTGCAAAATAGCCAAGGTCATAGGGTCGTTGCAAAAACGTACTGGCCATCTTGTCGGATGTTGTCGCTGATTGACGGTGTGATGGATGGAGAGGAGTGGGAATAGGGACGTCAGGCCTAGGAGGGTCGGCTAGGGCTCGTTCCGTTTGTGGGATCTCGCTTATCGGGCGGTGTACATACTAAAGCATCATTACATAGCTTGTTACCTGCAAAATTGTCCTAAACAACGTCATAATAGCTTGATATAGTATCGTATCCTTATTGCATTTTATTAGATTATTCTAGATAAATCAAAATTTGTGCCTCTTTTAGCTTGCTTTTGGCAGTTCTTCAGTCTGCGACTTTTTCTCACCCATTCTGCCACTCTCATACACGTGACCTTGATTTATATACATCACGTGATGTATATATACTTCCTATCTCTAAGTAAAGTACAGCTCCAGGGCTGTCCGGGTATGAAGAAGACTTTATTTCAGAGGCCACATAAAACAGCAAGTCTAATACACAGATACCACGCGCTGCGTCTGATTACCAGCGGGGCCTTCCTGACCAACTTGGTCTCGGCATTACAGTTTGGAATCGAGCTCCTCGCAAGGACCTAGACCCCAAAATGGACGGATAATGAAATATGTAGAGCATTAAATGGAATAATCTGTTTTCTTCTCTTGTTCTCGTAGAAACATGCGTAGAATGACCGTAGTAACAAAGCTCATACTGGCCGTAGTCCGGCCGTTGAATTCCCGTACCACGTGACCAGACGCTAGGGAACAACCGGCATTCCGACTTCGACCTTTGCAACGCAACTTCAAGAGGGATAATCCAGCCTTTGCACGTCATCCACCACTGCAAAATGAGCTCCTTCCGCTTCGCTCGCTCCGCCCTCCGGGCTCGCCCTTCTTTCCTCGGTGCTCCCGTTCAGCGCCGTGGTTACGCTGAGGCCGTCGCCGACAAGATCAAGCTGTCCCTGACTCTGCCTCACCAGGTGCGTGAACGAACTCCGGCCGGCATCCCAACATCGTAACCTAAGTACTGACTTGATAATTGATTGACAGACCATCTACCGCTCGACTGGCGTGTATGTTATGCTTCCACTTGCACCCGTGTCGACGGTGCCTACGCCCTTTCCGTAAATACTGACGAACCTCCGCGATTACAGTACCCAGGTCAACATTCCCGCCGCCTCCGGTGAGATGGGTGTCCTCGCCAACCACGTTCCCTCCATCGAGCAGCTCAAGCCCGGTCTTGTCGAGATCCTCGAGGAGAGCGGCGCCACCAAGCAGTACTTCCGTACGTCCGACCCTCGCGCCCTGAGACATTCCGCAAATCTGGATTCTTCTCAATTGGGATGATCAACTAACAATGGTGTCCCTGTATAGTGTCCGGTGGCTTCGCCGTTGTCCAGCCCGACTCCCAGCTCAGCATCAACGCTGTCGAGGGCTTCCCCCTCGAGGAGTTCAGCGCCGATGTAGGTTATTTTCCTTTGCAACGTTGCGACTTCAGCTAACCGGAACTTCCTTCCTAGTCCATCCGCGCCCAGATCGCCGAGGCCCAGAAGATTGCCAGCGGCAGCGGCAGCGAGCAGGATATCGCTGAGGCCAAGATTGAGCTTGAGGTATGGACTCTTGGGGACTACTGGACCGGTTAAATACTGACTTCTTCTTGAACAGGTTCTCGAGACCCTGCAGGCCCACGTCAAATAGACTTGATGTACATATCCATTATCGCCCTAACTATGAACCTGTAGAATTATAACAATTCTCATTTCCCTCTAATTATACTTGCTTATTATATTATTTCTTGTGTCTATATCCTATGCAGGTAGGGTGGGAGCGCACCTTCCAAGCTTGGAAGTTAAGCAAGCACCTGACTTGCCCGTCTCATCTCCCAACGACCATCGACTTTCATCCTCAGCTGACCGTGCAGTCATGGCATTCGCCAAATCACTCAAATCAGACCCCCTTGGCACCGTGGATACTCGACTGACGATGACGGACTCACCTACGGATGCCTTCTTTTCACCTCTCTTTGAGCCATTCACTGGGTTTGCGCCATTCACCCGGTTTGATGGAACCGACAAACGACAGCCAGGCAGCCAAACAGAAGCAGAAGCGAGCCCAAAGCAAGCTCACCGAATCCTCGAACTTCGCGAGTCATTCCGTGGTTTCGATTCCAGCCGAAACTGTCCTCGACTTGAGCTGGATGTCGCCGTGGATAAGTATCACACTCTTGACGGCCTTGCTGAACCCTTGAATCCCCAAAACACGCCCGCATCAAATAGCGAACGAGGAAGCACAGAGGAATCTACTGAGTCATTTCGTCGCTATCAAATGGAGAACCTACGAGGAGTGCTACCCCCGAGGCGGAGGAGTTCAATTTCGATTGCTTCCAAGATTCGCCAGAGGCAAGCTTTGCTTGTCAAGACGATGAAAGCGAATCCCAGAAACCCTCAAAGTTGCGACGCCTTTCCGTTGGCCGCCGACAGTGGATCAAACCTCCCATCACTGCCCTGGCGAATCATCAGCCAGGCACAAATGCCGGTAACTTCAAGAACTCTAGCAATAATCCAGGTTCACTGATGCGATGCGTTCGATTTTCTCCTCCTGCGGCCTCTCTGTCTCCGCCTTCTCGTGCGGCACGTCGTCCCCTACCTTCGATCGAAAGAAGCCAGGATTACGTTGCTTCCCATCGACAGAAGAAACAATACCGGAAATGGAAGGTCGCTGGTCGCGCGTACTCTCGAAAGAGCTCACCATACAACAGCCCTACGAAAAGAACGCAGTCTCTGTCAGCTGGCATCCCAAAGAACCATGATATGCGAAACTCGTCCCTTTTCAGCTTGTCTGATCGAGAAACACGTCAAACGGCGTTCCCCACTCGTGTTGTCTCGGGTGCTGATGCCTGGGAAGTGAGAGCCAGCAACGTGGTCCACACTCCAGTTGCAAATGACTCGAAAATTGCGGGTAAAACCGAGAAGAACATCCCTGCTTTTTTTGCTGTTTCCTTTTCGCTTTACAGCATCCGACCTGCGCCCAACTTGTCCACTGAGAAAGCCCCAAAGTATGCTTTTAAATTTCGAATAACTCGAACTGATCTCCCTCAACAACCTTCTCCGCATTTCCCTACCAAATTCGACAACATAACTTGCCACCCGATCATTGATGACTTGCTATTCCATACCTGCTTCATCGTCCCTGCGCTCGTTGTGCTGGTCCCTCTCAATGTCTTCTTCGTTGCAACATACCCATTGACCAACACCCGAGTCGGCGCTGTAATGCTCTACCTGGTCAGAGCTTTACTATATCTACTGATGGACATTATCATTCTTGTGTTGTCCAAATTCGGAGTGTCTTGCGGATGCCAGTGGTATCCAGACACCGGCCATTCGGGCTGAGTAGCTACACCCTTGCGGTGGTGAGCAATTGAGATTGGACAAGATCGGGGGCGACATGCGCATCGGCGAATTCCGTTCGTACTTTCTCCAAAGACAATTCGTATGCATCATTATGCTACTGGTATCTCCATGTGTCCCGCAAACGTGCTTAGTCTTGCTCTATTCGATACATTTTCGTGGCTGAAAGCCGAGTCATGAGTATGAATTAATCGGATTTAATGGCAGGTTCCAAGACCGTAAAGTACATTGCTCAAAAGAGCGCTGTAGCCGTACGCAATGGGCTTTATCCCAAGAACATATTCATCATACCTAGTCCGGGGAGGCTGGTTCTGACGGATTTCGATATTGCAAACCTCCCCAAAGAAGGAACTCCAGGACCCGGCCATTCGGATACAGGCCTATAAGTTTGAGGTTGTAATTCTCACAAGTATTGGAAGCATTTCGCTTTTTTTATACCCTCGGCTTCGATGGATCGTTGGGGATGTTGGATGCCTGAGGCATCACAATGTGATAGAACCTACATAGTTTGGTAGCTCTCTCTCCTCTCCTTCTCTTCCTCCTCACCGTGCGTGCGAGACAGTCAATACATACAGTGTTTTCTCCATTGGTTCTCCATTGTATCGCATCTCTATCAAGGTGTCATTGAGAAGCTATCGTGATCAAGCGTTGGGACGGCTAACAATGTTTGTAAAGGAGATTAAGAAGGGACGAGACAGGGGCGGGTACCATTTTAATTAATTCCGAGAATCAAAGAGCTGTCAATGAATACATACAGGAAGGAAGCTATCGACAGAGTAGAAGTAACAATCAACCAAAGAATTTGTACCATATCTTGTCTTATCACAGTAACAAGCCAATTCTCTCATCTAATTCTCACGGGATCTCACGGGATCTGAAAAGATCTTTATTCCGATCGATTGATTTCATGTCTCTGCTGGTCTAAGTCCATTTCTTGACATCAGATGGCACGGCGTGGTAGCCATCAAAGAAGCCATAGGGGTCATAAGCACCCTTTAGCTTCGTAAGCCGCTCATGACGCCACGGCTGGTATCCGTAAAGCGCCGACAGCGGTTCATCGTCGTGAGCGTAGTTCTGATAGACATGGAGCTTTTCATATCCAGAGGTAGCGGCGAATTTGTCTCGCCAAGAGCGGAGAAAGTCATCGACTGGCTTTGCTACGCTATCATCCATGTATACTCCAATGACTTCGATAACATTGTCAAAGTACTTGCGGTGAGGAAAGGCGGAATAATCGTCCCTGAGCGCCTTGATGCCCTGGACTGGGAAAGTCTCGATCATCATGGAGGATCCGTTGGCCGCGGGGTGCTGCTGCATGAATTTTTCGAACTCGTTGCCAAAATCGACCCATGTTGGCGGGTGGAGGGTCCTCGCGTTTACACTGTATAGATCGTATCGCGGGCCAGATGCGCAGGAGTAAGGAATAAGGCCGAGAACAGTTTTGGTAGGCAGCTCTTCCCACTTCAGCATGTGCTCTTCAAGGCTCAAGCTATAAGGCGAAAAGAGCTTGGTATACTTCTGTCCCACTTCCTTAGGTCCAGAATACACGACGTTGACAACCATGGTGAGCTACAATGATCAGCAAGGTACTGTGGGTGTAAAAGGTCAGTGGTTTTACTTACCTCAGACGTCGTGGCATTTAACGAAAAAAAGGTAAGAAGAGCCAGTTTATCATCCAGCGCCGGACTTGTTAGCTTGTTGATAATCTTCATGACTTTCTTGATCGAGCTCTTGGCAAAAGTCATGTCTGCACTATAGTGGATGCCTCCGTGGGTCGCTGGCCAAGTCTCGTATGTTGACTCAAAAACGATGCCATAGTTTTGGCCAGAGCCTCGGATGCCCCAAAACAGATCTTGATTCTGGCGTTCGGATGCTTCAATGATAGTTCCATTCCACAGCGCCAAGCGGACTTTACGGAGAGCGTCGCTGGTCAGTCCGTGCAAGCCTTGGAGACGACCCAAACCTCCGCCAAGCATAGCACCCGTTGATCCGACGCAGGGGCATGAGCCCACGGCTGCGTTTTTATTAGCATAGGCATGAGATAGTGTTAATTGAAGCGACATACTCAGCTCTCTTCCGGCAGCACCCACGGCGTTGATTAAGTCGCTAAAATACGCGCCCGTGCCAACGACGACTGTGCCATCAGACTGGACTTTGACATGATTGAAGTTTTCTAGGTTGACCAAAACGCCATCCTGAATTGACTGCAGAGTTGGAGAATATCCATGTCCTCCCGATCTGGCCAGCCATGACATGTTCTTGCTCGACATGAACTCGAGCTATACGCTGCCCTATTAGTTCCCATTATACCCACATCAAGGGGAGAAATGGACTTACACCCAATGAGAGATCGTTTTCGTTCTCAGGGAGGAATACTTCGTCAAACGTCGGCGCCTTGTATGACGACCAGCGCTCCGTTTTATTTGCAAACTCCGGCCACGATGTGCCGTAAATCTGACCATTCAATGCCGAAGGCCATACTGGGTCGTTATATGAAGAGGTATCCGCTCGACTCAGATACTTAGTCGACAAAGGCGTGCTCGACACAGTTTGGATGGTAGCAAGCAGCACCGACAAGGCCCGCAGAATCGCAAGACGGACCATGATTGCGGTCAGAGAGTAACTCAAAAAGGTGTGTCAACTAAATCAAGCTTTGAGGAATACTGTGAATAAGATACCTACGATATAGGATGATCGCCAGTTTTTATAGTGAGCTCCTTGCACCGTGCGCGGCCGCTTGGGTCTGTTAATGCTTCTAAGCCACCAGCGCTGGCATTGATCCCTCTTGCGGCTGGTCGGTGGATGAATGATGAAGAGCTAAGCTAACAGTCCTTTTCACCTGTACAGCTGAAAATAGAATCACGATCCTGGGTCCTCGTGGAGGCTTGCCGTTCCTGCGAGGCTTCTGCAAGGCGGAGCCCACCTGCATTCGTGTTTCAAGGACCTGCAGGTGGTACGAGGTGATTTGTGGGGGCGATAAGTCGGAAATAAGAGGTCTGCCTCACCGGTCTAGAATGTCCGTCCCCCGTGAATGTTGTCGCGTGGTAACGGTGACTCGGGTCCGGCATGGAGGTGCGAACTCGGGTCTGCGACTCGAGATGAGGACGTGGATAAGCACCATGAAGCCCGGAAGTGCTCGGAAAATTAGAATGATTTGAATGATGTTCTTGTCCTAAGCGAAAGGCGTCTTATCATACAGAGAAGTCGTAGTCGATCTTTGAGACCCAAATACTCCATTTCGCAGTCTCATCTAGATCTTTACAAGAAACTGCAAAGGCAACAGCGAGATGAGTCCCAGCCCAACCACAGCACTATGCGCCGGCAAGACAATCGTTATTACGGGCGCGGCTCAAGGCCTTGGCCAGGCCGCCGCCGTCGCCTTTGCTGCAGCGGGAGCTAAGCGCATTGCCATAGTGGACAGCTCATGCACTTCAGATACTATCGAAAGAGCTTCCCAGGCTGCTGCAGAAGCTGGAAGAACAGAACTGGAGCTGTTTCCCTTCCATCTTAACCTTGGTGAGGCTGCTAGTATCGACACTGAGTTTACCAAAATCCACTCGAGACTGGGATATGTTGACATTCTCATCAACACGACAGAACACATCTCTCTATTTAATCTGCAGAGAGGAACTATGGAAGCAAGTAACGTCGACGTGTGGTGGAAAAATTGTGAGGCTAGTGTCAAAGATGCATTCGTTGTCGCTCGCGCTCTGCTGCCGCTCCTGCTGAAGGGAACCGAAAAGACGATTGTCAATGTCATTTCAGCCAGATCGCCCTTGCTCCAATTTACGTCCGGAACGCATGATCTGTCTGAGTTAGCTATGATGCGTCTCTCTGAAGACTTGATGCTCGATTACAGGAATGAGGGACTGCTGGTATATTCGCTGCAGCCAGGTCACGAGGGGGCAAAAGACATGCAGCAATCGGTGAATCTGAGTAAGTGAGATAAGATCCAGGGCAGAGGAATGATGGTTGACGGGGAGATTTATCAACTAGAACTGGCAAGCGAAGGCCTCGTCTACCTGACCAGCGAACGGCGCGAACAGCTGGGTGGCAGACACTTAAAATGCGGGGAGGATATGTGCGACGTTATTTCTCGCGATAAATGGGATACGCAGAATGACTTGCTGGAGATAGGCACATCTGTCAAGGGAATCCCACCGATACCGGAGAAGAGGAGGGGGCGCGTGCCTAGAAGTAACTACTGATAATGCTCTGGCGATGTATGCGATGATTAGGATTTTGCTATATTTTCTACAGAGATAAGGCTTTTAAAATATTCTTGCGAACGAACATAAGACCACAATTGAGGTAGCAAGACATCTATCTTGCATGCTTCCAATTTCAAGTTCATGGGCCATCGCCATTGCATTAGGCGATGCTGAAAGCAGAGCGGGGGGCCGAGTTAGGGCAGGTGCCTGGGCGGGGACTTCCCAAAAGGGAAACCAATATTTGATTGGCCATACGGAAAGAAGTGGGCCTGACGTCAGCTACCACAGCTTCTGATTGGTGAACACGGTATCCAAAATTATCTCCTGGTGTTCATCAGCCGTGCGCTAGTCCAAAACAAGACGCCAATATCAGATTGGCTGGACACGAGTCAATGGGGCCTATTGGGGGTGATCAGCTGTGAAGCTCGCGCCATGGGAATCCGCCAGTCTAAAAGAAGACGCCAATATGAGATTGGCCAGGGTACGTAGGAAGGGCCCGGGTTTGCAGTGGCATGCCTTTGAACGACTATATAAAGAAAATAGGTGGCCCTCCCTTGAGAAAACTCCGTTTCTCCCTTCCGCTTCTTACGTCGTGTCATCCCCCAGTTTCGACCCATTCTAGCTGTTCCACTCAAAGCTCGCATACAGTGCCCATACCTCCACCCACGCCACTCAAACAACACTCATACAGCAAACCCTTAGCGAGCGAGGACATACCTCAGCTCCAGTTCGCAAGATGGTGATGCTCCGCCTGACCGCCGAGCAGTACCGGACGCTGCCCATTCTGGTAGACGAGAATACATGCATCGGCAAAACCTATGTCATCACGGGTGGAAACGGCGGCCTGGGCCTCGAGACGGCGCGACACCTGGTCGCGGCGTCAGCCGAATGCGTTGTGCTGGCGGTGCGGAACCTCAAGGCGGGCGAGGCTGCCAAAAGTGATATTGAGAAGACGACTGGCCGCAAGGGGATTGTCCAGGTACGTCTATTGCAAGATCTTGAGGCCATCCAAATATTCACATCTATAAAGGTACGGCATATAGACATGTCAACCTACGCGTCCGTCCAGAACTTCGTGAAGAAATTAGCAGAGGAATTTGACAGGGTTGACGGTTTCATCTGCAATGCCGGGATCATGATCGACGCGTGGTCGCAGTCCGAAGGCATGGAGACGAGCATATTCGTCAATGTCATTAACACTGTGTTCCTCGGCGCTCTCATGATGCCCAAACTCAAAGAGTGTGCCAGGAAGTTCAACATCAAGCCCACTCTCGTTTTTATCGTCAGTGTTCTTGGATACACTGTCAAGAGCGAAATGGATAAGAGCTGCAACGGCGCCATCCTTGACGGGCTTAACGACCAGAAGCGGGCCAACATGGACTCGAGGTGAGGTTTACAGTTCCACTGTATACTGTGGATTTGGAATTAATATGTGGTCACAGATATGCTCTCAGTAAGCTCGTCGAAGAGTGCGCCGTACGCCAGTTTGCAGCCCTCTGCCCTGTCGAGCACACAGGCGTCGTCATCACCATGGTCGCTCCAGGTCTTTGTACCACCGGCCTGGGCCGCGATGCACGGACTTTCACCAAAATTATGCACGAGGCGGTCCGGGCCATGATGGCCCGAACCGCAGAGGTTGGCAGTCGTACCTTCCTACACGGGCTGGTGGTGGGCGAAGAGGGCCACGGCAAGCTGCTTTCCGGCTGTAAGATCAAGGAGTTTTGGGTGCCCACGTGGCTTTCCAACGAGGAGGGCCTGAAGCTGCAGAAGGGCATCTGGAGTGAGATCGTTGCCAAGCTAGAATCTGTGCAGCCGGGCTGCATCTCACAGCTGAAGTAGATTATTTAGGGGGGCCAATTTCCTTTCGAGAATGGTGTGTAGTTGAAAGCCGCCTCCGAAACGCTTTTCATTAGGAAAAGCCAGTTTAGTTTGGTTAAAGAGTTCAGGCGATGAATATCACCTATTTAGACTGCTCTTCTTTATTAATTTGACATGGATCAACTGCTACGGATGCCTCCAGGTAAATCTAGTCGCGTGGTACTGTTGCATAGCCTAGCCCGACTGCATATCGCCCCAGGCGCTACCTTATCTCCATCGAGCACCTCGGGGAAGAGTGGAATGAATGCGCGATTTTGTTTGAAATGTAAAGCATAGCGACGCTGCCTCCGCTCTCATTGCTAGCCTTGGGGGCGCTGTCTGCTTGTGGATGAGGTGAGAAGCAGGAATCATGCAGCTCGGCTACATCTCACAACACAAGTAAGCCTGAACCCCGATCTATTTTGGTCCTAGACGGGAGCCTAATCGACAGCTGCAGCTTCCGAAACGCTTTTCCATCGAGGTCAGCCAGTTCATTTAGTTTAAGCGTTTGAACGCCTGATACCATCTGGTCAGGCTATTCATTGCTTCATTGAGTTGCTACGCATCGGCCAAGATGAACACCTGCGGGTTGATCGGGGCTCGTGGTACGGAGTACTTTTGTATTAGATTGGCTTACCCGGGAAGGACACGAGTACGAATATTTCCTGCAGATTGCCCTTGGCAAATAAATTTTAGACCCCCCCTTCCAGTTCGGCCGCGGAGTCTGGAGCATCGTATACAAAGCGCGTTCATTACCACGCTGCATCACAACATTGTGTATACGAAAGATTCAATTCCTTTATTCTAGATTGAAGAATAAATGCCTGCATATTCTATGTCATTCCATTGAGACCAATGATAGATTCTATTAATTCTCGGTGTCATAATTTACAAACAACTGCTTCGTATTCGCGACTTCCTTCTCGCTTCTGGGACGCCTGGTTTGCCCAACGACTTCATTTGGCCATCAGCGCTAGCTATCTAGCTTATCTGCGTCGAGCCTCGAGCCCCCGCCCACCTGAGACGGCCTAATATCTTACCTCATCTCGGCTAGAACATAGCGTACGGCAGGATTCCCATTCGCAATTTACATATATTCAGATTCTCACCAGGCTCGGTGAAAACGAGTCTTTGGTAAATCAAAGATTTTTGTGCTCGCCGTATATCCAGAGATGCTGTCTACTCGGGAAAGAAGATGGTGGAATAGTCAGGAGGATGAAATCTTGAAGAGTGCGGTGCAAGCACAATGTAACAATCCCACGGACATGATGGACGCATTGCAATGTAAGAATGTTACAAGCTAACGTTTAGCTCACCACGCAGCACGCAGACACGGCAGTGTACAGAATTGGAACGATATTGCTTCGCTATTGACCGGCCGCACCAACAAAGACTGCCGCAAGCGATGGTCAAAAATACAGGTCGACATCCAAAAGGGTGTATGGACGCGGGAGGAAGATGAGAGACTGCAGCAAGCAGTACAGCAACTGGGATTCAAGTATTTCAATTCCAGCAGTGTCATATTGGATCGACTGTTGGTGCTGACATCAAACCAGATGGTCTCGGGTGGCCACCATGGTGCAGTGTCGCAATGCAGACCGTGAGCTATAAACTCTTGATAAAATCATCGGATGGAATGTCCCGACTAACGTCATACCATGGCAGAGTGTGCAAAACGCTGGCAGCAAACGCTGAGGCCTGGCCTGAAGCATACTTCGTGGACCCCCGAAGATGATGAGATACTGTTGGCGGCCATTAGAACACACGACAACAACTGGAAGCAGATTAGCCTCTCGGTTTTCCCAGACCGTTCCACTCACGACATACGAAATCGGTGAGTAGAGCGATTCATCAACACAGAGCACAAGTTGACCATCTGTCAAGGAGCCTTCTTCTTGGCCGCAGGAGCCGGAATACTAGTGCCACCGAGCACGTACCCGCGCAACTGCAGACCCCGAGTTCAGATGGAGACGAAACGGTGTTATGCAGAGACGGTACTGCCGAAAACGACACCAATGACGGTATCTCCGAGGGCACATATAGTGACGGCCGAGACATCCTGGTCGATCCAGATCTCGGAGTTAAATTCTCCAGTGTCTCCGGTTTCCAAGACACTCATGAGCTTCCTATGATACCAAATAGCGCTGGTGCCATATTGGATCAAACCTGGTTTGGGCCCGCAACAGATATGCAGAATCAACAGAGGCTGTCGGTACCATTTAACGACTGGCTTTCCTGGAGCAATCCGTTTGAGGGGTCACCCTTGGACACGTCTGGCTCCCAGTTGCCGTGGTGGGAGAACGGTCCTGCGGATCAGCACTGCTTTCCCGGCTCAGTTGGAGTCTGTGAAGTTGGCGGGAAGGTTGAAAACATCAGTAGTATGGGCGGATCAGGGGTTAATGTCGATACGAGTATAGAAATGCAGGCCGGCGATGCTGCTTTGGAGAATGAGCAGAAAGGGAGTGTCACCCTGACATTAAATGAAGTAGACCCAACTGTGGCCCACGAGATCATGGGCAGCATACTGAAGCACAGCGCGGGTCTCAGGGTTCGATATGTCTTCAACGGGAAATGAAGGTGATCCACTAGATGTTAGTGGAAGTGAATAGCTATTCATACATCTAGCTATTGCACGTGAGACACAGACCAAAGAATATATTTATGATCTGGCAGAGGCCAGAGGAGAGAGAAGAAGGTTGAATTCTCTATCTGTGAGAGACTAGCTAATATACTAGCTACCTACATGTAGTTAGGTAGCAAAACACGTGAAGCCTGACAAACAAGGCATCAATCAGATGAATCCTGCCTGCCTGTCATAACAAACTTGAATTTACTCTGCTTTGAATTACACCGATGCTGAGCAATGTGATTGCTCTTGGCAGAATAACCACATTGCGGACCCGAGTTCGCTCGGCCTCTGCCTAGTTCAACAACCCAAGTTGGGGCCATGATTGATGGATAATTCCGCCAAGCAGGAATTAATTAACAACACTTACATGCGGGCCAGGTATAATTACAATTGAAACTTGGTCCTGTCTGACCACCTGTGGCAATCCCACTTACCCATCAGCACAATAATCTACTGAGTCGACACCTACCGAGCCCTATGTCTACCTTCATCCCACCTAAGGTGAGCCTGGATGCAAACTCCAATGCTGGCATACGAACACTCCCAGACCTAGTCGATTTCCATGCCAAACACAACCCGCAGCACACATTCTGCATACAAGCGACACGAGACCAGCATTTTGTCTCAGTGAGTTATAGGCAGTTACAGCATGCCATAGCGCGCTGCCAGGCTAGGCTCAAAAGAGAAGATTCTGGCCTTCATACACCCACAACTGATGCAGACGGACATGTGACAAAATGCGCACCAGTTGCCATATTGACGGAGAGTCATGTTGGCCTGGTTATCTATGTCCTCGCGTGCATGGGAATGGGTGTGCCAGTTGTGCTTTTGTCCGCACGATTGAGTTCCTCTGCTGTGCGTCACCTTCTTCAGGAGACGGGTGCGAGGCTCGTCATAGCCTCTCCTACGTTACAGTCTCTTGCCTTTGAAGCTATATCTCCCTTGAAGGGAACAAACGGAGCCGGGAAAAATGGAGATGGTACAGCGGCAACTGGGGTGGCAGCTGAGTGGGAAACACTTCTGGGGGAAGAGGATGCTGCAGTTGATCGCCAATCTGTATGTGCTGCGCACGCGACCCATTTTGCGTCTGAGGAGGACCGTCAAGTGGTTATCCTTCATTCATCTGGGACATCAGGGCTGCCGAAGCCAATTCCCTGCTCACATAAATATTTCCTGGGTATGCGACATGTCACACTTTTGCCTCAGACAGTGAGGCCCAAGGTCTGACAATCTCGACGCTGCCACTATTCCACGTTAGTATTCAATCACTGCAACTGAAAATGTAATCTGGTACTAATCCTTCAACAGGGCTTTGGCTTCGTGGCGATCTGTCTCTCGTTGGGTGCCGGAAAGACTGTGTGCATCCCTCCACCATCAACGGTACCCAACGGAGCATCAGTCATTACGCTCCTGCAACAGTCTGATGCGAGGGCATTGTTGACTGTTCCATCTGTTTTGGAAGAAATTGAAGGTCTTCCACATAATAAGGGACACGAAGCTCTTGCAAGACTAGACTTCGTCGGGTTCGGCGGCGGCATGCCGAAGGAATCTGTCGGACAAAGACTTCAGAACACCGGCGTCAGACTGATTGGTCAGTACGGCGCTACCGAGACTGGTCCGATGACACCGTTCTTTGTTCCTGGAAAGGAAAACAATTGGCGACGACTGAGATTGCGGCGTGACACCCTCGGACCGCTTCAAGTCAGACTGGATCGTGTCGAATCGGAACTAAATCAATCCGATCAAAATGTCTTCACTTATAAGCTAAGTATGGTGCCATTTGGCTGGATTGAGTGCTTTGAGCTGCAAGACCTCATCGTTACCACAACCGAGTACAGCGCGGGGAGTGACATTTCACAGTTAGAATTCACCGTGGCTGGTCGGACGGACGACCTGATTTGTCTCGCAACCGGTGAGAAAGTGAAGCCTACCATCTTGGAGTCTCTGCTGCGACAGCAGGATGGGGTAAAGGACGCAACCGCATTCGGGGAAGGTCAATTCGAAATAGGTGTCATTATCGAGACCGTTGATGCGCTGAGTTCGGACGAGATTCTCCAGTTCAAGGCCACTCTTTGGCCTGTAATCAAGGAAGCTAGCTTGCAGATGGATGCTCATGCCAAAATCACATCGCTGGCCACCGTATTAATTGTGCCTCCTGGAGATCTTCCGAGATCAGACAAGGGAACCATCTTGCGCAAAGCAGTCGCGAAGAAATACGCACAAGAGATAACTGACGTATACCGCACTGTTGAGGTTGCCGTAGCACCAGCGCTAGACCTGTCCTCATCGCATTCCAGCATCAGGGCCCTCGTGGCAGAGAGCACGGGATGGCAAGCCAACGACGAGGACGACTTCTTTGCCCGAGGTATGGACAGCCTACAGGCAACGAAGCTTCGCAGGCTATTAAAAGGCGCGGTGCAGGCGACACACTCTGCATTTGGTCCCAGTGCATGCCATGTTCTGCTGGTTGCCAATATCACTGACGACTTCGTCTACCGGCACCCATCCATTAATAGCATCGCAGATGCGCTTCTGTCCGGTGACGTTGCTACTAATGGAGTAGCCACGGAGTCTAAGCTATTCAAACAATTGGTGGACAAATACACCAATAGAAAAGACCACTCGATTATTCCTCATTCTACTCTCTCCCTCCTCAGCGGTTCACTCTTGATACAACGGCTTCCCAAGTTCTTATTACTCTGTGCCGTGTATCTGTTTCATTTCATCATATCTCAATCCTTCACAGCCATGTCAGCCCGACGAGGCAAAAAGTCCGTTGTGGTGCTTACAGGCGCCACAGGAAGCTTAGGGTCTTTCTTCTTGGTGCAGCTTCTCAACGATAAGTCTATCGGTAGGGTCATCTGTCTCAACAGGTCTGGCAAAGGGGATGCATTGCAAGTTCAGAAAAATGCCTTACATTCTCGAAATATCTCGGTCAATGATGATGCCTGGGCTAAAGTCGAGGTATATCAGACGGATACAGCGGCCCAATGGCTTGGACTGAAGAAGGACGACTACGAGATGCTGGCGATGGAGGTGACGCATATTGTGCACATTGCGTGGCCAATGAACTTTAAGATGGGACTGCGGTCCTATGATACCTCTTTCAAGTCTCTGCAGAACCTGTTGAATTTTGCACGTGAAGCAAACTCCCTTTGTAAGATCAGCAAGCCAAGATTGCTGTTCATATCCTCTATCTCCACTGTCGGCAACTATTCACTGCTCTGTGGACAAAAGCAGGTTCCCGAAGTCATTCCTGGTGACCCGTCTTCTACCCTGAACCTGGGCTATGCCAAGGCAAAGTTCGTATGTGAGAAGATCATTCAGCATGCGGCAAGTAACTATCCTGAGATTGAGGTTGGAGTGGTACGAGTCGGGCAGATTGCTGGAGCCAGCAGTGGTTACTGGAACTCAAACGAACATTTTGTCGCGGTATGCACGTCATCTCAGAATATGGGCAAGTTTCCTGATCTACGTGGAGTAAGTCCAAATAATTGATTACCCTATATATGCGTGTACGTTTCCTGACTAAAATGCCTGTGCAGACATTATCCTGGCTGCCAGTAGATTCCGCTGCTCAGGCCCTCAGTGAGATTCTCTTCCACGGAGAACCGCTAAAGCTGGTATACCATCTCGAGAATCCGACACGACAAAGTTGGGAACATACAGTTACCTTGTTGTCCGAAGAATTGCAGATACCCAGTTCGTCCATTGTCCCATTGGACCAATGGCTAGACCATGTTCAGTCTGCACCCGGGCCGCAGAACCCTTCGGCGGATCTAATCCACTTTTTGAGAAATGACTTTCTTAAAATGTCATGCGGCTCTGTTATCCTCGACACAGGTGCCTCGCGCAATGTTAGTCGAACCATGGCCCACATGGATCAAGTGGGAGATGATTCTATTCGGGCATACGTGAATTACTGGAAGAGCATCAAGCTGCTTCATTAGAAGCTTAGGGCGCGGGAACATACTCTTCGCTTTATCGTACTCTATTTTGGAATTGAATTGGAGTAAAACATGTTCATTTGGCCACTAATATGTATCGAGCCCCAATCATTAATAATATCAGCAACCAAGCCCTACTAGTCAATCGGCATACTGAAGCGACACGAAGCTCCGATCTACATTGAGTGTCTTCTGAACTCGAGTATCTACGCACGAACTGAGACTGCATTGATAGGTTTGGTGGGAATCCAGGGGCATATGCTGCAAACGATCTCTTATTTCAGACAACCGGCCCTTGGCCGATATATTCCTAACCATCTCTCTCCCTACTGGTGTGATAAGCACACGGCTTCTCCCCGGTAAGATCGATTGCGCCATAGGAATCAAGCCCTTACACAGATATTATAATTATGTACCCTCCAGCTCTTTCTCAAAGTTAAAAGAATACTTGCGCTGAGATTGGGTAATGATCGTGGACCCGAGTCGGATGTCTTTGGTGAGACCCGAGTTGGGATAAAGATCGCAATTTCAGGCGCATCTTATTCTCTGGTGTAATCTAATACCTACACCATTGGTGGACACGAGTCTTCTAGTGCCATTCGTCGTAGTGTCGTCTCTTCGGGAGGCTTCGAAGATGAGGACACCTAAAAAAAGACATTTCTGAGGACCCGATTACCGCAACTTTGACAGTTCTGTTGCTGACTTATATAAGAGGATATATATTGGTGATCTCTCCATATCTGAAGTATAATTTCCCCTTAGTTCAACTGCTTCAGCTCACAACATCCCTTTTAACAAGGAGGAAACACAAGCATGACACAAACGTCCGGATTCAGAATGGAGAGCGCCATACTCGAGGAAGTGTCACCCAACGCTGTTGCCATCGTCGGTATGGGATGCAGATTCGCTGGAGCTGACTCAGTTGAAGATTACTGGCGTATTTTGGAGAAAGGCCAGTCTATGATGAGCCATCCTCCCAAAGGCCGCTTCCCCACAAATGAACATCAGCGCAGTACCGACAAGACTGTATACTATGGCAACTACCTGGGTAGCATCTCCAGGTTTGACAACCGTTTTTTTAAAAAGTCCAGCCGCGAGGCTGCGTCTATGGACCCGCAGCAAAGACTTCTACTTGAAGTTTCGTACGAGGCCTTGGAGTCGAGCGGCTTCTTTGGGCCCCGCGAGCAAGACCTCGATGTCGGATGTTTTATCGGAGTATGCGCATCTGACTACAACGACAACGTGGCCAGCCATCCATCCAATGCCTTCTCTGCATTGGGTACATTGCGGGCATTTGTTCCAGGCCGGATCAGTCATTTTTTCGGGCTCACTGGACCGTCGATCGCCCTAGACACGGCCTGTTCATCCTCAGCTGTTGCTATTGACGCTGCTTGCAAGGCTATCTTGCATGGTGACTGCAAGAGCGCCATTGCTGGCGGGGTCTCCGTCTTCACGAGCCCTTTCTTCTATCAAAATCTATCCTCTGCATCGTTCCTCAGCTCCACGGGCGCAAGCAAATCGTTTGACGCAAGCGCAGATGGATACTGCCGTGGAGAGGGTGTCGGCCTCGTCGTTCTGAAGCGTCTGTCAGACGCCGTTGCGAGTGGTGACAATATTCTCGGCACGATTCTTTCAACCGCAGTGCGCCAGAGCAGCAACAAGGTGCCTATCACCGTCCCCTACAGCCCATCACAAACAGATCTGTACAGAAAGCTCCTGAGCACCGCCGGAATCACGCCGGAAGTCGTCACATACGTCGAGGCTCATGGCACGGGCACTCCCGTCGGCGACCCTCTCGAATTTGGTGCGATCAAGGAGGTATTTGGCACCCAGTCAAGACCGGATCCTCTATACTTTGCATCGGTTAAGGGAAATATTGGGCATACCGAAGGCGCCTCTGGCGTCGCTGGTCTTATCAAAATTATCCTGATGATGCAGAACCGCACCATTCCGAGACAGGCACACCTCCAGTCCGCGCACCCCAAGATTTCGCTGATACCGGGGCAGATCTCCATTCCAACCGAGACTATGCCTTGGAATGCAAAGAAGCTTATCGCATGTGTGAACAACTATGGAGCCGCGGGCAGCATTGCTGCCATGATAGTCGAGCAACCGCCATCACAGGATGTTACGACCGCCACAGTGTATGGACGAAATAAGTATCCTCTTGTCGTCACCTCCAACAGCCCAAAGAGTCTCAGTGAGAACTGTGCAAGACTGGCGGATTACGTATGCTCACTCAAAGGACAATCTGCTTCAAGCGCGAGTCTGCTCGCAGATGTCACATTCAACCTCAGCGACAGGCAAAATAGAACCCTGCCCAATATGTTCGCAACAGCCGTCTCTAGCCTTTCCGAGCTAGACAGTCAACTTCGTGCTGTGGCTTCCAATCCCAGTTCAGCAATCTGCCAAGCCAGCCCAAGTCCAAAACCTGTCGTTCTCATCTTCGGTGGCCAGACGGCTCGCACTGTGGGCATGAGCAAAAGCGTCTATGAGTGCTCGCACGTACTTCGCAAATATCTCGATGATTGCAACGATGTTCTAAAGGGATTTGGTCATCACGGCATATATCCTGACATATTCGATCCGGCTCCGGTACATGACGTGGTGTCACTCCAGACGATGCAGTTTGCGCTGCAATATGCTTGCGCAAAATCATGGATTGCCTGTGGTCTGAAAGTTAAGTGTGTTATTGGCCACTCATTTGGTCAACTTGCCGCTTTAACTGTCTCCGGTGTTCTGTCACTTGTCGACGGTCTCAAGTTGGTATATGGTCGAGCAGTGCTCATGCGCGACAGTTGGGCTTCTGAGAGAGGCTCTATGCTTGCCCTCGAAGCTGACCGCGCGAGTACTATGAAGATTATCGCACAGATACGGACAACCGAATCATCTTTCATTTCTGGTATTGAGGTGGCGTGCTTTAATGGACCGTCAAGTCATGTCCTCGTTGGCTCTTCTGCTGAAATCAACACTGCTCTGCAAGCTACGAAGATGATCAATGTCAAGGCCAAAGTCCTCGATGTGACGCATGGCTTTCATTCGCGGTTCTGCGATCCCATTCTCCCAGAGCTGGAGAGACTCGCGAAGGGCCTTACGTTTAACAAGCCCAAGATTCCCCTCGAGACCTGCTCCAATGGGGAGCCCTGGAGCCAGGTCACTGCCAAGCTAATCGCTGAGCATACTCGAACCCCTGTATACTTTGAGGATGCAGTCAAGCGAATTGAGAGGCGGCTCGGCGCATGCACATGGTTAGAAGCTGGATCCAACACTCCTGTAACAGGTATGGTGCGCCGAGCTCTCGCCGATCTCAAAGATCATTCATTCTTCCCAATCACCCTGTCTCGAGATGACGCCATGGGCGCATTGGTAGACATAACTGTAGGACTGTGGAAAAACGGCGAACATGTTCAATATTGGCCATTCCACCACATCCAACGTCAAAAATACCAGCATCTAAACTTGCCGCCTTACCAATTTGAGAAGAACGAACACTGGCTCGAATTTGACCTACAGGCAGGAAATGGCACTGAGTCAACTGCGGTGATGTCCAAAATTTCTGGATCGGTCGTAGCCGAGCCGGAGCCGGAGCCGGTCCTAGTTACGTTCGCAGGGTTTGAAGTCATTGGCAACAGCCAGAAGCATGCCACCTTTACCATTGACCCCCGTTCTAAGGAATGGAGGGTACTTGTTGCCGGTCATTCCGTATTACACGAGTCTCTATGTCCCGCGCCACTGTACCTTGAGCTAGTTCTTCGGGCAGCTAAGCACCTGGCAAACATCAACAAAACGACATCTGCTCCGTTCGCCCGCGTGGAAGAACTGGAGATGGCTTCTCCTCTGGGTATGAGTCAGGACAAGATCGTCCAGCTTGTGTTCAAGTCATCAGATACTACTGGTCGGAAATTCAATTTCTCATTCTGTTCACAGGACCGTGCTGGAAAGCCAACCCCTCTGCAGACACACGCTACCGGCAAATGTGAGATTACTCCAAACGATGATACAACTGTTATTGCGGAGTTCGAAAGGACCAGCAATCTACTACAGCATATGCACAAGGACCGGAGACAAGATCATGTCCAGAGATATGCAGAAATGGCCTCGCAGCCGGACAGTGAGGCAGTCTACGGCTCAGTCGTCTATAAGATCTTCTCAAGGGTAGTCCAATACCATGACTTCTACCAAGGCGTTCGAAGGCTGGCAAGTACAAGCGATGGCTTTGTCGCTGCCGAGGTGTCCCTACCGGAGACTCAGCCGGGCTTCTCAAAAGATCTTCTATCTTTCCCTGTAGCCATGGACAATTTCTTCCAGGTTCCTGGATTGTTTGCTAACTGCCTGGCACCGTGCCCGTCGGATGAGGTATTTGTCTCTACCCATGTCGACCGCATCCAGTTGTCGCCCGAGTTTGGCAAGCGACAGACTGAGGGGGGGCACCCCTGCTTGGGACGTTTTTGCCATATCTACCCCCATTAGCGAAAAGGAAAGCTCTAATGATATATTCGTCACGGACAAGGGTACCAACAAACTTGTCTTTATCGTCTTTGGAGCAAAGTTCAGCAGGGTGAAGACGGCAACGCTTGCCAAGATTCTGTCTCGCGCCAACCCCAATGAGACTTCCGCGTCTGTAAGACATGAATCAACTCAAAGCGGCCTTTATGACACTGGTAAAGCTCCCTTGGTCTCATCTGTATTGAGGACTCCGTCTTCGATGTCCAGTCAGCCTATACCGGCCCTGCAGCCGCCATCAAGGCAAACTGGACTCCAAAGCGAGGCAATGACGGCCAAAAGAGTTCCATCGCCACCACAAACGGTCATTCAAATGAGATCTCAGTTGCCAAGTGTTGAGAAGCAGCTTCGACAAATGCTCAGCGAAATAACCGATGTACCTGAGGATCAGTTCCAGACGACGGTTACCCTGGACCAACTCGGCATCGACTCCCTGATGACCACGGAAATTGTATCAGAGGTTCAGGAGGCCTTTAACATACCAATTGATCCGGCTCAAATTTTCGATCTGCAGACTTTCGGATCGTTGTGCTCATATCTCGACGCGCATGAGAGCAGACAAGGGTCCGTCGATCTAGTGGATCAGTCGCCTCAGGCCAAGCTTGCACCTCCTCTCCCATCTACGCTGGCCATCTCGTCAGTAAAAGAGCAAGATGATATCCGCGAGGTTGTAATTGAGCGAACCGCATCAGTGGCTGAAAGTTCAGGGGTGCCGGACTATGAAGAGCTGGTCGCGCAACTGGCCAGTTTGCTCGGCACTCATCTCGAATGTCCACCTACAGACTTCACACGCTCAACGAACCTTATGGATCGCGGCCTAGATTCCCTTCTCAGTATGGAGCTTATGAGTGATATCGAAGAAATCTTTGGTGTTTCGATTGATCCGTCACTTTTATTGAGCGAGGGCAGCTTCGGACATCTCGCAGACATTCTCATCAGCGCCGTCACTTCTTTACGCCTTGCAAGAAGGACGGTTTCGAGCACGGTCACTTCCACACCGGCGCAGTCAACTGGGATGACAACACCGGGCACCATAACTGACAATAGTGTCGATGGCGGCGATATCTTCACTGCGACTACCAAGGTGAAGTCTGTTTCGGCAACGACTGTCCTCAATAGCGCACCCCAGGCATTTGAAAGTATCAAGGGGAATTTTGAGAAGTTTGCAGAGAAATACGATTTCAGCGAATTTTACACCAAAGTCGCCGACAAGCAGGCAGACCTGGTTCTAGCCTACGTGGTCGAAGCCTACGCTGATTTTGGCATCGAACTGAACACACTGAGACCAGGAGAGCAGATCCCACGGATCCCTGTGGCTCCCAAGCATGATCGTATGATCAAAGTTTTCAACGAAATCCTCCGCCGCGGCAAGTTAGCCGACTACGACGGCAAAGGATACGTCCGCTCAGATGCAATCGTACAGATAATGCCATCGAGTGTTCTGTATAAGGATATCCTGGCACGATTCCCCCAGCATGCCAAAGAACACACCTTACTAAACCTTTGTGGGTCGGACATGTCCAAACTCCTCGCTGGTACGATGGATCCCCTAGCATTGCTGTTCGGAAACAAAGCCAACCGGGAGATCCTGGAAGATGTCTATTCCACGGCGCCCATGTTTGTGATTCACTCAGAGCTGTTAACGGACTACCTCGAGAAAGCACTGAGTACATCCTTGCCAGGCGCCGATGGCAAGTTCCACATCATGGAGCTTGGGGCTGGAACTGGTGCCACGACGCGCTGGATTGTGGACCGACTGGTGCAGTGCGGGATACCGATCGAGTATACTTTCACCGACATCTCTTCTGCACTCGTCACAAGCGGTAAGCGCAAGTTTGCCCGTTACGACTGCATGAAGTACGGCACCGTCGATATCGAAAAGGAACCGCCGGCCCAATACCTGGGACAGTTCGACATTGTGCTCGCGACCAACTGTATCCATGCAACCCGCAATCTCGTCAACTCTATGGGAAACATAAGCAAGCTATTGCGACCCCACGGTTTTGTGTCGCTAGTCGAGCTGACTACTAGGAACTACTGGCTGGACATGGTCTTTGGCCTCCTTGACGGATGGTGGCTTTACGATGATGGACGACCTTATGTGCTCGCGACTCCCGAATTCTGGGAAAATACAATGCTACAGGTCGGTTTTCAGCATGTGTCATGGACGGGTGGCGATACACCTGAATCAGAGGTCGTGAGGGTCATCTCCGGGTTTAAGCAGCCCGTGCAAGATCCATCTTCTTCTCGCAGTGTGCTGCAGGAGAAGACTGGAAATATTGAGACGGTTGTCTTTGCACACACAGACAAAGATCTTCCACTGAGAGCTGATATCCACTACCCCTCGCCGCAGAGGGTGGCCAGGCACGAAACTTGGGTCACTGGTACGGTATGATTCGGGATTCCAGTGCAGGAACGTACCGGACGGAGCTAACAATGTTCTGGTATAGGCTTAGTGATTCACGGAGGAGGCCATGTGATGTTATCGCGTCAAGATATTCGACCGCGTCAAATACAAGTCCTTCTTGAGAACGGTATTTTGCCAGTATCAATTGACTACAGACTCTGCCCAGAGACCACCATCCTAGAGGGACCGCTCGTCGATGTTGCCGATGCATATGCCTGGGCACGGAACTCGCTGCCGTCCTTGAGTTTGACAAAGACTCGAGTCAATGAGAGACTCGACCGCAGTAGGGCGGTGGTTATCGGCTGGTCGACCGGTGGTACGCTTGCCATGTCTCTGGCTTGGACCTCGATACCACGTGGAATCTCTCCTCCCACAGCCATCCTGGTCTTTTACTGTCCGACCAATTACGAGGATGATTTCTGGCTGAAGCCCAATATGCCAAAGCACTCTGAGATGTTTGGCGGCAAATCATACAACGTCATTGACGGAGTTTACAATGCTCCCATCACGGCATACAACGTACCTTCCAAGATGAAGGCAGCAGCAGGGTGGATGGCACCTAAAGACCCTCGCAGCCGAGTTGTCCTTCACATGAATTGGCATGGACAGACTCTTCCTGTCCTTTTCCGCGGGCTACCAGCAGGGTCGAGCGTGCCACAGCAGGCCGCGTCAGTCTTCAATCGCCTGCAACAACCACCAAAAGAAGATGTTATCCAGGCTAGTCCCTACGCGCAGATTCTCCAAGGCAACTACAAGTCGCCAACCCACATCGTGTTTGGCACCAATGATGATCTGATCCCATGGGAACAGGCTCAGCGGACGGTTGCCGCGATGAAAGACGCTGGCATCGAGTCGGGGCTTACAATCGCACCCGGGGAGCCTCATCTGTTCGACTTATACCGCGATCCCAATGGCTGTCGCTGGGGCTATGTTATGGAAGGCTACAATTTTTTGCTTCGAATTCTGGGGAAGGAAAATGTTTGAGACCGTACGGTTTATAGATAGATGGGCGGCCGCTCTGTAGAAGGCTTGCGTGTAGACTACTGGCATCCAAGTTGGAACAAAATATCCCGACTATACTATCTCGTGTTCCTGCTTCTCTCACTTAGTGCTACTCACAATGGTTTCGCATGTAGAGCTCAACCGCTGTTCGCATGGTATGTGCCAGGCTTTAGACTTGAAACTTCTGTCGTTGGGACCCGAGTTATAAATCGCTGAGCTGTTGGACCCGAGTGGCCGAGCGTGATAATTGCCAGATCCATTAAAACCGTGTACCATGGCAATCCGGACTTGACTTGTAGACCTCGTAAGACCTCATAGACACCATGCAACTAGCACATATTTGTCTGCCTCTCGGTGACAAAGCTTGTCGACTGGGTGCAGTTGCTGCCCTATCGGCAATTGTAGTCATTTCCTTCAACATCGTGCGGCTATGGTTGCGCCTGAGGCATATCCCTGGGCCACGGACGGCAGCCCTAACAAACCTGGTCCGACGATCCTGGGTTTTGACTGGTGATGCGCATGTTATACACACTGCCCTCCATCGCAAGTATGGCACTGTGGTGCGCGTCGGACCCAACGCGGTCATGGTTTCTCAGCCCAAGGCCATTGATACTATCTACGGTTTTAAAAATAGGCTTGAGAAAGTATTATATCCCCCTCCCCCTTTTCCAATTGTACCAAACTTTGCTTCTCTAACGCTGTACTGCTGCAGTCGGAATTTTACGACTCAATAATGCCAAGAATCAAGGGTGGAAAGCTTCCTGATATTTTTGCAACACGCGACGAAGACATTCATCGGCGGATGAGAAGGCCTGTCGCCCGCTTATTCTCAGTTACCAATTTGGCAACGTTTGAGCCGGCGATGACATCCACTATGAAACACTTTTTCTCTCGTCTGGATGAATTGTTTGCGAACAAGGACACAGACTTCGATCTTTTTCAATGGGTTCAATTTTTCATGTTCGACGTCCTTGGCGAAGTCACTTTTTCTCGGGAGCTGGGCTGCCTAGAAAAAGGTGAAGATGTTGATGGCATTATGGCAAACATCTGGGCCTATTTTAGACAGGTTGCCGCTGTATGTGTCTATCTCATATTTATACACCTTGAGTATTGTTGCTGACCGGAAACTTAGAATACCCAAATGCCTTGGCTCGATTATCTCTGGCGAGACAATCCGCTAGTGCCTGGCTCGACTAAGAGAAACCCTCTGGCCGAGTTTGGATTCGCTCGAATCATGGAACGAATGAGCTTGAGCGAAGATGAGAAGCGGGACATCGGCCAGAAGGACTTCCTTTCGTGTTTCCTCGAAGAACAGGCCAAGGATCCCACCCTTCCCAACCTGTGAGAACGCTCAACCCAGAAACACTCTCATGCATTATTGACGGATATGACATAGATTCGTTCCTACCTGGGTCAACTCTAACATCGTGGCCGGTGCGGATACGACCAGTATCCTGGCCAGCGCCGTCCTGTATCATCTTCTCAAAAATCCTTCTTCTCTCGCCAAACTCAAAGAAGAGGTCGATGACGCCGCAGCTAAAGGCCGTCTGTCCAGATATGTAACCTGGAAGGAGTCCAAAGAATTGCAGTATCTGGACGCCTGTATCAAAGAGGCTACCAGAATGCACCCTCCTTTTGCCCTCCCCTTTGAACGCGTAGTACCTGAGGGTGGTTTGGAAGTCGATGGCCATATTATTCCCCGCGGCACCAGAATTGGAATTGTAAGAATATCCCGAGGGCTGACAATCCACAATTCTTTTTTTGTTTCTAATGTTTGCGTCATAACATATAGAACCCTTGGGCTATGCATCGCGAAGCATGGCTGTTTGGTCCGGATCCTGACTCATGGCGGCCTGAACGCTGGCTGTGTAGTGAGTCCAAGAGACAAGAAATGAACAATGCTCTCTTGACGGTATGGTTCAGTGCATTTCTTTTGCTTCTACATTTACAGGAAGTATAGTGGGCTGACTCTGCTATGTTTAGTTTGGCGCCGGTCATCGAAGCTGCCTTGGAAGGCACCTAGCCTACTATGAGATCTACAAACTTGTTCCATCTCTATTGCAACGGTACGATGTAAGTAAAAGAAAAGACATTACTACTATATGGTCTAATCTAATAATTCCTAACCAGATTCAATTAGTAAACCCTGTCAGTAACTGGACGGTTGAGAACAAGTGGTTGGCCAAGCCCTCTGGGTTCCAGGTAAAGATCTCATCCCGCAAATAGCAATATATACATTGTTCAGACCGTTATAGCATTCGATAAGATACATAATCCAATTCATTCATGATTTTCTGGATTGACTGGTGACATGTCTCCATCTGCGTGTGATATGTAACATACGGACCCGAGTTATGAGGATTCTCCTGTATATTGCCCAGGTGGGATAACTCGGGGCCCTTGCCAGTTAACTTCGAAATAGCATGAACCCTATAAGCATATATAGTATATATACTGACGACCCTACAGAAAAGTGGTTCTCAATTTTCATGTTCCCTTCTACTCTCGAGACCATGCCATCTTTTACCACACCGACCCAGACCGCAACACCGCTCAAGGTGTGGACCTCGCTGGTAAAGAAAAGTCTCCCGCAGCCAGAAAACAAAGATGTCGAGTTCTGGTGGAACCTCACTGGATACCATCTCGCAGTGATGATTGATGCGGCTGGATATTCAATCGAGAAGCAGTATGAGGTGCTTCTTTTCCACTATCACTGGATTGTAAGCCCACATCCTGACATGTCACTGTAATCCATAGACAAGTTGATGTTAACAAGGAGCCAGGTGCCTCGACTGGGACCGGCACCAAAGCCCGATGGTACCCCAGCGTTCAAATCTCTGGTTGCCTATGATGGCTCGCCTTTGGAGTACTCCTGGAAGTGGAACACCACGGTTGGCGAGCCCGACATCCGCTACTCGTGGGAGGCGATTGGCAAGGACTCGGGCACAGCATCCGACCCGCTGAACCATGATCCAACGTTGGACTACATGGACAAGGTGACGCAAGTACTTCCCGCAACGGACTACACATGGTATCGTCACTTCCTGGCGGAAATTTACAATCCCGACAGAGGATTTTATGCCAAGGAGCTGGAAGCCGGCGAGCCGCCAGCCACCACCCTCATGCACGCCGTCGAGTATAACAAAAAAGCTGACTTCGGACTCAAATCGTACTTCCTGGCGAGAAAACTGTTCATGGGAGGCGACTCTAACACTCTGCAAGAGTGGGATGATGCCATCGTGAAACTTAGCCCTGGCGAGGGTCATCCAGGCAGAGATGCTCTGATGCATTTCCTGGCCACCAGCCCAGAGGGCAAGCTGATGAAGCCCAACGTGATGGGCATGGATAATATAGATTCATCCAAGTCCCGCCTTAAGATGTACTTCACGTCAGCTCACACCAGCTTCAAGTCCGTCCGGGAAATCATGACAATGGGCGGCGTCTGCGATATCGCCGAGGAGAGCCTGCAGGATCTACGCTCCATGATCCTTGCTGTCTTGGGCCTGCCAGCAGATTTCCCCGAGGAGCAGGAGATTTCCGTCCAGGCCACCACCGGCGGCAACATCTGGAAGGACTTTGAGGCTCTGTGTGAGGGCTTCATCTACTTCTTCGACATTGCCCCCATGAATGGCAAACCGGAGGTCAAGTTTTACTTGACCACTCGCAAGTACGGTGCGGACGATCTGACCATTGCCCGCAACTTGGTGGCTTGGATGCACGCACATGGCCGTGGCACGTACTGCGATGCGTATCTTGGCATGTTAGAGAAACTTTCCGAGCACAGGGGCTTGGCTAATGGCAAGGGAATGCATGCTTACATTAGCTACCAGTGCTCTCAGAAAGGCGAGCCGGACGTCAAGTCGTACATTTCTCCCGAGCTGTACCACAAGGCCCGATATGCGAGCATTTAATGAAAGACGCCGGAACCATTAATGATAGCCGAGTTGATAGAATGCCGCGTTTCCATGAACCCCAGAAGTATATTAGAGTACCAAACATGTCCAATTTCATGACGATGTTCGTGATGAAATATCCCATGAAACCTCTCTGCTCCCCAGTCGTACATGTTCCCATAGACGACGGCCTTGATCTTCGTGCAAACTGAATATCCAAGGGAACCAACTCAGCTGCCGCTGAATGGCAGCCCAATTCTCCAGCCCTAGCCTTGTGCAATAGTCGGCGATCAATGGCGAGAGCCAGTAATGGTCCTTCAGATTTAACACCGATATCCCGCTTATGAAAAGAGTCCATAAGATCAAGGGTGAGTTATAGTCCGGAGACTCTGATGCTGTGGGGCAGAGGTCTTGCATGGCGCTTTCCAGACCATCAGAAAGAAGGGAGAAGCTGGCTCCATCGCGGGCGTACTCAGGCAGCATCGTCGTCATGAATGATATCATCGCAAGGTATGTCAAATGCTTGTAGGGACCTCCGGACTTGGTAGGGGCTTCTCTTGGTGGCGAGACGTCTACAAGGCGATAAAGGAGCGACAAAAGTGTCTCTGTATAGTCTAGAGGGTCAAGTTTCGGTTTTGAGCTTGTCTCTACTTCGTTGAGCAGCTTTGAGAAACTGAACAGATCTAGCATCATGGGTGGCATCCAAAAGGCAGCTCGGGGAAACTGCCCAATGCTGACATCGGTTTCGCATAAGACCGAGTGAATGGGCACTTCATCGCCGCGAAACAAGGTGGGCGTACCATTTTGCATTGCTAATTCAATATCTAGCCTAATAGTCGTTAGACAAGTTATTTGGACTGTCATAGAAGGAAAGAATGACAAAACGACGCAAGATGAAGGCAAGTCGCAAAAGCAAAACTTCTCACGTACCTCAACGGCTTCATTGCCAGTGCACGATTTTCTTGCATTAGCTTGCTGATCCCACCCCGCAGCTGAATCATGCGATAGAGCCCGCGGAGATGTACTAGTCCGATTTCAGGCTGGTGATGTACTTGTTGGTAGATAGCGAGACTAACTACAGCAGCTATAGCGCTGTCGGAAACAGAGGAGGGACCCGATAGCTTAATATTGACTAAAGCGTACGCCTTGGAGATATGGTGAAGAGTCTTAGGCGATATTGCCGGTCTCCGTTGGAAGAAGTCAACGTAAGACGCGTTTATAGCCAAAGTGCTGTGGAAATCTGTATTTCTGGTGGTTAACGATGCCATATGAACCGGACCGACTGGCGGTGCTATCACTCACATGCTTCATCTGCGAGAATGTAGTTGACCCAAATCGATTTTATAATGTCGAACTTAGTACAGAACTGCGGCGGAAATAACGTATCACTAATATCAAAAAACCCTATAGCTCTAACGTCAGATATAAGAGGACGTGGATAACCAGCCGAATAATGAAGAGAGCATACATCGGTGCATAAGCGCCATAGACTGGGAGTCGAGCTCTTGAGGGAACGAAGTGACACACAGGTCGCTCCAGAGCACCTGTCGCGGGATTACGTATCCGAATCCTGGAGCACATAGGAGCGACTTGAGCTCTGCGACGTTCTTCTGCTTCTTAGTGGATCGGCGCTGCTTGCCCGTATTCTTGCCGCGCATGACATGGGAGCGGATGGTGCGCCTGTCAGAGCGGCCTATCCCGCTGAGGCTCTGGTCAATGAACTGCAGCGCCATGGCGATGGTGATAGTTTCAGGTTATTCTCGTGGCAATCCGAGCCATCCAGCAAGTTCTTTCTTCTAAATTTCCGGGCTTTCGAGGCCCCGGAAGCGCAGATGATACACGGAGTGCTCTTAGTTGACTACGAGAAATGAAAGGGGGCGGAGAGAATTTGTTAGTCAGCACTGCATGTCCACCTCTCAACTTTATCCTGCAGCTACTACCCTAGGCTAAGGCTGTTGAACTATGCCGCAACTGTGTCCCGCAACTGCGGTCTTCTATCCCCGAGAGCCCATGGCAGGTCTTTCACCAGGTTAAGTAGCGCCCCCAGGGCTATCAGGCTGAACGCGCACATAGGGCCCAGGAGGGCAAACACGGTGAAGCCGTACGACGCGCGCTGGAAGCGGACGTCCCCCTGAAGGCGGTCTGTAGCGAGACCAACCTGCATCGCAGTCAGCACCAAGGCAATGAAAATTGTGGCCGTGGCCATCCATGCAAGATTCTCCCGGAAGAGGGTGCTGTAGTCGCGCCAGCCGCGAAGGTATGGGTCGAATGGGGGAAGACGTGTGAAACGGTGAATAAGATTGATGCGAGATAGCCGGAGCTCAGCCCGTTCGAAGCGTGAGTTGATTTCATCTGGGTTATGCTGTTCAAGGATCTCGCGGGCTAGGTTCTTCCATTTTGTCCATTTGATTGTCGAGCCGTCCGTATCTCGAGGTAAGAGGTTATTTTCGTTGGCTATGATGAAGTCGCTCTCTGAGGATATCAGGCATGCGTACGTGTAAAGGAAACCGAGGGCGACGCTCTTAGTGTACCTCATGCGACAGACTGCAGAATTATGTTCATCCACGCCTGACGGCGGAGCCACAGCTTTACTGTTTCTCCCGGTCCCATCGAGCTCATATTGATAGGTGCCAGGGCAGTTTAAGTTTTGGCGCCAAAACTCCGGGTCAACGAGAAATCGAGGAATAGGCTTCACAAAGATCCATCCCTTCTCGTCCCAGACAAGATGCAGATCCATCCGGTCGACAATGACTATATGTCGACCCATTGCAACTTGAAAGTGTAGCTGCGTAGCAGGACGCTTGGCGCCGGCAAGCCATAGATGCTGCATCATTTTACCCAGGCGACGGAGGCTCATCTCCCTGTTAAGGAAGTCTGGCACGCTTTCGGCGGGGTTTCTCACAGTGCGGCACTTCCTTCCCTTGCCATCAGTCTCATGATAATGGTAGGAGGCCGGCAAGGGATCCGGTGGGTCTTCAAAATCCTCCAACACATTGGTTGTGAACTGTAAATTATCAAAGCCTAAGGTATTAGCTCGATGTCAGGCGCTATTGGGGTCCTAACATACCGGGAAACTCGAATACTCTGATCCGCCGTACATAAGCCGGGAAATGGTGCGATAGAGTGGTTAGTCTTGAGTTGAGCCTTTTTAAACCATTAGCAGCCGAGTACTGTGATCTATAATTGTGTCTAATAAAATAAGTATATTTTACTTGTACGCTGGACTTTTGCAGAACCAGGTGCATGTAGGTGTCAATCTTTTTGGTCCAATAGGCTTTTCATCTGAGAGATTGATAACAATATTTGCTTTTTCACATCTTTAATTTCGGGCCACGTACTCCGTATTCGCACATGCCCTGTACTTCATGTTACGTGATTTCATCGACTCTACTCCGTACAATATCAAGGCTCCGCCTCATTGGCCCATGGGGGCTTTACACCACATAATGACTCGAATAGCTTACAGTGAGTTGCGCCCATATTTCCGCTTTGCCGAAGACTAATATGCCATCTGTGGGGTGTTCGCGCCCATGGCTCCGTGCCAGAGAAATATTCGTCTGTACGTGACGCATAAGGCATCCAGATGTCACATTCCTCCCCACATATCACAAGTGATTACTGCGTATGGAGTAAACGACTGAAATTATAGAAAGCAAGCTGCGTAACGCCAACAGTACATTTTTAGTTTATTCCTAGCCTCGTCATGTCAAGTGTGAGGGGTAGGGAAGTAGGGATACTGGCTGGAAAGCCCAGGGCATAATTACAGAAGTAAAATTAAAACAATGTCTACGGAGTATTCACGAGATTACTTGGGTAAGTCCGGAGGGAGATGATTACAAAGATTGATCCTGCACCTGGGCAAGAGGGGTCATTGGATTAAGCAAAGCAGGCCTTTTATCCCCGGAAGATATGCAACAATATTAGTATAGCCAATTGACAAGAATACTACACCACGCTCCACGATCACAGCTTGGAGAACTCATTATTCATACAACCTCTGATAGGAAGGGCAAGGAACCTAAGCAATTCTTTACAATCATCAGTCTTGATTTCCCCATATGTCTCTTCGAAAACCCCACCGTCGCGCCTCGAACGACGAAGATGAGTACGACCAACAGCACGATGCGCAACGACATCAACCAAATCATGGACCGAACTTCCCTCACGATCCCACCGGGAACCATTTCTGCCTCCATTGTCACAAAGCCAATGCGCGGGAGTCCAAGCAGAGGCTATGGAACAAGATCGCTGAAACGGAAAGATTACTCAAAAACACAAAGGATGACCGAGGCACGATGAGAAAGGATCCACCTCTTACAGTCGATGAGTCCCGAACAATGGAACAACCAGAACCACCTGGAGCAGCGGAAGGGTTACGGGGAGTGGAGTCCGATGAACGACGGCAGCGAGTTAGCGAGCAAGAAAGGAAAAACGAGGAAATGAAATACGAGCTGGTGCAAAAAGGCAACGAGCTGCAGTTGGCCAAGCGGGAACTCCTGCAGGCCGAGGAAAAGGCGCAGGGGCTACTGCAGATTATAGAGAGGAACGAAGTGGGCGAGGGGATGGCCAAGCTTCTTCAGAAACAATACTCACAGAACCGTCAGCTACAGAACAAAGTCGACAGTCTCTCCTGTGAGATGAAGTTAAAGGCATTGGAGACAAAGGAGTTGGAACGGAGGCTGTTGGAGGAATATGCCCAACATGAGTGGGTGTACAAGTATGTTGGTTCCCTTGAACTGCGGGGGAGAGTGGCAGACCGTGTTTGAAATGGATCTTTGTTTTTATTTTATTTTTGTTATCTACTACTACCTTATCTGGAATAATTTACACTCATAGATTGAGTTGTGGCTGGCTGGATGCAGATCATCACCCAGGTGAACTACAACGTGCGTGATGTGGAGTATGTACAGCTCAGTCGCTTACTGAGGGGAACACCTCGGCGGGGTGCATGATGTGTCACTTTTTGGGCTTTCCTGTGGGTTGCAGTGCCCGATGAATGCGTTGCTGAGAAGACAACGGGACAACGGCTGAGTTGTGCCCCAGTAGCAGATCTTAGCCTTGTCAAGGAGGCCAGGTTCCTATATGATAGTACCATTCTAGGATAAGGGTAGTTGTCAGGTCTGCATAAATAAGTATAAGTATACTTACCCTTCTACGAGGATAAACAAAACAAAACAAAGCGTCTTCCGACAATTTTCCAGATGTCAGAGCACAACGAAGGTCAGTCACCAACCTCTTGGTCGAAAAATTTCTCTCCTGGTTGCTGATTATGATATAGACACCCAAGCAATTGAGGAGCTGCCGAAAACAAATGAAGAGCCCGGGGGCAGTGGAGGCAACGTGGAGCAGACACAACAGACTGATCAGACACAACAGACTGACCCCGTCAGCGGCGATGGCGGTAAGAAGTCTCCGGTGGAAGGTGAAGAGCCCAGGCGAGACAGGATTGACGCCTCTAGAAACCACCAACGAAAATAGCCCAAAAGAAGGCGACCCTCCGGCGAACAAAGGGAGTGACCGTTGGGCTCAAATACAGATGTTCAAATATGACAAAAAGGGGCTTGGGGATAGAACCGAATTGATCCGCCAGAGACTTGCTCGGCTACAAGGAGAGAAGGAGGACTGGGCGCGGAAGGAAAAGAAGTGGGAGGAGGAAAGAAAAGAGTGGGAGACGGAGAGGCAGCTGTACGAAGATCACATTCTAGATCTTCAGAAGACGATTAACGACGCCAGCGAATATCTCACTAGCATCAGCGAGGACCTCGTCGTCAAGTTGAAGGTCTAGCTTCTGAAAGTTGTTGGTCTGACGTGGTTAGCACAAAGTTGGAATACAAGAATATGTTTTTTTATGAGCCTGTATAGCTTTTGAAATAATAATGGAATTTATAGTGGAAAGTATCAGATCCGTGAATGATATTCCGTAGACGTAAATAGACTGGTAGGTAAATCTCATAACCCCATGTCCTGCCCGATGGGTTAGCTCGGGCTTATAGATGGTCCGTATCTGTCCAAGGGTGTAGCGGAGCGGGCCTTCCTCTTGGACTTCGTCTTCTACACTTTCTCTCCTCTTCCCAGCGTAGGATTTTTCACTCGAATTTCATTATTGCATCATCCACTGGTTATGGGCCAACGGTTCTCGATACTTATTCCAGTCACTCCCTGCCTTTTGACCACAGTTTGAATTCCCAATACCAGGTAGCATTCATTTTCTCGCATATTACCCATTTCACAACATGGGGAGTAAGCAGGAGCTCAAATTATGTCGAAGCAGAAGGCCTCGTCAAGCCTGGGGGATCAAGTCGGTGTCCTAGTAAAAATGACTTCTGCCCTCATCATATTGACCCATGGCTCCATACAGTGTTGTCGCTATACATGGCTTGGAAACCACATCGAAGAAAACATGGACCTTCGGCAGTCGCAATTCTGAAAACGGAATCAACTGGCTAGAGGACGATTCCATGTTGGCAAAAGCTCTCGAAGAAGCCGATATCTGGACATACGATTGGCCTGCTACCTTTCTGGACAACATCGTCCAAGGGACACTGGAAGACCATGCGAAATCTTTTCTTGATCTTCTTTACACCCAGTTGACCAAGGACAAACCCACACCCGTTAAACTGGACCAGATTATTTTTATTGCTTCCTGCTTTGGTGGGCTACTTTTAGCTGACGTACCTGACCCCCCCCCCCCCCCCCTCTTCCTCCTCTTGAATCCTTGCACCGTTCGCACATTAATAAGGTATATTTAGGCACTATACCGAGCAAGCTCTACAAATATAGAGCACGGTCAAGCGGTACTGCAAGCTACGGTGGGAATTGTGTTCCTCGGCACACCTTTCCGTGGTTCTGATGCGTTCAACTTCGCTCGGTGGGCCGCTCGCCTTTATAAGCCGGCGGTGGGAGACTCGCCACCAACTCTCCTGCAACGTCTTTACAAGAAGGATACGCACCTCGAGAGCTTAAGATGGAATTTTATCGATACGGCGAGAAGAACCCCAATACCTGTCGTCTGTTTCTATGAGACAAAGCCTACAAACCTCCTAAAGAAGGTCTTACCTGGCAAAACGGCTGACTTTCTTTCACGCTACCTATCTGGAACTCTAATAACGGTAGGCAATCTCCCGTTGTATTCCCCTTCCTGAATCTGATATTGGACAGCTGGTACCAAAATCTTCGGCCGTCCTCGAAATTGCAGACCACTTTGCTATGCACGTCCCACACTCAATACTGAACAAGTTCCGTGGCCCAGAATGCCCTAATTTCATCAAAGTCAGGGATAAACTCATCCATTTGAAAGACGGGATATCACGTCTTATGGATGATCGAAAGAGAAGTGAGTTGCGTGCGATGAATACATTCTTCGGGCCCTTGTCATTTTCAGAATCCTTCCTAAGCTCTATACAGGCTCCAAGGAAGCATACAACACTCTCCCGAGCCGAAATCGATATTTCATTGCACGTGAAAACTCCAGAGACAAGTTCTTGAAGGAGATTGTGGAGAGTGTCGATCCAAGTAAGATGATTGATACTTGTCCGAGAATATGTATTTGCGGTCTCGATGGTGTTGGTAAAACAAAACTTGCATTGGAAGCAGCTTGGAGACTACATGATGCGAAGAAGAACGACGACCTATGCTCCATATTCTGGGTCTCGGCGAGCACGGAGACGAGTTTCGAAAAGGGGTATCGCCTGATTGGGAAAACACTCCAATTAGACCCTGAAAGAAAAACGTTCAATCAAGTGGTGGAGATCGTTAATGACAGGCTGCGGACGAGACCTGGACACTGGCTCCTAATTGTTGATGACGTGAGGGAATGGATGGATGACCAAATCCTTCCTCAAGGGCCCAATGGCTCGATATTGGCTACAGCTGCTAGTTCGAGCATGGCTTTTCGGCTAAAAATGCAGTTTAATTACCTCGAGCGTCTCAGCTTAGAAGAAGCCATTGAACTCTTGAAGCTGCCTTTTTCGAAAGGCGAAAATTTTATCAACGCTGAGAATGTATCGGAAGCAAACACACTAGTTTCTGATCACCTTCTCTACCACCCTCTCGCTATCAAACTGGCATCAAAGTACATGAAGGCACAGAGAGCAAGCATTATAGACTACTTGGCGTTATTCAAAGATCGAAACCTCAACAATCAAGGTCTCTATCCCATTGACCGGGACACACAACGCGCAGTAGCCGAAGCCTGGCTCCTCTCTTTCGAACAGATTAAGAATGGAAACAAAGCAGCCTTGCCCATCCTCAAGAGGATTGCTTTTTGCGAAGAAAAAAAACATTCATGTGTCGCACTTGCAAATCGACATTGACGACCGTGTTCTTAACGCTTTGGTAGAGTACTCCTTTGTCGTGAAGAACATTATCGCCGAAAGAATTGATGTTCATCAGCTCGTTCAAACGGCAATGATAGACTGGTTTCAGAGTCAAGGGACCTTTGACAAAGAAGCGAGGTTGGAGGTAGAGACGCAACTCGAGACACTCCCTTTCCCCACCAGTGCTTCCAAAGAGCAATGGGAAAAAAGCCTCCCACATGCGGAAAGAACATTGGAAATTGCAGAAGAAGCATTTAGACATCCTGATCGAGACTTGGATCTCCCTAACATATTTTCCTATGGAGAGTCTGGGTGGCGACTCCTTTATATGGTCGGGCAGGCTAACTTCATGCTGAAAGGGTATGAAAGGGCGAAGAAGTTTCACCTAAGGGCTCTTGATCTGGAACGAGCTGGTCGGATGAACAGGTCACGCGAAGAATTGGCTGAGGTCAAAGACAGTCAAAAAGCCGAAACAGATGGCTTTTCGATGAATGATCTATCCGCGCTTATGCAAAGGGAGTCTCGAGCTTGTCGGCTCCTCATTCAGGGACCGCACAATGAGGGGAGCAAGGAGTTATTGGAGGTGTGGAAAAAGGCCAAGAGTCACTTGGGCGAGGCACATCCCCTCACCATTAACACCCTCGAAACTCTGGCCTATGCCTTGAAGCATCAGGACAACATTGATGAGGCAGCTACAAGATTTGAGGAGGTTTTGCGGTTGAAGAGGGAAAACCTTCCCCGGGATAGCCGGTCTATTCTGAAGAGCATTGAGAACCTCGCAGCTGTTTACCAACAGCAAGGCATTTACGACAAGGCCGAAAGTTTATTGCAAGAAGCTTTTCAGCTCTGTGCGAAGAAGGTGCATGGCAGTGAACATGAACATGACCCTACAGTCGCATATAGGGAGCAACTGCGCCTCTTGGTAAAACTTCAAGAGCTGCAAGGACCGAAAGAATAGAGTGCCAAGCTGCATGGTGAAATGTGAGAATGATAGCTTCACTGAAAGTGTTGTTAAAAGCAAAAATGTAAACAGAGAAATCTGACAGAGGCGCTTGACTAAATAACACGGTGAAACAACAACCAGTAGTAGTAGTATCTAGGTCGTTGCGAGAACCTCGTACCGCTCGATGGAATCCGAGGTTGTTAGACTCAGACCTTTCGAATAATTACTATGGGATACTAAAATTAGACTTGTTTGCCCAATATGCAACAGGAATGAATGCGTAGTATAAAAATTGAATTTCACACCAAGTTTAACACCAAATTCACATCCCAGGGAGTCTTCTTACATATAACGTCCCCCCCAATATTGGGAATTTTGTGCTGATAAAATATTTGCGCCTCAAAGACTTCCCCTTCTTGATGTCAATTCCTGCTCAATTCTTTCATCAAACCGGCGGTTTGGCCGAGTGGTCTAAGGCGATTGACTAGAACCATCTTGAAGTCATCCTTGAAAACAAGATTCCCCTATCAATTCCGTTCGCGGGCGCATGTTCGAATCATGCAGCCGTCGTTACATTTTTGCTATTCTTATTGACGGATTTCCTGGTTTCGCCGCAGAAGACCCAGTGATGGAAGACGATATAGGTCTTGGGATGCAGAAAGTTTTTTGGGTTGTGAAAAGCCTCGCGCAAAAAAAGTCATGGAGCCTTGAAAAGAATTTTTATTTTGTTATCTTTCATTTCTGCCCGATTAGGGCTTTCATTGTGGAGCCGAGCCGCTTGGTCTTGGTATGATATTGGGGGTGTGATATTTGGCAGTCGGCCTAGATTAGTAGTTCTACACAGATAGTAACAGAGGGAGCCTCGGACAATGAGATGTTATTACAAATTTGAAGCTCCTTTTGTATCTACTTACAGGATTTACAGAGTCGCGGTAGCAAAACACGGAGGCTACGCAGAGCTAGTCATATATATATATATTTCTACTGGTCGCCAAGGTGAGATGAGTCGTGCGCTAAGCGTGGAAGAAATATAAATTACCATAAACCAGGATATGACAGCAAGGAGCAAGTGCATCCGAGACAAATTTTGTAGGGCTCGGGTTTATTGCTCGATCACTATACGCAATATCCAGATGGTGATTGTGGTTATGTACAGCAAAAGTATGTCCTGGGGCGCAAGTTTTCAGAGCGCTTCAACTTCATCCAGCCTAAGCTTGGTCCAGCGCAAAAGTAAGTCTTCGAAACTCTCCGGGAGCGGAATCAGTGTCCCCGCCGCCGAGAGAGAATCCGGATGAGAGTTTTCTTCTGCTTCGGAATCCTCCCCAGACAGTCCTCGAGACCGAGGAGAGTAAAACGCAGGAGACCGACCAAGTTCCCTGTTTGAGTGTGATACAGGAGAGTAAGATGGCGAATATGGGGAATAGGAGGGTGACACTGGGGAATAGGAGGGTGATGTAGGGGGAAAGGCGGGAGAGGTTGGAGAATAGGCGGGTGAAGTAGGAGAATAGGCAGCCGATACAGGAGAATAAGCGGCAGGAGTACGAAGCGTAGTAGAACGATTAGGTCCCGAGCGAGAATGCTCTCGGTTGTTGGATGATGTGCCGGTGGCATTCCTTATTGGGTCCGTCCAGATAAATTCAGTTTCCTGGCCATCTATTTCGGCTGTTACCCGGGTCCGAGAGTAGCCACGGTGAACTGGTCTTTGATCCGTAAAGGTGATTTTGGTGGGAGTCGTCGATTTGCCCGGCACAATCGGTGAGCCGGTCTTGTTTTCAGCGATCACCGTGGGGTTATAGTCAGTCTCGCCATAAGCCTTTTCCTTATCGGAGAGGTACTGTTTCTTCTGCGTCCGCTCAATCTCGAGTAGTTCAGGCTCGTCGCGAGAGGAGCTCTGTAACTCGCTGGAGTCCTGAATGCTGCCGGCGGCAGCGGACATCTCGACAATGGAAGTTTTACGTGCGGTCTGACGGGATATTGATTCGGGCGAACGTAGCATGGGTGGACCTGCAAGTCTCGCAAGGTCCTCTTCCCCCAGCGCCTTTCTATAGACCTGATGGGGCGCCTCTGCTTCCGCCTTTGGCAATCCTAGACCGTCGAACCGGGGAATGTTCGAACAGGGTCCTCCGGTCAGCTTTAAGGGAGCGTCAGGGATGGGCACTGGCAAGGCAGTGTGAACCCTTGGACTTTCTGTGCTGTCGTTCTCGTCGCTATTGACGTGTCAATAGCGTTCTTTGTATAAGTGTCGGGATACAGCAACATCGGTGGACTCACCTCAGTAGTGACTTATCAAAATGATGGAGAACAGAATGCCCATGAGTGATTTGGAATCGAATAATCTCGCTGTCATGTATACTCAGCACGCCTTTTCTTATTCTTAAACAGCGGCTTTTCTCGAGTTTGGATTTGCAGGAATCAATTTCGTCCAGCATTTTATGAATCAATGCGTTGTACTCATTCACTTCGGCGAACTGGACTTTTTGGACTGGAAGTGGTTTTGGTGGTTCTCTTGGAAATTTCGAGTCGACCATGTGCTCAGTCTGTTGATAGTTTGGTGGAGGACTGTTTACACCATTCGTTTCAAGATGCTTCTCCCGTAATAGCGCCTCTATCAGAGCACGCTGCTCTTGATCATTCGGTATATCATGACTATCATTTATTAGAAAGAAGCATGGCCAAGATCCAGACTCAAACTCACTTGCGAACCTTCCCAGCAAACATAATCACATTGAGCAGAAGCAGCATTGTTGACTTCAGCCTTTCCAAGTCGGTTTTCAGGGGATTTAGACTCGGTTCTAGTAGAACGAGCTTAAATTTCCCAGTGACCTGTTGCAAACGGCTCTTGCCAGACTGCTCATTCGTACAGACAACTTTTTCAATTTGTCGAAGCACGTCGCGACACTGCTGCAGGACACACTTCAGCGTTTGAAATGCTTCGTCGGAGCAGAGCTTGGATGCTTCTTGCCCTTTCAAACTATCACCAAGCTCGCGCAGAATGGCACTAATAAGTGCGACCTCGTTTGATAAGAGCTGTATAGTCTCGTTGGCGTTTTTGACTCGTCGGTAAAAGGAGAATAGTTTGACGGATAGGGAAGTGCCTAAGTCTGCAACCTGGATGATACTGGCCGCAACACCGACAATTTCGAGACCAGACATATTGTAACAACGCGCTAGGTACAGATAAAGAAAAAGAGACGTCTGAGAAAGGCGGGTGTTAAATGGGCATTGCAGCGGGGCGCACTAGCAGGGCTGTGTTAGCGCTTTGTTAAATGCCCACGTGAGGGCATCTTCGATCGTTACCTATTCTGCACTTTGTCAGTCAATCTTGGAATATTGGACTCACAGATAGCTCAACATAGATTAATGGTTTGTGAGAGTATAAAGCTTGCCCTAACTTGGCTTGCAGTAGCTCTGTGAAGAGTATCTGAGCTCATCATCTATACCTAACGTTCAATGTAAGGAAGTCTACTGGCACAGAGTAGTGTGACGGAATAAAATACGGCATTATTTCACCAGACCACAAAAGCCAAGGTTCTTGTTTAGGGCCTAGAGGGGCCATATCCCAGTTTCACATATTGTTCAAGATTAATCGAATTCCAGAGTCTCTAAATTGCATTTCTGCTCGGTTATAAAAGTCCAAGCGGTAGCAAAAGAATATGGATAACCAATACCCAGATAGGTACGTGGGCACAAAGATAAAGACAAGAAGACCAAAAAAAAAAAGTTAATCGACAACCCAAGACAAGATCCGTTCAATCGCTGGCATCATGGAAGAAGAGATAAGAAAGGAAAAGCTAGCTAAGATAATCATTTCGTGGCCTCAAAAGCACATTCAAGAAAAAGGGAAACATTTCAAAAAGACATAGCACCGTGACAAGGGGGGGATCATTTATATCAACACGGCTGGAGAAGCACATAACTCGTTTTGTACATGTCGTAAGCTGGGCCTATAGTAGACACAAGAGAAAGGGAAAACGGAGGATGCTAGATGATACCAAGAGAGCGCTCACGTGAATTCCACGCCGTGCTGCTGCTGCCTTTCTTGTCGGGTCCGGGCTCGTTCAGCACGTCTGCGGCGACGATTGTTCGCGTACGAACCGCTCATCTCAGTACCGGTATATGTGGGCGAAGTGATACTGCCTGCCCCGTATGGGATGGTAGAAGGCGCAGGAATGGGAGGTGGTGGCGGCATTTGGCTGACTTGGGAGGGCGGAGCGCCCCATGAGGACGCCGGCATGCTGCCTGAAGGAGCCATGGATGCCTGTGGCGGGGCAAGGCGAGCTGCTGCTGCCGCCTGCTCACGTCGCATTTGCTCGTCTTGTTGACGTTCGAGCTCTTCAACGCGACGCCATCGGTCATAACCAGCGTCTTCATTGCCAGACAAAGAACCCGCACTGCTGTTGCGACGTCGAGAGTTTCTTCGCTCTCTGCGACGGGCCTCGCGGCTCGCGGCCGCTTCTTCTTCGGTCAGTCGACGGAGTGTCACATGTCGTCCGTCATTGTGCATTTTGACTTTCACGGATACCGGTGGAGAGGCAACGTCGTCCTCTCGGCGCCGGCTGCTGCTCCGATTGCGACGGGAGGCTGCGTCTAGTGCTGCGCCAGCGGCCGCACCTGATGCAAATTCAGCTCCATCATGGGCGAGGGAGTGGCGTGAGGGACGAGCTTCGGGCCTCAAGTCGCCAGAGAACTGCTGGTGGCTCGGGGGCATAGGCGGCATATCTGATACAGCACTATGGACAGCACCGGAGGCGAGAGGCTCTGCAGTAAGAAGAGATTCTCCATGTCCATGTGATGCGTGTCGAGGTGGAGGGCGGGACAAATCGGTTTCAGTGAGATCAGTTTCACTGTACGAACTGGCCCTTCTTCGTGGGTAGAAACTTTCTCCCCCCTGTGGACGCCGTCTGCTGTTTGCTCTCTGCAGCGCCTCGTCCTCATATTCTCGGCGCTTGATATCCTCCAGCCGCTGTTTCTCTTCATCATCCTTTTTACCGCGGCTGAACAGGCGCTTCACGGCAGCAAAAGCACCGGCACCCAGAACGGCGTCTCTAATCCCATGAGAAGCGTTTCGCTTGGGCGGCTCGGTGAAATATGTGCTGTTGTAATAGTAAGACGAGCCTGGACTTTGGGACCTGCTCGGGACACGGCTCGGTGGCCGATTAAGGGGCGTGTGGTGGGTCGGCTCCGGTCGACCATCTTCCATTCTGCTGAGAGATTCATCCGTGTGGCTAGTACTGCGCGAATGCGCAGGTCTATAGCGGCCCGACTCAGCATCGTCTTCACGCTTCTTTCGGCGGTCCCAGAACTTCTTGGCCATGAGAGCAGCCCCAGCAAGTGCGCCAATCTCGAGGAGTTTCTTGCCGAAACCACCACCTCCACCACCGCCACCGCCATGATGGTGGGAGGATTCATCCGAATACTTTTCATCGGAAATAGATGTGCGGGAAGCTTCATAAGCATGGCTTGGGTGGCGACTGCTTGTACGTCGTCGAAACATTGAGGCCAAACCAGCACCGGCAGCGCCTGCAGCGAGAGCTGCTCCTGTGTGATTGCCATGGTGCTCTGAAATTTCTGAAGGACCTGTATAATGACTGCGACCACCGAGATCACTTCCCATGTGATATCCTTCGACGTCATATTTGTAAGAAAGTACAAAGTAAAGAACCAAGTATCCGAAAGCTGTCAGCGCGAATAGGATGAAAAGGACCTTTGGCGAACCGTAGAGCGTAAGTCCCAGCGGAATTTGAGCAATGCCGAGAAGTACTAGAGCACGACCCAACCACCGGTGCAACTAGGATATGTTAGGAGAGCCCATATATCCCTTCTTGGGGTGTTACTTACCACTAGTTTCAAAGGAACGTGGAGTCGCTGTCTCTTACTCTCCTTCTTGTGCAGGAACCAGCCCCACAGCACCTGGAAGATGACCAAAACATAGATTGCTAGGCCAATTCCATGATGGGGGTTAGTTAGGCTTCTTTCGGGCCCAACGGCAAACCACCCAAGCACAAACACGACCGTGGTCAAGAGCAAAGTAAGTACCTGACACCAAGCATGTAATTTGAATGCCCAATAAGGATTCCATCGGGAGTAGTATCGGATTATGAATATTGATGTTGGGACGATACCCAAGAAAACGATTGTTGCAATGACGCCGTGTGCGATGATTATGGAATGATACCCAGCCATATCCTTGAAACGGTTCCCCATGCCTGTAACGTGTCAGTGGTTACAAGAAAGTTGGAAACGTATGCAACAATATCAAAAGTAAATTGCTGATGTTCTGAACTAACCATTGTATCGCATAGTCTCAAAGTTGATCCCCATCAAATTGGGCAGCAGGAAGGTATCTCGCCCGGAGTCCCAGGTGCCATCGCCAACATGAAGGGTATTGGACGCATACGTGCTGCTCCCAGCGGCGGCGAGATCCGAGTCTGACATTTTGCGGATAATACTCGAACGACCATGCGATATTCAGTCTGGAATGTCGGATCTACCGGAGATCTTTCGAGATCTCCCGATCTGAAGAATGCACCATGCGATAACGAGATCGGAATTCTAACTGGAATGTCCAATAACAGTTGACCCGATTGATTGTATGTTGGCCAGTTTATGGCGATTGATCGTGTTACAAGATCTAAGTAGGGTTCGAAAGAGTCGTAAACTAGACGTCGAGGCGGAGCGCAAGGAGAGGGAGGAAAAAGAGTCGTACAGATTCGGAATGTGAGGTTAGGATAGGATTGAAAAAGCGCCCGACAACGCTGTTGGTATGAAATAGAAAAATGCACGTCGCACAGGCACTTCGGGCAGAGAGGAATCACAACAAGAGGCTGAGCGATTCCCCCAGTCATTTGTTTTCCGACAACCCATTACCGGGCCAACCAGCCGCTGACTCAGCATTGCTATTGTGACCGCCTTCCAAAGTCAGCTAGCCTGTTCCCGAGGTCGTTATCTTATCCGTCTTATCCTCAGCTGATCTTATCACAAGATTGCGAGCGAATGGAGCCCAAATTGGTCACTTCCCATCTGGACACTTTTTCTTCTTCCCCCGCCTGATACTTTGGGATGAGTGCCCTCAATCCAACATGAGTCCTCAACTAGAGATATTCATCAAAGCTTTGTCCCGGTTTGTGAACTCCTATTCGCACCCGAATCCCACCGGGCTTTATGAACATGACTGACCAATTTCTAGCTTTTTAGGATGGTCATAGTAAGTTTACGTGATGAACCCAAAGTTATATCTCATATGACACTTGGATTGATGGCTAACTCGAGCGCAGCATGCTCTGCTGGTCGGGGTCTTTTTATCCGCAGCCCATCACCAACTGGAAACGCAACTCGACCGTCGGCTTATCCATTGATTTATCAACTATAAACCCTCTGGGCTTTGTCTGCTATGCGGTATATACCTCTGTTTTCCTCTACTCGCCCGTCATTCGATCACAGTATGCGGCCCGCCATCCTGCCTCGATCGAACCCACCGTCCGGTTTAACGATTTCGCATTTGCGGCCCACGCGGTGGCATTGTGCATCGTAATGTACACACAATTTTGGCCTTTCATCTGGGGGTTCCACGTTCCCCGTTTCCAAAGGATCAGCTGGACAATGGCAGGGCTCTTTTGGGGATGTGCCTTGGCTCCTCTAGTGGTTACGGCGATCGTGTTGGCGCAAAGTCCGGACGGAGGGTATGATCCTTCTACTTGGGCGTGGATTGATGTGGTAGGTGAAAACATGCTGCCCTTCTTCAGTGGAATTCTAAATCACATGGGAACTACAAGACAAAGCTAAATTCCTCCAGATCTACTCGTTTTCGTATATCAAACTCCTCATCACCATTGTGAAGTATATGCCTCAAGTAGCGCTGAACTACAAGCGCCAATCTACAGTAGGATGGAGCATTGGAACCATCCTTCTTGACTTGGCTGGCGGGGTCCTTTCAATGCTTCAACTGGTACTTGACTCCAGCCTTCAAAGTGACTGGAGCGGTATCACCGGCAACCCGGTCAAGCTACTGCTGGGCAACGTTACAATTTTCTTCGATGCAATCTTCTGCATTCAACACTACGTCCTATACCGAGATACCCCTGACCAGAAGAAACACCTGGTCCGGGCGAGCAATCGCCTCTCTTGGTCGGACAGGATGATGCTGTGAGAGATCGGGTATGATCCAAGACACACAGAGAGATCCATGAGACGAACCTGGTGACCTTGGGGCCAAATTTGAGACATTGGAGATATGTCTCTATTTTTGTGTAGAAGCAGTGCAGTCTGACCTTGGATCTTTGAGACATTGTGGGGGCGGTAATTCTGACCACCCAACACCTTAGCCCTGGGAGACCTTGGCGATCTGACGATTTGGGGGTTTGGTTTAAGCCACGATTTAGATACATGATAGACCGTCCTATTAAGAAGTCGATGCTGCTTTCCTCTTTTTTCCTTTTTGCTTTTTTTCTTTTTTTGGTTTCCGGATATGAGACACACTAACTACCATGGAATATTATCCTTAGACCGAAGATATCCGATCTCACAACCAGCTTACTACGTACGTGCCATTGTAGAAGTATTCAGGCCATCATTTGCTATGCCCAGAACACCCCCAGAGAATCTGTCAAAATGCGATAGTTACTATTCACACAATGACTGGATAATAAGCCCGAAGCCACACTGAGGCTCACGCCGATCATATTGTAGCGGACACCGCTCCTCGTTTTGAACGGCCCCCGTATTTTGGTCCCCACTGAACGTTGTGAGTGGTCGAATAATGGGATAAGCACAAACTTCTCATCATTTGGCCAATCATGAAAATGGACACGGTCAATCCACAATGCACTAACGGTGCTAGCCGTCGGTGTCACTAAGTGCCTATGGCACTACCGGAGCTGAACCTGAATTCCAGATTCCCAGACTCAATATGAGCTCACTTTCTACCCCCTGCAATACCTGGTTTCCGTAATGATCAACTATACACAATAGCCCTGGAGCGAAATATGTCTGCCAGGCATCAATCCCAGCTCCCTACTAGTAAGATACCCCGCCACGCAAGAGTTGCTACCTCCGGCTTTACCGTTACCTCCAATCTGACTCAACCTTAAGAAACCGGAATTAAAATTATGGATGGAATCGGAAATTATTAACATGGCATCGGTGATTATATGTATAACATTGGGTATCTCTTGTGTAATGTGGCCATAATAGTGAGGACTATAGACAGACCAGTTCCACGTGTTTATCACGAACATGTACAAAAAGACATAAAAGGATCTTACCAAGTACAGCAACACCGTTCCTGGTCAGACCCGGCGCCCTGGGCGTCTCGTGGCTTTCTAATGACCAATAATACGAACACACAATGCAGGCCCTGCGAATATCATACTTATCATACTTAATGCATGAAACCCTAACCTCTGGCAATAATCTGCCGGTCTTGGTCTAGCCAACCTGGGAAAGTACTATGCGCAGACCCACGTCGTCATCTTTCAGCCCTACTCTGATGGAAAACAATAATTATACACGTGAGAGACCAGCACCTCTACAAGCCCTGATTGGACCGAAGATCATCTCTCAAGGGGAAGCCAGTAGACCCGGCCCCCGGTAATCCATCCATTCTGAATCAACTTGAGTCAACCACCAGAGCCAAGTGAGGGACATCAACTGCTCATTGGACATTACCAATTATAACTGACCGGTGTGATTAACAATTCAATCTTCTATATCGAGCATGGCAGTATGATCATCGTTTCAACTTCTTCTGCGGAACGCCTAGAAATTCAAGATTACAGCACTGCCTCCTCGACATGATATGGCCATAAATAATCGACTGCCGGTTACGTCTTAGTCTCAAAGACAAGTTCAGCTCTAAATCTGCCAAAACTCTATAATACTTTGGCTTCTCGATCTTATCGGGCAACAATCTTCAATGCATGGACACCTATTCATACATCCTTTATAAGGACGAAATTACACTAATCGTCAACTGATATGCAAGAGCTGTTTTCTGAAACGACAGCTTTGGGTACTTCGACTGGGAGTCCTATTTTCCATCCTCAGAACTACCATTCCACAATATCATCTACACTCCAGCATCGCCAACGTCGTCATGTACCCTAGTCGCCAGAAGCCTAAGAGTATGTACAGCACTGTGCCCGATAGTGCTGGTTACTCAAGGTCCTCAGAGCCCCAATATATTGGAGGCCTGTACGATATCCCTACCGATCTTCCATCCAACTCTCACATATCCGCCCTTCAGCAGATGAACATGAACTCGATGAACGCACAACTAAACCGTCGGTCCTTCCTAACCCCGGGGCAGTGTTCCACCGGGAGAAGGGAATCGATAGACACTGATACAATTGGCTCTCAATACGCGTGGTCCACTGCGTCTAACGCAGACATTCTCCTAAATTCTCCTCATATACCCACCTCTGAGACCCCCATCGGACGCACCACAACGCCGTTCTTTCAAGGTTACTATCCCCGGGAATCTCTACAACTCGCTATGAATGGCCCTGGCACGTCGGGCTATACCCCCCAACAAATTGACCAATGGTGCCTTGAGAGCGAACCAGCCATAGACTTTTACCAGTCGCAGCCCTTCCCAAACATGGGCTCTATGCGCTTTCCCCCATCGGCGGAAGTGCAACCAGAGACCTACCCGACATTCAACAACCAACTCGACACTGCAAACGAGCAGTGGCTTTCTTGCCCATCCCATTCCTCTGATCCAATCCCAGAAGCCTTCTTTTCAGTCCCCCAATCAATCTCAGTTCCCCGATCTGTCCCAGCGCCAACAGCCCATCTCTACCAATCCACCGCTACGACCACCTCAGTCTCCTCATCGCCACCACACTCACTCTCTGATCCAGATTCTCCACCAGCCGCACAAGGCTCGGCCTCGGGCTCAGGATCTGGCTCCAACTCAGGCGACCTAAGCAACTACGGGATCCCAACGGGCGACGGTACCTGGCGTTGCGCTTACCCAGGGTGTTCCTCACGGGCTCTCTTCAATCGAGGATGTGATCTGAGGAAGCACTTCAACCGCCACCGCAAGTACCTCTTCTGTCGCTACGAGGGATGTCCCCAGTCTGCGAAGAATGGCTTTAGTAGCAAGAAGGACCGTGCTCGTCATGAGGCGAAGCATAATCCTGGTGTTCTTTGTGAGTGGGAGGGCTGCGCAAAGGTCTTCAGTCGTGTCGACAATATGAAAGACCATGTAAGGAGGATTCACCGGAAGGGAGAGACTGGGCTTAGTAGTCGGTGAGATTACTATGATGACTATGATGGTGCTTCGGTTCATATTTACTTTTGTTTACCTTTGTCTCGGGTGTCGTTAGCTGCTTGTTGTTCTTCGTGGATTTGATTGGTTATTTTATGTACAACATTGGTAGGCAAAGCGGAAAAAGGTATTGCTAATTTAGGAATGTGCGATTCTGTTGTTTAGCGATTACATTTCGCTATCAAAATCTAAGCACATGAGACTTTACAGAAACAAATCGTTTTCCAGTCTGAGAAATGCTAGGTCTTTAGTGATGTCGAGATGCAGGTCTGGAATCAAACTCAGCGTCGGGGAATAGTCTACTGCCGTAAGAAGTAACAAAAATGCTTGATTCTAATTTTAACCCTATAGAAAAGCCCTAGGCCAGACTAACATCATTCTGATAATAGGAACTATTGCGAAAAGGGCTGTAATCAGCTACCCGTGATCTTCTCATGTACCAAAGACGTTTACACGGAAATAGACCTGATGGAACGCGTATTTCCCCCATATCTAGATTCTAATAATAGTGCAAGATACTCATAGCCTTCTATAGACAAACAGTATTGTACAGTGTCTAACTGACCATCCGTATACGAGCCCATTGCTACTCAGTTGAGGCTATGTGCAGCAGCGAAGAGCAAGTACAGAGTCAAAAATATAAATAAATGCAGCGATTGCCCGATTTCCTTTTCTATTCGGAATACCCAGGTAACGAGGTTCGTCACGTCTGTCTGTAAGTCGGTGGATCTAGAGCAATGATCCAAATCATCGCCTTTCTATGTCAAGACCAAAAGTATGTGACGAGATCCGCTTTGCAGATTGGGAGCCCTATCGAAACCGCCTCCGCGTTCGTGTTCATCGACTACCATCTGATATGATAGTATTCTGCTTAATGAAGCACCAGTCCCGAAACATCTTCCTCGGATCGGTAGCGACACCAGCCATGCAACTTGAGTAAGGTGGGCCCCACCATACCAGGGCCTCCGCAGGGAACCCAATCACAGTCTACTGCGCCCCGAGGATGTGGACATGATACAGCGGAGGTTATCAGCATCGTTCCGGGGCCATGGAACCAACCCGAGCTCGGCGTATTCCAAGGTTACACCGACGCCCCGGGCGAGTGTCAACCCACTAATGGCTACACGATGGGTCAGCCAATATAATACACCAATCAATGCATTGATCAGCCGCAAGCTTCCTGGGGGACCAGGAGCTGCACGAGCTGTTACACTATTAGATCAGGGAGATGAATGATATAGGTAGTACTCCTGGGGTGTGTTGCAGTTCAAGTCTAAAGAAAAGAAATACCACTGACTATCAGATACCTGAAACTTCCAAGGTTTGGGAAACCAAGGTTCCGAGACTTCAAGGTTTCAGGTTCACACGTGTTCCAGGGTTGAGGGTTGTCTTAGAAGCTTAATTCCCAACTCTATTTTTGAAACGTATCAGGAACAAAGGTATTGTGTTGTAAACCCTGCCTATGGCTGTTGACTTTGAGAGACAATGCTTACACAACACGACCGAAACCAAGGAATGCAAGGAACGTTCATATTTCGTGCAGATACCCCGTCAGTCGAAGGCAAAGTTCTCGCCATGCGTGTAAGCAAAAGCTTGCGAATTTGTAGTCCCATTGAAGCAAAAACTCCCCGGAGTCCAAGACCCCAACCAAGCAGGATTTCCAGAGAGAGAAAGCGGACATGGCAGTCTTGTTCGCAGCATCACAATCCCGAGACTCATACAACCACCCCGTAATGATCGACCGAACAAGCCCATAACCACCATCTGCATGACCACTAAACTTCGTCATGTTGTAATGATCAGCATCGATACTACAATTCTCATAGCCTCGCAGAACAGCCGAGTTCTCTTCAACGATCTTGCCCACTATACCATTCATATTCTTCGCTTCATATAAACAGAAGACCTTAAGGGCGAGGTCACCGCGACGGAGCATAGGCTGGAACTCGTTTCCAACTAGTTGCACATTGTTTGAATCCGGATGAAGAGCCCCGACCATATCCTTGTTCGCGGTATGGACTATTTTCATGCCTTTTGCGAGTTTCTCTCGGTAGGAAGCGAGCGAAGACCCGTATTGCGGCGTGCCCATGAAGATTATCCCAATGGCGCTTGATGATATCTCCCATAGTCCGTCTATGGAGGTGCTGAGGACCAGGGCGTGTTGGCATACCAAGCCGCCTGAGACTGTGCGCGATGAATAGGATCGGTCTGTTTGAGCAGTCGATTCGTTGGCTGACTATTGCATAGGCTAGGGATTGGCTATAGTCGTAGAGTCGGTCTGAGAAGGTTATCGAGGTAAAACTGAATATGTCGACATCGTAGCCGAATGTGATGATCCGTGCCTTGGACAAGTCTTTCGAAAGAAGATCTCGGGGCCATAAGGTTCCGTTTTTGTGAGTCCACGTTCTCTCGCGATTGCCGGTCAATCCATGGACGAAAACAATGCTAGTTTAGTGAAGATCAGTTTGGGTGTCTTATTTGAGCTCTTGGTGCGTCCACTTTTGTCCCCCTCTTGAGAGTAGAAGATAAACTCACTCTAAGTCAGCGTTCGAAGGGTCAGATAGCACCTTCATTCCAATTGCACCTTGTTTGGAGTACCTCGGCATTATTAGCTCAGTGTACCATTTTATATCTTGAAACCTTACAGAATGTGTTCTGGAACTCCGGGTTTCGTCTTGCTCCTGAATAGCCATAGTCTCATATTGGCGAGCTATATGTGACCTTGGAGCAAATACGCGAATAAACAAATACCAACAGAATGTAGCGGAAAAGAGCCAATAAAAAGGATAAACGCAGAAATCGGCGGGCGAATGGTATGAGAACTTCAAAACTCTTAATCCTGCCTGTTAAGCTCCCTCTTCTCGAAGACATACTACCCTGTCCGGAGCTGACGAACCGCACTGCACAATGTCTTAAGTAAACCACATGTCTTAACATCGTCCAGTATGCGCCCATATTGAAATTATTATAGGTGACACAGAAATATTCCGATTAAGATGGCTGGGACACACATTTCCATGAGAAGATATCAGGCCGGAACGTCGTGGTAGCCCCACAGAATCAGGCACGCAACTTCTATACCAGCAATACAAATGGTTGGTGAGCCATTGGCGCATAATTAGGCTCGTTTGAGCAGTGCTGCTAGGCATCGCAGACTTAATTATGATTGCCCACAGCGAGGATCCTAGGACCAACATGCTCAGGCTTCTCTGCGTGTGCACTCAATATAGTAGGGATAATTGGGCTCCCATACTTGTTTTGATGATTATCACTTCCTTTCCGGGAATCTGAAAGCAGTGTGGGCATATTTCAGACTTAATTATTGGATGCTTCTTTTACAAAATATTGCAGTCGCTAATGTTCACCGTCCTACTTGTAGAACTAGGATCGATGCAAATTATTCTTCCTACGCGGATATTCCGCGAGCTCATTGCGGGTAGCAAGCCACCAAACCCTAATCTGATGTAGATGTAGTGAATATGTACCTAGTACAGCGGTAGAAGGCTGATTCGATTGTAGCGCAAGTGGTAGACGGAAGAAAGGTCCTAGGCGTGGATCATCGCGGCAGACGCTAATAGGAATGCACAACTTGGCGGCTGGGAAACTTTAATCGACATGGTGAGGCCATGGAACTGATGGGAAAGTGCGTGGAATGAGGAAACCAGTTATAGTCTGAAATCCGGAGATAATTTGAATTCCCACCAGTTTGATGGAAGGGCCCCGAGAGGTTGAACACCGGGAAAGGAAGTCTTAAATCGGATTGGACCATATGCGCATTTAAAGTGAAGCTGGCGAGACCAACTTCCAGCTATGGTGCATCAGGTGGGAAAGACTTCCATCTGAATGTAATTTTCGATATGTTCCAAAGTGGAGGAATTCCAATAGATGAGGTTCCATACCCCACTCGAATCAATCAGACAAGGTGAAGAAATAAGATGAAATAGTAAAAATTAAAGACTCACAACGCTCCAATTAAACGAATGGCTCATGTAACATCATGAATTTCTAACAATGGACAGGTGGTATCATTGCAGAAGCACCAAAACAATAGTACCCAAAGGTAACAAAATAAAAAACAGAAGGTATCACGGCTGAGAAATTCGTCACGCGTAAAGTTGCGAAGTTGCCTCGAAGAGGGATTAGCATGTCGTACTGAGGCGCTAATCTGGAACACCCGGGGGACACAGGGTTGAGTGTGGAAGAGAGTGGGGGTTGAAGAGGGTACACGCCGGTCGGAACGGGAGGGATAGCAAGAACATGGGCAAGAAATAAACGGGTTGGAGATGTAAGATGTAAGCAGAAATAGAATCGAAAACAAAGCGAGAGGCTAAAGGTTCATGTATTGTTCATCCTTCGTTTTCTCCCGCGGGCGCTACCAAGCGGCCTTTGCGCGAGGACCTGTCGGAGAATGGGATCGTCTTTGTTTTTGTCGACGTGATGTACACGGACATGTCTGTGAGTTGTGAGTTCAGCTGATGTCAGATTAAGTGAGGCTCGGACGTAGCACGAACCGTTGAAGATTGTCGGGTCGCGGGTATTTGTGTTGCTGGTCTGGACAGAAGGGACAGACGTAGCCTGGGGAGTTGTGCACGAGGCCATGGCGCATCATTTCATTCTTGCGCTTGAAACCTTTCCCGCCTAGTGCGCGTGGACAGCCCTCTACCGGGCAGAAATGTGGGCGGTCTTGGGAGTGCACGTTTGCGTGAGAGCTGCTATTTGGTTAGGTGGATTCTTCATTTGAGTCGTCTTTGGTCTTACTTGAGGAGATACTGAGTCTGGAAGGGCGCGGCAGTACACCCAGGATGTGTACACTTGTAACTGCCCACTGGGCCCCCGTTGGTCTGGGGAGTGGACGCAGCGAGCGAATGCCGATCAACGATACCAGCACCAACCTGTTCCGTGGGCGTAGGATAACTGTTCGCTGGGCTTTTGGCAGCCATAGGGGAAGCCACATATGGGGTCTGGACAGGCATCACCTCAGACTGGGGTGGTCCACGCCAGAAGGACGAGTGCGAGGCTGGAGAAGGGTTGGTAGATGATTCCTTCACGCTCACTGGCGAAAAGTGAGAAAAAGGACTTGGAGGGATAGAAAATTTTCCCGGAAAAGCGCGGTCGAATGGGGAATCATTCCCTGATGTAGTTGATCCGGGACACGAGGAGAAGGGGAAGGGTGATGACATTGTGCTGGCTGGTGGTGCACCGAAGTCTGACAATGCGCTGAGAGCTTTATGGATAGACGGCAGCGTTTGTTTATTGCTGCTGTCGGGGGATTTTGGGACACTTGATCCAGAGGATGGTTGGATTGATGGGAGGGGAATTGGGGGCTCTCTTTTCGGTGAGGTTTTGAGTTGGGGCAACACTTGAGAGAGTCGTCGGGTCGAGTCACTTAATGAGGGGAGTCGCTCTCTTGGAGGGAACTCTTCTTTGATCTCAATATCTGGCTTAGGCTGTAATGGGACTAGGGCCGGTTTCATCTGTGGTGTTTTCTTCTCAGCCTCATTACATGAGGCCGAGCCTGAGGGTGCCTTGAGTTCCAGTGATGCCTTTGGTGCAGGATCATCCTTGAAAGGATTTGACCTCTTTGGATCTCTTGGATCAAAGTCAGGCGGTTGCATATGCTTTTTTAGATTCCCAGGAAATGGTTCCAATGGCGAAGTCCTTGCCGATGCGGCTATCTCAGGGTGGTACGGAGCTAGAAACTCCATCAGCACTCGGTCGCCCTCACGGGTTGAGTTCTGAGGTTTCAGCTGGTTGGGCTTACGGGAACCCACTGCATCGGCATCTTTTTCGCTTGAGCGAGCAAATGGTGGTGGTGTTTCGTTCTCTCCATAATTGGGTTTCATCGCCTCCAGAGGAGGCGATCGGTTAAAAGCATCATCCGAATCATACATGGCAGATATCATGAAGAAAGTAGCAGGTGCATCGGGCACCTCGCCTTATACTTGTTGGTCTGGCAGATTGAATTGACAATCACACATCAGAACTGATGGATAAGTAGCCTGTAAGATATGGTTAGAGAGGGGTTATTGTAATTGTGACTTCGATGATCAGATGAATGAAAAGGCACGATCTAAGTGGATAGAATAGAAAAGTAGACAAGCAAGTGGTTCTGACACAATGCGAGTGCCCGTAGTCCTGCAAAGTGTCGAGATGGGGAGATGAGGGGTTGTCAGGTCAGGATGACCCGGAGAGAATAAAACCAAAACCAAACAGGTCTGAGGATTGAAACCAACCCAAGTAGAAAAACAAGAAAACAATCAAGTAAGAAAAGCAATAAAGCCATAGAGCAATAAAGCAATAAAATCACAAAAGAAAAATAGGAAAAAAAGAAAAAGAGCCCCCAAGCTCTAGACTACCTCAGTTTCGAGGTCTGCAGAAAGTGACTTACCCAAGCGGAAAGGTGGACGGGTAGTGAATGGGTCCCGGGATGAGGCTCAAAAGCTCCGATTGTCACTGCGCCATCTGCAGATGAATGATATCACCCGGAAGGAAGCGTGCAGGTAGGAAACTGTACAGTAAATCTTGTGGAAGAAAAGAAAGGAAAAGCCTAAGGGAGAAAGAAGTCCGGGGGTAAAAAAAAAAGAGAGAGGTCTAAAGGGTCAGATAATACCACGTTCTACACGTGCAGGTTTGGCCCAGCAATATCTATCAGTATAATGCCAGTATCAGATGCAAGACATCAAGGGAAAAAAGAAGAGAGAAACAGAGAAAGGAGAATCAACGTTTCAAGGAATATTCGAGGGGGGAAGAGACGAAAGACATGCGGCTCTCCAGGGCTCTCAATCTCGGGCTCCACATAATAGATTACCAGGAATATTTTACCATGACTGGTTTATAACGGGTTGCTATTATTATTCGGGTTTTATATTTCCCGATTTCTGTAATTTAATTTGTATTCTAAGGTTTTTTTTTTTGCTTTTTGGGTTATTTTAGTTATATTGTTTGTTTTTTTCACTTCGAGTATACCTACAATGCTATACCCTCACTTTTCAACTTCATCCTTCTCTGCTGACCATCCCCTGACTTACCTTACTCGACTCGGAGCATTTGAACCTGGTCGCACATAAGCCAAGAAAAAAAAAACCAGGGAGTGAAAAAGAAAAAAAGGAAAAGTCTCCACCGCTACTCTCTTGCTCTTCAGGCTCCACCATTAAACTCGGAGACAACAACCGGGGCAAGTCTCTCAGAGAAGTTCCCCTCTCTTCTATCTCCACTCCCCCAGTCTGTTATACCCGGCTAGGGAAACTGCACGAAGAAGGGCCCACACGGTCTGTTCGCTTTTCTCCCATTTCCTTTTTTTTTTTGTCCCGCCTTTTGGTCCTTTTTATTTTGCCTTTGCAACGTCAGACTCAAGTCTGCGCTGGCATATTCAAGCCTCGTCAGCCTCCGTCAACCCGAAAAGGGATCTTCAGGCTTTCCCGGTTTGGTTGTTAACGCGCTGTCTGCGGTAAGAAGATCGTCCGGCCCACGTTTCAGAGCCTCGTTAAAAAGACGTCAATGACTATATAGTTCGATTAGACCTACATGATACTCCGTACATTGTATCATAATACCCCCTACTATAATAACCATAATACTACGCTATACTACCCTGCATAGATGTGCTGTCCAACCCAGTCGGCCACAATCCGAAACCCCTTATTATTCCACCAGCCGCATCCCCTCCCCTCACACTAGTGAATAGTGGATAATCGACAATTTAGTTAATTTGAAACCATCTATCTCAATATTTAATGATATCCAAAAACCTGATATATATTATAGATTAGAAGGCCAAAAAACAAGTGGATTCTTCACCCCCCCTCAGCCTCACTTACGCGTAGAGCCGCAGGGCAGAAAAAGCCTCACCCTTCTTCCCCTCTTTTGCGTCCAATCATAACCGCCCGACTTCATACTGCACTTGCCTGCAGACGGCTCAACGGACATTACACAATGCGGTATTCCACCTTTCCACCTTTCCGCGCCTTGTTCTTTTTTTTCTTCTTCTACACTTAAATCTGGCATATCTTCTACTGTACATATATATTTCGTATATATTGTATACATATATATACATGTATATATATACTTGGTGTAATCTGTATTCTTTTTAACTATTTATTTTTAACACATTGCATCTTCCAACCTTGGAGGGTTTATATATCCATACTTCCCTCGGTAGTGATCGGGTGAAATGGCGTACATAAACGTGATATGCTCGCAGGATATTATACGATACAGTCTCAAATGTTTGTCCCCATCGGGATAAGTGCTTACACCGTACGTCAGGCGCCAAAAGTACTTTAATCTAGCTGTTCTAGGCTTGTGACCTCCATGTCCATATGTTCCAAGGTTGTAATCCTCGAGTGGGGTTTTGTTTCAAAGTGGAGAGTTGGTTCTGGACTAGCCTTACATACTAACCTGAAGAGTCCGATTTAGATTTAGATCGCGCCATGTCAAGCTACATTGTACATGCACCTATCTACATCTAGACGGCGCTAGAATGAAGTGAAGTCCAGGCCTCGATTCTGAGTATATACAAGGTCAAACCTGAAACCCCCATCCACTATCAACAGTTCCAAAAGCCAAGTGTAAACGATACTCGACTCTCTACTCTGTACATAGTGTAATAGACTACAGCTTCCCCCTCAGAAGCCCTCTTAACAGCCCTAACCCTCCCCCAAGCCTCCTCAGCAAACGGTTTCGCCCGCTTGGCATACTCACTGGCCCTCGCACTACTAGCTTGTCTCCCAGCGAACCGGGCCGCAATGCCCTGCATAATCACGGAGCCCCGGAACGCAAAGAACGCATCGCCCCACGCCACGTCGGAGCTCGTTTCGTATCCAGATGTCTCAGCGTACCAGCCAATGCATTCCTCGCGCCGCGGCAGCCCTGGAACAACCCCCGGCGCGAACTGCGACAGCTGGCTGTCTCCACCGTCCATTATGTACGGACTAGTGAGGTTGCAGAAGTCCGAGAGGGGGTGTCCTACGGTCGCCATTTCCCAATCGAGGATTCCAATCACGCGCGGCTCCGTCTTGTGGAAGATCATGTTGTCGATTTTGTAGTCGCCGTGCACGAGGGTGCCCCGGTCCAGTGGTTGCGTGCTCTTTTGCGAGAAGAAGTTCACCATGTCGTCGAAGTGCGGGAGTTCTCCGACGGGTTCGTTGGTGTCGGCGTCGACGACGGCCGCTTGTGCTTTGGAGATTGTCTTGAAGGTCGCGATTTGGCGGTCGAAGAAGCCTGTCGGTTTGCCGAAGGCTTCGAGTCCGACGCTTTTGCGGTCGACGCTGTGGAACTTCGCGAGCGTTTGTACTGCATTCTTCCAGCTGTGTGCTTGTCAGTAGGAGGCACTGGCTGGGGCGGTTGGTGTCTGCGTTGGAGCCTCATTCGGTGACGTACAGTGCTTTCCTCTCCTCCCCGCTCACTCCTGGCATCGCTGGGTCGGTGAAATGCCGCCCGTCCAGGAACTCCATGATGTAGAATGCGGTTCCAATCACGCTGTCATCTTCGCATAGGCAGTACGCCTTGGGGACAGGTACGTCGGTATCCCACAATGCCCGGATAATCTTATACTCGCGCTCGACCTTATGAGCTGTCTTCGAGAGCAGCTTGCCAGGAGGCTTCTTGCGCAGAACGACTTTCTTGCCATCAGCGGCAGTAAGAAGATAGGTAGGGTTTGATTGACCGAAGCCGAACTACAGTGACAGGATATTAGTTGGTCTGTTTGATATTGCCAACTTGTTAATTGACGGGCCAGACTCGCCTGCTTCACATCAAGTGGAGTCTTAACCTCCGGCACATTCTGGTCAATGTATTTCTCCAACGAGGAAATATCTATAGGCTGGCGCACTTCACCCGCCATGATGTGGATATAAATGAGGAGAAGTTTGTGCAAGGAGCGTATGTATTTTGCAAAGTGACCGACGGTTATAAAATAATACGTACAGGGGAGCAAATAAATGCCCCAGCACCTCCTCGGCGTGACCGGGGGACCTCGGCCCCAGCAGCTCCTCGGCGTCACCGCTCGAGAGCGGGGAGGAAACAAACAAAGCAAACACCCGGCGCGTCCCAGCGGTGAAACGCGCAGGAAGGCGTCGAGCGTGGAGCTCACCGCAATTTTTGTGAAGCTAGGGGTTTTGTCAATTGACCCAATTCACTGTGGGACCTTATTATTTTTTTACTGCTCTATCCACTCGATCCTCGATCTTCGATCTTCGATCCTTCAACCGTCTCGTGTTTACCATGACCAAAGAGACCACCCCGCCACCCCAAGAGAAATCCCTCCCCGCCCACAACCCGCCTTCCCTGCCTGCCTCCCCGCTGCCGAAACGATCAAAGCCTGACACAATGACTACCGCCGCCGTCACATCGATCCAGCAGCCGCTGCCCCCGCTGCTTGTTAAGAAGCTCGTTGAGTCAGCTCAGGCTCCGACGCGCGGCTCGGCTTTTGCTGCTGGGTACGATATCTACGCTGCGAAGGAGACCGTTATTCCCGCTAAGGGCAAGGGCGCCGTTGACACTGGCATTGCTATTGCTGTGCCTGAAGGAACTTGTACGTGACCATACCTGTGACGGGAATTGAACCCGAAGAATTTACCGAAGCTCTCTGCTTGTTGAGGCTGGGCTGGGTTAAGAGTCAAAGGGATACTAATAAGGAATACAGACGGCCGCATTGCTCCCCGTAGCGGTCTTGCTGCTAAGCACTTCATTGACACCGGTGCTGGCGTCATTGATGCTGATTACCGCGGTGAGGTCAAGGTGCTTCTATTCAACCACTCTGACGTCGACTTCCCGGTTAAGGCGGGTGATCGTGTTGCCCAGCTGGTTCTGGAGCGGGTAAGTTCTAACTTTGAATGATATTGTATGTCGCGTGAGTATGTCTGACCTGATTTAGATCTACACCCCGGAAGTCAGCGTCGTCGAGGAGCTGGAGGAGAGTGTCCGCGGTGCCGGTGGATTTGGTAGCACTGGCATTTAAAGGTCACACTCGGTACGAATTTGGGAGGATGACAAACGAAAATTAGATGGGTTCTGGGTTTAAAAAGAACCTAGTTACGAGTACATGCATTCGAGACCTTGACTGAATGAACAGAAGATACAAAGATTTCATGCTTGATTCAAAGTTCAAATCTATGTACAGGCCGAACCGGCTTTTGATATAGAAATGGCCACCGACCCGGCTTCGTCTAATGCCCTCCCGAAATCCTTCTATCATCCAACCATGCCTCATGCAAAAGATATGAAACTCTAGCTATACACCCAACCAAGACTACCGCAGGTCCTGAGGAAGATCCTCCTTCTTCCAATCCTGCACCTCAAACAGAATCTCCGGATCCCGCAAAACCCGCGTATTCCTCACAAGCCTAACCTCAGCAGCCTTAGTCCTACGCAAATAATCCCTCTTCTCCAACTCCTCCGCCGAGGCCTCCCCCTCCCGCGCAGGCACAGCAACCGCCAACTCCGCATCACGACTCTTAAGCGTCCGCTCGAGAACACTATGCATACTGGACAGAACCTTGACAGTCGATCTAGCCAGCGGCAGATCCGTAGCCGCAACATCATCGGGCGAAACCCACGACTTGGTCGCGCGCAGACCATCCACTGCGGAGACGGCTTCGCTTAAGCGCGCGACGGTCAGCGCCGCGAACATATCGCCCGTCCCGCTGAAGAAACAGTCCAGCGCTGGTACGTCGACGCGGAATAGTCGCGGTGACCCGTCGGAGCGGGTGGTTGAGCCAATTACTGTTAGGAAGTTCTCTGGTGGGGACGGGGTTGAGCCTGATTGGGAGAGCTTGAAGAGTTGCACTGAGGTGATTATCACGTGTGGCACGGAGTAGATTCTGTGGATGGCTGTTATTGCTGAGGCGAGGGTGGCTAGTGAGGTTATTTTGATGCCGGAGAGGGTTCTATATTATATATTAGTGGTCGTGCCTGGGGACATGCAGTTGGGATGGCTTACTCGGCTTCGAACTGGTTAGGCAAAATCAGATCCGCAAAGGGGATGATTTTCTTGTATGCGGGGACTACGTCGTCGTTGACATATAGTCGGCCTTGGTCGCCCATGACTGGGTCCAGGACTGACATTATATTTATATCAGCGTCTGTATTTGTGGGGGAAGAGCGAGTGTTACCTACCCCAGAAAAAAGACCCGGGCTTCTTCTCTGCTTTCTCTTGTAGATCTATGCCGATGGTGCCTACAGTTTCCACGGCTGCTGCACTCGGGGCGTAGCCCGATAGCATGACGTCGAAGTCTGTGAGGTTACTCTGGCACAGGCCCTGGTAGAGGTCTGAAATTTCCTGGGCGGTGGCACGAGTCCCCTTGAATTGGCGATAGCCTGTGTGGTTACCTGCAATTGCATGTGAGTCAGGGTTGGATTGGTCAGGCCGGGTTGCAACGTACTGAAGTGGACGGTGTTTAAGGCCGCGACTTCACAGCCCAGGGATTGCATGACAAAGGTGGCCATTGTATTTCCGACATGGCTGGAGAAGAGGTATTAGTTGATTGACTCCAATGACGTGTTCTAGATATGATAAACTGCGTTATCAGACTCGACACATACCCATAGACTACCTGGTGGAGTGTTAGTTTATGATCTAAAGGAGTGGGCAGTTTCACTTACATGGCTAGCAACAGCCAGAACACGGGTCTCCGGTACTAATGAATCCATGATCAGTTCAAGTTAAGTTGGATTGACAGAGAGTGTCTATCAAGTATGTTATGACTCTGTGTGGGGGTCCGGGGGGATGATTTGCCGAAATTCCTCTTACCTAATTGGCTCCGAGAACCGAATTCGTTATCGAGAAAGAATAAAAAGAATACGGAATACTTCAATTGTATTCTAATATCTTGCTATGTACTATATAGTAATATGTAGAACCTTGGGACTATAGGAACAATTAAGTTAAAGTCTGTCAATATTGAATAACTCGACCCAAGCCTTTTTATATTATGAACCCTATAATATCAAACCCTACCTCGTGTTACAAGATCTTCCAATATTGACCCTTATTAAATTTTACTTTTGCTTCTTCCAAGGTTGTACTTCATACTTCATACTACTCCATGTCTCAGTTTCAGAATCACCCTCCGAATGGTAGTCCAGTCGGGAACCGGTGGGGAAAAAGCAAAAGCACAAGGGAAACATCTGGAGATACAAGGAACTAACTACGGAGTACTCCATACATCTATGTATGTCTTTTCCGAGTAATCTGACTGGTTCGACTAATAGATCTGCTCTATATACTATCTCATCTGTTATAGCTGTGATAGAAAGCCCCCCCTGAAAAAGTCCCACCGAACGGTCTAGTCCGTGCTAGTGTTGCTTCGGAGTTCTCTAGCGCATTGGCAGGTTCTCGGCCTTGGGAACTAGAAAAAGTCCCATTTTAGGCTTTTCTGCAACTTCCAGGGTTAATGGGGCTTACTTTGCTTCTCAACTTCATCTTCATCTTCTTCCAGGGCATTTCCCTCAGTCACTCCTTCAAATGAAGCGATTATCGTCATTCATTCCCTAATTCGTCACGCAATGTTGAAATAACACACTTCTTTGTCTCCCAACTACGCCCCAGCTGTCACTCGTTAAACATACAAAGACTGTCCTTGCTCCGATAATCCATACTTCACTGTTTATGTCCTCGCCTCGACCTCAAGTCGACGACGCCAAAATGTCCCGTCTTTACCATATCTACAACCTCCTAATCCTAATTTCTATTCTCTGTCAATCACCCGCATGGGCCCAATCAGTGGAACCCACAACACTGACCGTGCCACGATCGGCCTGGCACGCAAGTGGAGAGACCACAGATCGTCGATCAGCATCCACAGAGGAAACAACTACAGTCCGCCGACGAACAATCGTCACAGCAACAGATTCCACCTCAACAGGAATGCCCAAGCCCTTCGACACACTGTCCTACAACTTCGCCAACGCCAGCACCTGCATCGATTTCTTCGCGAAATGGCGCGCCAACACAACAATCTCCAACTGCAACGCCATCTCCCTCCTAATCGAGAACTCAAACGCCTTCTTCCACACCCTCTCTTCTGCCCCCGCCACCTCCCGCATCCTGGATAAGTCCTGCTCCGCAGATGTCTCCAGGTGCGCATCCATCATGACCGGTCTCGCAGCGGACCTACTGGACCCGGGCAACTGCGGCGACGACTATGAAAACGGTAACTCCGTCGTCAAGGGCACGTATCGGGATCTCGTCGCTTACGAACCAATGTACCGCGCCACTTGTCTCGCGAGCCCGTCGACGCAGAAATACTGCTTCGTCGACGCGGTGTCCAATTCAACTGCTCCCGATGATTACGGCATCTACCTCATGCCGCTGGGTACACCGCTCACTGTTGGGAGTGTGCCGACTTGTAATAAGTGTCTGAAGGAGACGATGGATCTCTACTCCGGATGGGCGAGACGGGATGGCCAGCCTCTTGATACGACTTATCTCCCCTCTGCGAAGATCGTTAATGCGCAATGTGGCGATGGCTTTGCGGCGACCAATATCACTGTTGGCTCGGTGGATGTTAGGGCTGGTGCGGGTCTTGCTGTTCCCTTGCCTCATCTTGGATTCGCGACTGTCATGGCCTTGGTTCTTGGTCCCATGCTGACAGGTCTGTTTTGATCTGAATGTTTCTGTTCTGCTTTTGTTCATACACTCTCTTTTCTTGTTTATCATTTTGGGTCCGTCTGCCCGGGTGGGTATGGCCATGGTTGATGTCAGCGAGCGTGTTTTTGGCTTTCTGGTTTGATTGTCTGATCTGTATGTAATTTCTAGTGATATTGTCCATATTTTGCTTTGTAGCAGTTATTCACCGTATTATTTCCTTATTTACTTTCGTATCTAATCGGTTTTGACTCGATTCGTTTATATTGTCTTTGTTAAATTTCCGAGAATTCGCTAATGCCAAAATGACCGAGTCAATAATGTATTCCTCAGACGCCAGACAGTACATGAGTATTCACAAGCATATCCACAACCACGTATAAAGGCAATAAAACAAGACAGATAAATCGCATCTGAAATGGTTTAAGTGCCCAGAGTTCGTCAAATCTAGCAAAGATAGCAACAAAATAACAAAGCAGAAACGCTCACTGACAAGGAAATGATATAAAAAGACCAACACAAAATGTCATCAACTCCTTCTCTTCATCCCACCTCCCATAGCAACACCGACAAGACTCTGCGGCTCACCCCCAAAGCTAGCCCCAGGACTCGTAGGAACCGGCGACCCACCACCAGAAATAGGACTCTGTGTGGCGGCATCTTGTTCCCGCTTGACGCGAATATACCCCAACTTCGCGAAGCGGCCAAGATGCGACCAGAAATGGCGGCCGGCTGGGTGTGCGGCGATGCGCTCGAGAAGATCGGCCGTCGCTTCGCGGACGACCTGGTCCGGATGAAACAGACCCATGCTGACATAGAAGAGACCGGCCTGGTTCTCCGGTGCGACGGTTAGGAGCTGGCAGATGCCGGCGTAGTCTTTGACGGAGTGGGAAAGAGCGAGATAGATGGCGGCGGCTTCGGAGTGAGAGAGTTTTAGGGAGCGGAGACGGTCGTGGTGGTGATGGATGTCTGGACGTTGGATTGGGCGCGCGGGGAAGTACATTGCTGCAATGTCTTGGATGTAGGAGTAGTAGGAGCGGGTGTTGCGCCAGCCTTCGATCCGGGAGACGGAGGCTGAGAGCTCCCGCTGTTTGGCTACCTCGTCTACCCATACGTACCCGTGGCCGCGGAGAGTTGTTGGGTCTGAGGCGTCGGTCTGATGGCCTGTTGGGCTATCTGGGGAGAGTTCTTCGCCTGGGCCGATGATGTAGAGGTTTGACGCGCCATAGACTGCTTCTTCGAAGGCTGCGGCGACGCGGACGAATTTTGTGATGTAGGCTCGCCATTTTGCACGAACCGCATTCTCGCCGTGGCGTTGGCTGATACTGCGGAGGATGTCTTCTATGAATAATGTGTCGCCTGTTGGGTCGTTGGTCGTGCTAGATGCACTGTTAGGTAGGAGGGAATTCTGCTGCTGGAAGAACAGAAGCCCTTCTGTTATGGGTGCAGGTTCAACGTGACTTGAGATCTTGATGCGACCTGTAGGGAGGTCGCACATAACATCCCACCACTCAGGATGGTTGGCAAATGTAGGGTTTGTGACTCCTGCAATAAACCCAGGTACCTTGAGGAGATCGTCGATCTTGGACAGATCAGTATAAGGGAATGCGTGTCGAGTAAATCCACGCAGAATGCCACCGGATGCAAGAGCGCAGGCTGCCAGGACCGCCTCTGCAACTTCTCCTGATGGCCGGTTGTGTCCTAGAAATACCACTCGCTTCTGAGTGAGGATGGCATTGACAAGAACAATAATGGGATGTGTAAACGGTCCACTTGTAGTCAAATGGGGATGCGCTTGGAAAGCCTGGGGGGAGGTAGCATGTGGCACGGCGAACGTCTGAATGAGCTTGATAAGGGAGAAATCTCCAACAGTCTCCGGCCAAATCACTGTCGGAATTTTGACCGGGATGGGGATGTCATTGTAGACCACTTTCGATTCGTACTCATGCGTATCCCGTGGTAGGGTGTATCGGCTCACTTTCTTCGGTGACGGCGGACATTCCCCATCTTGGAGCTCTTCTTCTTCCCGCTGGCGGATCATTTGCTCGAATTTCTCCAGGAACATATCTTTTGTGTTGCTAGATTGCAAGATATGGCGCTCAAGTATCGACATTTTCGGCATCAACGAAAGGTCCATGGCGTTAACGGCGTCATAGAGGGATGCCAGAGTTTCGGGGAATGGAGATTTGAAGTAGTCTTCCAGCGCTAGGAGGAGTAAAGGCTGTATAATAGTCAGAATTGTCTGTGCGCTAGGGCTGGAAATGGCATCGTAACTTACTTTATAAATGTGGAGGAATGAATGTCGCGTACAGATTGCCATTGCCTTGACTACTGCGCCTCTGTTCGCTGTTAGCACTCGCACATTTAGACGAAACAGTAGGGCTTACCTTCGGACAGTGTTATCCTGCTTCGTGTTGACAAGGTTCAGCACGTACATCAAGGGTGGCCCTTCACCACCCTCGTCATCGCTGCTGTCGGGGTCATCGGAGATGTCGTCCAGGTACTCGTCCTGAATATCGGCCCCCTCCTGGTTTCCATGGTATTGCGATTTCCGCTTCTTTTTCTTCTTTCCATCTGCTGAATCCGTTTCTTCGTCGCCACTGGTGTCTTTATGTAAGAAGAACATAGTCCAGTCCTGACTCCGCACATGCGTCTGATCCGGCAGCATCAGCTCTGCAAGCATGCTCTCGTCTCCGCTGATTGCAGCGGGATACTGGTGCTCCATGATCGGGCCACGATCAATATGGAAGGACGCAACCAGGATGTATTCCACATGGCGTTCCGGCGAGTCGAGCGGGTACTGCGCTTTGCACCGGCGTGGCCTGAAGCTTGAGGTCGCATTCTCTGTGGATGTTCTTCGAAAAGAGCCATGTGAACTGCTCGGAGAGCGTCCGATAAAGGAGGTCGCAGGCGACAGCCGAGGGAGACCACTTGTTTGGCGGTTATTCGAGGCGGAGAGGGAGTCGTTCGACGGTCGATACGGTAGTGTTGTTGCCATCTTATGGAGTTGGGGACAGAGGATTGCTCCGGGCCAAGCTATAAATCGAGTAGCATACCGGGATGAAAAGCGCAAGGTCAAGGGCCAATGATAATAATAGTTGAACTAATTGTCTCGAATTAGTTGTTCAGGGGTTAAGAGGGGTTAAGAAAAAGGGCGATTTCTCCACAGTGGAGAGACGATAAGGGCCGATAAGGGGATCCATATAAGGGCATTCCTGGAACCTTCCAAGGTCATGAGATGATGATCTATCAGAATGCAATCTCCCTTTGCATACATTGCAGATCTTTTCTATTTATATTGCGAAGAAAATTTGGCACACCGACTTGTTGCACTTCTATGAAGCAAAAATTAACATGAAACAACTCTGGCCACTCCTCGATGTCTTACTCCATATAAAGTACAACATAGCATAGCGTAAGGAACCTTGTGTCACAAAACACTTGAATGTGCTTTATAGGTTTACATAAAGAAAGGTACATGAATACATTACTTAACTTCACTCATCTTATCCTTCATATTAGGCCCTTGGAAACCAATTGATGGTTCATGTGACGAGTATGACTCGTTATAGATCTACGAACATTTCCAAGTTGCATATGCAGCACCATTCAGCTGGATTCTAAGTTATCTGAATACCATTCTAAATACTCCATACGTAGACTTGACATGCCTACTTACTAAGATAAAATTACATCTATCAAAAGCAAAATCGTACATTATACAACAATGGCTAAAAAGGTGTATGTTCATATAGATAGCATAGGGCGGTGTGGAAGACGGTGGCAAAATTATGTTGTTGTGCCGCTTGTTTACATCGATAAGCAAGCCTTCGTCATAGGCTGTTTACAATTCATAATCCAGCTCACACGCGATTTCCACCATGGTAAGTGAGGTTTTTGAGAGATAATTTATATATTGGAGTCTAATAAACAATGCCTTAGGCCAACAATCCCACATTCAAACCATCCCCGTTATCCTTTGGGTCGCCGAGGGCATCCCCGTTCCGGCGCCCGTCCACTCCAAACTCCCCGCCCTCAGCCAGTCGTACAGGAGGGACACCGGGGAGCTCTCCTAGTCGGGCATATACACCTATGGTGTCTCCCAGCAAGCTCAATCAATCATATACAGTGGAGGATGGTGAGTCGCGTTCTCCAAAGAGCGAGCGGCCCATTCCGCAGCCGAACTTTGGAAGAGAGCTCTCTCCTTCCCCACGAAAGGAGCACGGTCGCCAGGCAGCTCATCCCCAATCCTTGGGACAAGGAAGAGTGGCTTTACAGGCCCAGCAGGCGATGCGGCTGGAAAGCTACCGGCACAACAAGTGAGGGAGATCAGAGAGGCTTTCCAGGTTCTCGATCGGGATAATGATGGGCTTGTGGACAAAGATGATGTGATTGATGTGCTGACAACCTTGGGTAGGAAGCGCACCTCTATCCTTCTTGAGATTGGCATGAGGAACTAATGCAAGTGTTTCAACAGGCCAAGACTCATCCCCCTCGACGCTCTCGCGCTTCTTCCCACCAGGAGCAGGCCAGACTATGAACTTCCCAACCTTTTTGAATACACTTTCTGAGCTGATGGCAGCAATGTCACCTCCACAAGAGCTTCTCAACGCTCTTGCTGCGTTTGACGACGATGACAACGGGCAAATTGACGCCGCTGAATTACGTGATGCTTTATTGCATACTTCCCCAGAAGATGGAGAGGAACGATTGACTGAAAGACAGATCGATGAAGTCTTCAGTGGGTTTATAGGGCGCCCAGCTTTTATTGGTCGGGGAGCGAAGTCAGGCGGGATGGGGAAGAGAGGCGAGGTTTTCCAGTATCACGACTTTGTGCGCAGCGTCATGGGTGGGGAGAATGGAAACAGTTCGAAACGTGAAGGAGAGGCAGCACATGTATGAACTGCTATCATGAATATGGGTTTCAATTGAGTCGGCGTTACGGGGTTTCGTCTTATAATGTTCTTGGCAGTTGACAGATTCCAAGGCTGTAGAAGCAAAGGATCAGACTATACAGAGCTTGCCATGGATGATAATGTACCATTAGTTATTCAATTACCAATGGGAATTTTCAGCAAAAGCAGTGAACTAGGTAAATAGTAAAAGTGGAAGTGGAAGTATACATCGGAGTTAACGCCTTCCGCATTCCATCGGCAGAAAAGCTCCAGCCACCGCGATCTGATACACTCCACCCGTCAACTGCGTTCATCTTACCTCGTTTCCCAAAGATGTCTGCTCGTGGCCCTCCAATGCAGACTTGATTGCAGAAAAATGGCCAAACCTCAGCCCTCCTGGGCTCTCGGCGTCCCGGGCCCCGACACACCCGCATCGCCGCGAACCATGCGAACCCTCCGAAAGATCCAATCCCACCAAGTGCTGTCAACCTCTAGCGCGCTCATTGCCCAGACCCAGGCCTCTCGCCAAGCTGGCTCCCATGAAGCTGACCCCTCAGCAGCAACTCCTGGTGCTGCAACCCGAGCGCGCGCACATCGCCGAGCTCGATCAAATAGCGACGCGGCTTCTCGCGAAGCGGCAGCAACACCACCTGCGAATCAGAGACGACCCGCGCGGAAAACAGGGTCCGGAATTGGTGTAAAGCGATCGCTCTTGGAGAATCTCCTGCGCGATGGACCACAGAGTTCAAATCCCCACGAGGGACTGCGAGAGCTCAAATACCTCGTCCTATCCAGCAGAGTAGATGCTGACGGAGATGGCATGGTGAGGGGTACTCAGTCTGTTTTGCAACGTCAATGTCTAACACTTCGCTATGATAGTCGCCATACCGAATTTACCTGTGGTTGGTCCTCCTCAACGTTCCTCCTATGCCAACCGATGACTACCTTGCTCTTATCCACCGCGGCCGTTCCCCCGCTTACGCCAAAATTCGCAACGACACTTTCCGCACACTAGCTACAGACCCTCTCTTCAAACGTCGAGTCACAGAAGCAAGCTTGATCCGACTCCTGAACGCCGTGGCATGGAAACTCCACGATTCCAGGCCGAAACCCCGGTCGAGACCGTCTTCTCGGCGCCGTGAGATGGAGCTTCTAGTGAATGCACCACCCAGCATTTCAGAGGAGTCCCCCTTTGGTGGGGAGCTAGAAAAGGTCACCAATAGTACTACAAGTGATTCGGCCATGTACGTCCAAGGCATGAATGTCTTGTGTGCGCCGTTCCTCTATGCTGCCCGTAGCGAGGTGGAGGCATTCGCTCTTTTCCATTACTTTGTCACACGCGAATGTCCAGGCTATATTCGTGGTGCTATGGATGGAGTACATAAAGGTCTTCGTTTGGTCGACCGATGCCTTGAGATTGTGGAGCCCAAGCTTGCAGCATATCTGTTCTCCAAGGGGATGCACGCTGAGCTGTATGCATTCCCATCGGTGTTGACTCTCTGCGCTTGTACGCCCCCGTTACCAGAGGTGTTGCATCTGTGGGATTTCTTATTTGCGTATGGGCCACACCTGAACATCCTGTGCATTGTCGCCCAGCTAATCCGAATGCGGGATCTAATTTTCGAGAGTCCGAGGTGAGTCCTGTCTGTCTGGTCTTTGGGTTCAACAAAAGCTAACTTGAGTATAGCCCAAACAAAATTCTCCGCTCATTCCCTCCCCTCGACGCAAAAGAGATCATTGCTTTGACAGTTCTCCTCGTCCGTAAGATCCCAGAGGATCTTTATGCAGAGATGATTAGCCATGCAAAATAGACACGGCCTGAGCTCACTGGGCAGCTCCAACCGAAAGAGAAATAAATGTCATGCTACCTGGGTTTCATAACGGCGTTTTTGATATGATTGATCGCAACTATTGGGTACGGTGACTGGATGGGATATGAGACTTACATTGACGAACCCCCCAAGATAACGCGCTTGTTTGAATGAATTGATGATTGTACACCAATATCGGATATATATATATATATTTTTTTTTTTTGAGAATGCATTTCAGTTGAGATATGATTCTCCCTTTCAGAATTCCAATCCTCCACTCTTTCGGAACCTGCAGCTTCCCTTGTTCGTTTGCTAAAGAGAGAAACCCTCCTTTTCCTTGTTTCTCAAGAACAAAATTGTTTGCCATGGTCTTATAGTGTATATCTTCACATACAAGGAACCTGGGATCAGTTTGTGGACTACTCCCAAGCTCGTTTCCTACAAATCTGAAGACCAAAAAAGATGATTGAGCCAAAAGCAAACGAGACATCGGACCTGCACGACTAAGACTCCTTTTATCGTCTACATTATAAGTATCGCTGTGTAATCGACCACCGTCTCTCCAACACATCATTGCCTAGAGAAATCAATGTCGTCCCTTCTATCAGCATCCATGATCCTCGCCATATCTCTTCTCATGATTGTGATATGGCGCAAGAGGCAGCACACCCGTTCCTCATCAAATGACCCGGCCATATGCCGCCAAATCATTGCCGGAGTGCTAAAATCCACAGAAAATCAGCAGCCGAATACCCTCTCGCCACACCAATCGAAAGCAATAGCCAATAGACATCTCCCGATCGCCTTCGGAATCGATAATGCCTTCACTCGCACAGATAATGTCCATGCCAGTATGTTCGTCGAGAAAGTCAAGCCCTTGATCAATCTATCGGCAGAGCAGTGGCACAGCGTCTCCGAATTCGCCAGAGTCACAACCAGCCATTGGGTCGAGCATGGCTTCCCCGGGTTGAATCATAGCTGTTGCAGCAGTTGTCACAAAGAAAAGCAGAAGCCCGACTGCAATCGGGTCAACGTCGCCAGTCTAGCACAAATACTTTCATTGAAAGTTGTTCTTTGGCTAGTGTTTGACAAAAAGACCCAGGACCAGACATGTGATGAGAATCTACTGAACCTAGCACAGTCCATAAATCGAGTATGGATATCCTCCAAGCTAAAAGACACTGAGAACGACATTCCCAGATTCGAAGACGATATATTGCTTCAGACCTCGCTGATCAATATCTTCGGGACACACAATCACCCAGAGGATAACCCACTGAACCTCATCCTACCTTCCTTCGAAACGATGTGGCGTGTCGTGTTACGTTCCTTCCTGGAGATCAGATTCGGCACCGGGAAAGAAGTACCAGAATGGCGGGAGACAATGATTGCTTTTGCCGAGAAGCCCACCAAAAAGCAATTCGACGCAGGCCCCGGGCCCCTGTCTAGCCTCTTTATACCCGATCCCAGCATGGACGATACACGTGGTGTCCAGAGCTCACCCAGTGCGAATTACATAGTCCGTGAATCACTCCGACTATACGTGCCTACGAGGCACATACATCGAGCATACCAATGGGACCAGGGTACGGGGACATCTCATGAAATAATATCTGCTGATATTGAGGGATGCCATACGAGGTCTGATATCTGGGGTTCTGATGCTGAGCAATTCAACCCGAATCGCTGGTCTGCTCTCACATCGGCACAGGGAGATGCGTTCATGCCTTTTGGGTGTCCCCCTTTTGAATGCCCTGCTAAGCCGACTTTCGGGCCGAGGATGGTTGGTGTTTTGGTTGGTTCTTTGTTGGCAGCTTTGGGGGGTAAGGAGCGATCAGGGACTTGGACTTTGGATTGTGAGGATGGGAGGGTGTTGAAAAACTTCTCGTCTGGGAAAAGGTTGTGTTCGCATAGGAATGCCTATACGGATTTGTATCTAGTGCGGTCTTTGGGAAGGGAAGAGTGAGTGATCGATGGAAATTCCTTTTTTTTTTTAAAAAAAAAAAAGGAAAGGAAAAAAGGAAATACGTACATCTTCAGGCACAAGTGAAGCAACACAGGCCTGAGATCGGACACTCATAGAGCTGTCTATGTAGATCAAGAGTATGTAGGCACTATACCTAAGGGATAACTTTTGGCCAGAGGATGTATACTATAGTCAAAAGAACCTAACGTCCAAGCGCGGAATAAAATAATTTACATCGAACACATCAAGAAAAACCACTAACAGAAGCCAATAAAAAAACCAAAGCAAGCAGAACGTTGTGTATTGAATATCACCTCATTCCCACGAATATTACATAGCCACTCTATCACGTAGGCGCAGACGTCGAGAAAACCTCAGCCGACCTATTCAACCCAGACCCATCTATAACCAGCGGCTTAGAAACATCAACAGTATTAGCCTCAGAAGTCATCTCATCAGCCCACGACTGACACGTATCCCCATTTCCCGGCACCGAGCCCGCGGTGTCTGAACCAGCACAAGCACCCAACACCCCATCAACACTTACAGCCCGCGTGAGATGCGATCCACGATCAACCTTGACCCTAATCCGCGAGTCCATGAAACTCATATTATTGAACATGGTCACAGCGCACTGGGCTTCGTCTGCTGTTTGCATGGTGATCCAGCCGCGCAGCCGGCCATTGCCATCGGCCGAGTCTGTAGTCACTATGCTGCATTTCTGGACAGTGCCGGCTGTCTGTAGAAGGGTTTTCAGGTCGGCGCATGTGGTACCTGCGTTCAAGTTCTCGATGGTGATGGCTCTTCGGTCTGGATAGAAAGACGGAGAACTGGGGTTCGTGCCTTTGGCGGAAGATCCACGGTGGTGGTAGTGCTGGTAGGGCTGTGGGGGTGTATCGCTGTGGTGCATGTGTGGAGGGGACATCGGGTAGCCTGGAATCATGTTCCACGGCTCGTACATTGTGTTCATTACTGGGGATGGGGGAAACACTGCATCGGTGGTGCGTGTGGATCTGGCATCATAGACATGAAACCTTGTGGCACTGGTACTGGTACCATCATGACGCCGTACTCTGAGTATGGATATGGTGGGGTGGTGGGATGGGATGATCTTGGGGAATTAGTTGGTTTCGTTCTTCATACTTGGGAATGTGGTAAACTCACTCTGGTGAGACAGGTGACGGAGGCATTGCCATGTTTCCATGGACTAATGGAGGCGTGGAGTGGCCAGACATGTAGCCTGGCATCATTGCTGGACTTCTGGTAGGCCCGGCAATGGGCTTAGTGGGCGTACTGGTCCGCGCGAGTGTAACGACCAGGCTCTGGCCGTCCCATCCGCAGGTCGAGAGTCGATCTGTGGCGGTGTTAGGGCGGAGCATTGGGGATTTGTGGGATAGAAATACATACGGTACGTTCGCCAGGCCTCTTCTTCATTTTTGACGATGATTTGGCCCAGTCCGGTGGGGAATCCATGGCTATCATCGTATACTACTGCTTGACGAATATGCAGTGCAGTTTGGCGAACGAGATCCTTGAGCTCTTGCCAGCGGCAATGAGGTGGGATCTAAAATGATCGTTAGTCCTTGTGTTTATTTGATATCCGCCATTCAAACTCACGCCTTGAAGGAATACGACGAACTCATCGTCCGACCTGCGAGATCTGGGACGAGCTTTATCACGACCGAGAAGAGGCATGGCTGCAAATATCCCAAGACAATATACCCTGGTATTTCAGTTCCGAAAGCGCACTAGCTTGTATGGATTTAAAGGATAGATTTCGAGGCTTGCAATTATCCCGGTCCGTCGTTGCGAAATAGTCGGGGCTCGACTTGTCCGATCAGGTGTCTGGTTGAGTCCAAAATATGAACAATTGTACTCTCTGCCAGAGGCCTGTTAGCTCAGAGTATATCAATATGGTGGTACGCTCGAATTCCCACACTGTTGGGCTGGGACGACTACAAGAACGACATCACCAGTATCAAGGTGCAATCGAGGTGCAATACTTGGGGAAACCGCACAACCCTACCTTTCTTTTTTTGTTTTCCTGTGGGATAAATGCAAGTCAACAAATTGGCCTGACCGACAACCTGCAGAGGAAAGAGATAAACTCCTCCACGAACTGGACGAATGTCGAGCAGATTATAAAGCCCTGAAACAAGAGGGAAGAAGCGTCGAGGGTTTCACAGGAATAGTTATGATGATATATGATATAGTCAATTAATTACTTACTGGTAATAATCTATAGTCTTATGGCTTGCAAAAATCACGGGGACCCAGAATAACTGCACAATTTGGACGAATAGCGACACCAATCGAGCAGCAATAGCCAGTAACATCAGAGAACAAGTAGTCCCCTTTCTCCTTCTGGCTGAGATCTGTCATTTTCACCATGAGCTCAGCTCTGCCAAAATATTAGAATGCAATAGAGTGGTTCTACCGTCCCACACTCCCCGGGTATAGTTCCACTTAAGGGCAATGTATCAGTGGCCACACTAACATGTAAGATGTGCTCTCCCCCTCCTTTGCTATTAATATTTAAATCATACATAGTCTCCATCAAGTACCGGGCATATCCGTGCACAGGGGCGAAGCTCGAAAGATGCCCTCGACTTAATACAGAGAATGGAGTGTTACACCGCTAGATCCGGATCGGACATGCAGAGTGGACATGCAGGTTGGACATGTATTCATCACATTGATTTCTGTATCTTATTGTCAGATCGGATTGAGGGGAAAAAAGCAAAGAAAAAAAAGTAAAGAATGGGCAGAAATGAAATAAACGAAAGGAAAAAGAAATTATAGAGATCTTCGATCAGAGCGGGTCGGATCATGAGCAGTCATATCTTGCAGTTATTGATTTTTTCCTTTGGATCAATTACATCGACTATTGATTTCCATGCGTATTTTTACTCTTAAGTACCTGCAGATAGATATGAAAAGTTACTATTAAGGGTCAAATTCATCTGAATTATTGTGTGCATACTCCGTATACCTCCCTTGATAGTCACACTGCAGGTCCCAGTCAGGTATGTGGAATACTCGTGTACTTAACATCCTACTATATCGTATAGGTCTACATGTGTGAGAATATGCAGTGTCTCACAGATCTTCAAACAAATCTTCATCTGTGTTCCCTTCCTTTCAGGGCCAGGTCCGAGGTTAATAACTACAAAAAACATGCTACAGGGTACGTGTGACTGTTGAAACCATATCAAGACAAATGAAAATCCCCATAGGGAGACACATACATTCCAAATATGTACGATTTACACGATGTGGCACGAAGCTGTGCTATGACGGTACGCGACCAAAGCCCTGGGCTCCCGGGGACCAAATTGGAGATCACATGGCCAATATGCACATCTACAGCCTCTTTTACTGGCGAATTGTGGCAAAATGCTCTGAATCATGTTTCTCATGCCTATCATAAATTATTCTCTCACGGGCGGGGACTGGGATTCCCCGGGTGACAAATGCAGGTGATCAGGTTCTTCCGTACGGAGTACAGTAGCAGACATGATTCAATCTGGAAATGGGTGGCAACTCTATTTGTAGACAAATTATCATGTTTATACGTTATATTTCATACAGGATGATGAAGTTAAGTATTCCAAATTCGATGAAGATGTGATATCAGACAGTGTGGCTTGAAACAGATGAGATAAACCCAGTGGGCGATCGCTGAAGAGACCATAAGAACAGCTCCATGCAGTGCAATAACATGATACAAGATGCATAGAAAAGGAAAATGTAAACAGCATTGCCGCTTATGAATAAAATATTGTTGAACTTGCAAGAGAACCCATATGCCTGGCAAAAGCACAAGAATCCAACATGCAACATAGGTGTATGATCAATGCCGACCGAGTGGAATGAGTCAAATGCGATGATCTCCAAGCACACCTCGGTCCGAAGCCTGGTGGTTCTGGAAAGAACCATTCCCAGACTGCCGTCAGTGTCTCAGACAAGAACACCCAGTCGACCGAAGCCAGTGTAATCCTCCATAAACTTCATCGGTATTCTTAAATCGCGATCAATGAAGAGTAGGCTGTGCCAGCACAGCCCACAAAATCTCACAGGAAATCTCGAACCGGGGAGGCGAAGTCGAAAATGAAGGAAAGTATCGAAGAGACGGGATCGAATGGTGTGCCATTCGGAAAGGAAGTCGCATCTGCCCCCGCGACCGGGGGGGGGGGGGACGATTTTTTGTTTGTAAGTCGGTTTTTGTTGATCCGGTCAACCACTAGACTCCCCAGATCCTCCGGTTTATTTGGTATTGGTATCGGGTTCTGGCTTTGGTTTCGGATTTATTGTGGTTTAGATATTGTTGGTTTCATCCTCCGAAGCCGACTTTGTTTGCGCATCGGCTGCAGTAGTAGGAGTTCATGCCGAATTGAACGACGCTGCAGCCTGATTGGCCTAGGCTGAGAGATTGTTGGCACCGGGAACATCGGACGATGTCGAGAGTCTGTGGAGAAGTGGCCTCAGATGGACGAGCGACGCCGCCCGTCTGAGGTTGAGGAGTAATTTGCACTGGAGAGCTCATTTTTGGAGAATTTGACCGCGAGTGAGGATCTGAAGGGGAGTCGGGGGGGGTATCGCATGTTTTTGAGTTGACCCGGTTGAGCGGCCCCGTGATCTCTGGGTTTACCCCAGTTTTTTTCGGGAGTGATGATGATTTGACTTGAGAAAGGGATAGAAATATGAAACAGGGAAATATCCAGCTTTTTAAATTGTTTTCTGATTTTCTTTCGATTCTCCCTATCCCACGGCGTCTCCGTTTCCCCCCATTCTCTTGCCGATCATATATGTAGGACTACGTATGGGCTGCTTTTAGGCGCTCATTCGCATAACTCTGCTACCTAAACCTAAAACCTAAACCCATCGGAGATGGCGATAAACACATTCTCTTTTTTCCCTATCTAATTGGATCTTCGGCATTTTTAAGTATATCCTTGATTACCGACCTTCGGAATACTAGCAGATGGGTCTCGGTGGTGAGAGGTACTATATCGTAGACAAAAAGATTAATTATCCCCCCCACTCGATCCAAAACAGAACTAAATCAGAAAGGGGAATATTGTGGGAGACGCTATCCATGTACATTTACGTAGGTGTGCATCTTGGGCTTCGTGCCAACCGCACCCCAATATTTAGACATATGTTGTATAGAATGTATTTTCCATTTCTCGCTTTTACAAAAGTAGGCTGATACTTGGAATCTACCCGTGGACATATTCATACTGTTTGAATTGTTTGGATTAAATTAAATCGAAATGAAGATCATGTGGCCATTTTCTTATCTCCTGAATGTTGCCCAGGGCGGCACGATGCTTACATTCCAAGTTTAGAAATCACCTGGGCATGCAGCTAGCCCAGTTAGATTGGTTTAGATTGGTTTAGCTCATTGAAGTCAGAAAGGAAGTCGAATAAGGTGTGGCCAACCCTTGGAAGGGAAGCGGATATTCGGACGAACTTATTGGACAATCCAAACATCCCACTTGCGTGAAATCCATGGATTTCCACGAATAGAACCGTGGACGCAATAGCATTCGCCAGCGACGTCATATTCCCCTCAATCCGGCACTCCTCTTCTCTCTCTCTCACCTTACCTAAGTAACTTCCTACCTACGTTACAGCCTTGTGGAAGTATCCATCTCTAAAGGCCAAAACCAAAAAGCGTTTCGATCTCGACCCTTGCCCCGCCAAAAAATATCTCCTGCCCCTCATTATTGTACCACCCACACATCACCATGGCCACCGGACACCCCAACCTTCACAGCTTTCCCAACTCCGACGAGCTAGCTACGCAATTGCGAAGCTACGTCCTCCGCTGCCAGAACTCCGCTTTCTCCCGGCACGGCACCTTCCGCCTCGCCGTCTCCGGCGGCTCCCTGCCCACCGTTCTGGCCAAAGCCCTCCTCGCCACCAGCAATGGCTCCCCGGAAGATACCCCCCAATTCTCCAAGTGGCACATCTTCTTCGCCGACGAGCGTGCCGTACCACTCAACCACGAGGACAGCAACTACCGCCTGCTGAACGACGAGCTCGTCTCCAAGATCCCCACCGAGCTCGGCACCCCTATCATCCACGCCATCGACGAGAAGCACATTGGCGATGACGACCCTCAGGAACTGGCAGACCTCTACCAGGAGGACCTGATGCGCGAGTTTGCCGCCAAGGACAGCGTCAAGTTGCCCGCCTTCGATCTTATCCTCCTGGGCTGCGGCCCCGATGGTCACACCTGCTCGCTCTTCCCTGGCCACGCTTTGCTCCGCGAGAAGGACGCTTGGGTTGCTGCTGAGACAAACTCGCCCAAGCCCCCGCCTAAGCGCATTACCCTTACTCTGCCTGTTGTTACCCACGCTATCAGCATTGCCTTTGTCGCGACGGGCGGTGGTAAGAAGGAGATCCTTAAGCAGATTTTCGATCTTGAGGAGGGCTCCAGTCTTCCTTCCGCATTGGTCAACCAGGGCGCTGGTGATAAGGTGTCCTGGTTCACTGACCACCCGGCAGTGGATGGTGTTTCATTCCCTCGTCGTGGAAGCCTTTGAGGTGTGAGATCTCCTTGATGGATTTGAGATTTATGGATAGGGGATGACTTCCTTTCCGAGTTCGCATCCCCCGATCTGCCTTGAGTGGCATTGAATCCGCTGGCTGTGATGAAAAGTGATATTCTGCTTTATCCAGGACCGGTAACCCAAAGTTAGTATAGAATTCATATCTTGTTCCATCATACCTGTCCATCCGTACAAAGTAAGGATCTCTTTGAAAATATGTCCCAAACTTGTAAGGTCCTATTGTGTGTCACTAATGATTTTCCTCTTATGTCTTTTTGGGTCTTTTCCAGTTGGAGTGGTGTAAATAGTCCCTCTAAACAAGTCCAGAGACAACACATAAGCTTGACAGCTATCCAGGTCATAGTTGGCGTCCCAGGGCGAAATATCAGAGCCGGCAGCGACATTTATACGATTCGATCACACCATTTCTCCTCTCCCCTCTCGGAGCAGATAGCTAAGTCCATGATCTTTCGTATCCAGGCCTCTGTATTACATACGTAGTCTACTACATTTCTACTGACATCAACTTCTACACAAGTCGAACCCAAACTTATGATATACGTAAACCCACGATGTTGATTCACTTCTGAAAACTGTAATGACCAATCCAATCACATAAATCCCATTCTCCATAAAGCCGCAATATCTACATATGACTAGTCAATCCATAGCGATAGTCTGTATCTGCCCGGTTTGCAGTCACACTCGAGTTGAGCATAGTAATGCTATAGAACACATGATTAACCTTGCCTCCTTTGATACCGATATAGCTCAGTAACTTACCTTCACTTAGGAGCTGAAGCAATCTTTCCCGCAGTGGCATTCACCGGTATCGGTATTGCAGAATCCATATTTATCGGGACAGCACTTTTGCGGATCTTTGGCAGCGCATTGCTTCACGGTACATGCCCTCTTATCTAGTTCAGCAGGCGCAGCGGCCGCAAGCATCGCGAGAGAGAGGACAAGAGCGACTGGGACGGAGATAAACTTCATCTTGATGGAGTCTTTGGTATGAAGATTTTGACTGGATTGAGATGGATCAGATAGATTCTCGTAGCAAGACAGAAGGCTACATATATATCTTCTTTGGGTACTCCTCGTTCTGAAAGAGGGGTATATATCGAATCGGCGCCCTTCCTGAACCTGGCATAGCTATCAGGAAGGCAACTATACAGGAGACTGGAACATATGATCAGCATTGGATATCACAATCCATGAATCGTGCGCTATTCAGCTGAGGGGTGGTATCGAATCATGTCGTAGGCTTGGGATTCCTTTCTAGTTGCCTAGGTTTGAAGGATTGGTCGTTATTGACTGATGCGGGATTGATGCAGGTTATTCAGATTCGGCCTTACGAAGTGCTGATGGTAGGGCTATCAGAAGGAGTCATGATTGGTAGGATAGTGTCGATCCTTTATACTAAGCCCCTTACATTATGCTGAGAGTCCAACCACGGGCGTACCCGAGAATCCGTTGTTTGCCAAATTCAGCCTTCCGAGCTCCGTACTACCCCAAGACTTAATCGTGGAATATTAACCCTGCAGTGTTTGAGTACTACACGGGATGTGCCTCTATCCAGTCTGATTCAACCGCGCTCGTACATGATAGCTAAATTAGTAAAAATACCAAGACGATATTGTATAGCTAATGGTGGCTAACTGTACTAGGGGACATGCAATATTTGAGGTGCAAGAAGCTATGTAGAAGACTTCCGCCTGAGCCGGGTGTCTCTGCTCCGTGGTTAATGCAAGATTTTGGACTTTAGCCAAAGTATTTTGTAAGGTCGCTTGGTGGCTGAAACAGGCGGCCTAACAAGGTACCTATTTAGCCAGAAAGGGGCCAAAAAATGTCCATGGGTTCAAGTCATAAGACCAAATATCCATGTTACCTGCTGTCATATGCTTTGCCTAGATAGCATTAAGTGCGCATACCTAGACTAAAAGCATAAGATAATTCATTGATGACCTGGATATCCTGGGCAATCCTTCCAAACTATATTAAGGTCTCTATTTTGCCCTATGGATACAAAGTACTAATGTAGACAGTAAGCATGCATATGCCAAATAATCAATTTTGGGTGGTATGTTGTTTTCCTCCAACATTGTACATATTTCAGGGCGCTCAACGCAGTCCAGACGTTGTCGATCTCCCGTTTCTATCCAGTCCCCCGCAAATGCACGCCCCGGATTTTCCTTACGTATTGGCCATAGAGTTCAGCTCAGCCAAATGGCCTCTTAATTGTTTAGGTAATTATCAAGATGAAGTCAGGTAGTAAAGAAAACGAGGCGCGTGTGTTGGATATGGTGCATTTCAGACTATCTAGGCCATCGCTGAGACGCACTTGACCGCTAGGTACAAAATACAACAAACGACGTTAATGCAGGTCAAATAACCAACAACATAAGACAACACAACCAATCATAGTCTTCTACTCCATACATGCGCATAAGAAAGCTCAATTGTCAATACAGAATCAGGCCGAGACCCGTGGACCCCGGGGCCGTTTTGGCTGCCAACGTTGTATTGACCCGCTTTCTCTGTGACAGTGTGCTGCGCCTAGCTGTTCTTGCATTTCTCAAGACAGTACTGGCTACTCTATTATGATTAAATAATATTAGCCAAAAATCAAAGAAGGAAAGCGAAATGAACTCACTCCACCATCAATCTTGCAGAGGGTGTAGCAGTTGTTGGTCTGCACGGAACTCTCCCCGTCCTTGTTGGCTTCAAGGGGCGAGGCAAATGCCAGGCCAAGGATAGTTGCAAGAGCAAAAATGGAGAAACGCATTTTGAAGGTGTTGGTTTTGGATAGGTAGTTGGGCTTTTGGTAGAAATTGATCTTTGCGGATGTGATAAAAGTGATGATTGTTTCTTGAGGTAGATTGGAGGTGAAGCGCCTGCCTTTATAGTAGATTTGCGATTGTATACTATATAATATCAGCGCTCCATTTATCCCCTTTGGCTTCTATAGTAGATCCTCGATTGCATACCATATGAAATCAAGCGCTCCATCTATCCCCTTTCGGTACTAGGAGGCTCCGCCCCATGACTCGTGCAGGCTTATGTGCATAACCCTATCATGCAGGGAGAATCCTCATGGATGTTCACTCGTATTCCAAAAATGCCAAGATTGATCTGCACGGAGATTCTGCTGTTTGAGTAAAGACCTGCACGTTCTATGAGTTGTTTGTTTTTCAGCTTGAAGGCATTACAGCATCAGCTGATTCAAGTCCTGCAATGTAACCTCGAATTGCAAACTAGCAATGCATACTCCGCAGTGTTGGCATATTAGGCGTCCAGCCCGGCGGACTGCAATCTATTGATCCTATTGGGAGAAGAATCAAGATAGAATCAGCTCTATATAAAGCTCGATGCCCATGCGGGATAAAACCAATTCCTCAGCAGTCCATCCCTTCTACATTAATTCTTCAGAACTCTCAAACTTTTGAATTACTCCAAATCGATTCCTCAAACATGAAGCTGTTTGTTGTCCTGTTTGCACTAGCTGCCTTCGCAATGGCCGAAGCCGGTCCAAATCTGGAAGCGAGAGCTGGGTGCTCACAGAGGGGACAATACTGCAACGGCGGCACATTCCTGTGCTGCCCGGGACAAGGGAGCTGCAGTGGAAATGTGGTAAGTCCATCGCTACTCACTTCCCATAGATATGGTCAAACATATTAGCAGATGGCTGAGAAGAAATTTAGTGCAAGTGAACCACCATCTACAGCAGGAGTTCAGATCGCCTTAGGGTTACGGGATCCCACAAATTGGATTGTTGGGGCCGTCCATCTCTTTGGTCCCTTTTGGGTACTCCAGCCAGTGTGTTGCCGCTTCTAAACGGCCTTTGAGAAAAATGTCCATCTGCAATGGAAGCCAACAAGTCAATGAGGATTCATTGTGTCTTGCTAGCCTAAGTTCCTGCTCAATGAAGCCAGCTCGAGTCAGCAATTGGTCCTTGGACCAGGACTTCCACCTCAAACTCGATAGTAGATAGTACTGGAGTCTAGACCCAATCCATAGTAGACAAGAACTGTATCCGGCCTCTAACTTCGATAACATTATCCTGTTGACTTGATATAGAAGGTAGCGGGAAGATCTATCATATCAACGCCCTCGCCAGTCACCTAGAGGGCATTGCTGCTTGGGCGACCTAAATTACCAAAGAGGACATGCCAATTTTGATGGGGTGAGAAAGATAGGCAGTATATCTGAGGGCAAGAATGCGTAAAACATGTAAAACGACTTGAAGTTCTTTGTATAACGTGGGAGTGGTATATTGACGATATTGATGTCAAGCACGACAGAGAAAATACAATGTCCCCTTGACTTTAGATGCATACAAACCCAGTTGTTCATCCACATATCTTCTATGGACAGGCTCATCCCATGTGAGTGACCCATTTGCCAACACCACCACCAGCTGGGGCCTTGACCTGCCGCAGCCCGGCATTAGGATGGTTCCATAGAATAAGGCCGTTGGATTAAGCCTTTATCAGAACAAATTACTAGCCCCTGGTGAAATGCGGAGGAGAGCAGTTATCCAATAGACTTGTAAACGGTGCCCAGGGACTTAAATTTGAAATACAACTGTTCCTAGTTTCAACCCTTCACATCATGGTGTTCCTACCTACCTACATACATAGGCCAAGGGACCACTATGTCACTAAACCCGTGGAATTTGCCTGGAGCAGCTCGCTATAGTACATTATATACTTGAAGTTGATGCAGCATGTTCAATTCGTAGATCTGATCAACAAGGATACTGAGTATCGAGTTCACTGGTATCATTTAAACATTTAAGCAAACATCTAGACATCAATATAGAACTATCGTTTGCTCCACCAAGCTCAACGCCAAATATTCGGCCGGTGGACTTGACTCGCGCCATTTCAATTGAGATCGAGTCCATCATCCGAATCTCACCTTCGACGACCTCTCACCACCGCCACCACCCACATCTAATTAATTTTGATATCCCGAAAGCTCCCTTGAGTAAGTATTATATCCCAAAAGCAATTTTCACTATTAATAAAATACAGCAGAATGGCGGAGCGCGGTTCGCGAAACGTCCATCCGAACGCTATGACGCCGGACCGCGAGATCGCGGGTCCAGCAAACCCTAACCCCATCAACTTGACCTCGGACGCCGATACCAATGCACTGCTGGTGGACATTGGATTCAGTGATATCGAGTCGGATACTAGAGTAACTGATTCCACGGCGAACGTCGATTTGGTCGACCCTCACTCGGATATCAAGGTGACTCGCCGTGTCCGGTTTGACACCGAGGTCCGATACGGGCCTCCCAAGTCCCTTTCGTCTAATAATGCCGACTGGATCGGGCAACATTCGGACAATAGGGCTGACGTCGTTGCAACTGACGAGAGCGCGATCGAAAGCTCGACTGACGATTCAGTCGATAGCACTTCCACCAATCCAATTGAGACGGAGTCGGACAACGACAGTCACGCCCATGTTCGCGACGAAGGCGTCGTCGGCATGACCGGAGACCAGTATACCACGGAGTCAAGCAGCACCAGCAAGGAGTCCTCTGAACCGGACATGGACAATGGCGCTATGGGGTTTAACAGACGTGACCTGATCCGCTGGTTCGCACACGCTGATCTCAGGATCTCGTTTCAAGCCGAGACCAAGGCTTCCAGTCGGAAATGTGCCTTACATCCCCGTGGATATCGTTGAATATATCCATTCAATCCCAGAGCCTGAGGCTACAAGTGTGGCTTCCATGCCCCCGGATACAGTTGAAGATGCAGAGCCTGAAGCTGAAGGTGTGGCTTCCATCCCCCGGATACCACAGAAGATAACAAGTCGAACTCGGGCGATGAAGCCGAAGGTGTGGCCTCCATTCCCCAGGATGTCGTGAATGTCACAAAGGCGAGCTCAAAGTCCGACACTACCAAATCGGGTTCTGTTCCATCTGATACTGTGTAAGTATACCCTGAATTCGTTCTGTGGACATGAAGTCTAGTCAGGCAGCTACTGACACAGACGGCATTGTTCCATGCTTTGATCTATACTAACGCCAGCTGCGTTATATTAGTAACGGCTGGTCCTTTGCACTCGCCGCAGGACTATATACCAGGCTGGCGGCCATCAAATTGCATGAAACTGGCTGGAAATGGTCCTCTGGGATGTACCTACCCCAATGCTTTCTGGCTGCTCCAGGTCAGCTCCGGACAGTCGCTCATGAAACGAAAATGATCAAAAAGGGTGTTACCATCATGGGATGGGTGGGTTGCGGGTTGTACCTGCTTTACCGCAGAGACTCGACGGATTTGCTGGGAGAAGAGACCACGGAGTTGGCTGCATACCATGAGCCGAGTGGTTCACACAGGGTCCTGAGAATGAACCTTCTTGCTTGGAACGACGTCGCTTTCTACGCCATGGCCTCATTGGATGAACACGAAGCTCTGGTCACTGGACACCATTCTGGCTATGTGGCGGTTTGGGATGTCCGAAGAGGGTGAGTGTTCAATATTTGCTTCTGTTATGCCAATTAGTACTGACTTCTTTTAGCCATACACTCTATTCGCTCTGCGGTATTCGTGACACAGTATCTTGTATTGTGACCGAGAAGAACCTCGTTGTTGCCGGTAGCTTCGACGGCAACATTTGTGTCTGGGATCTCACCAAACGCACCGGTGCCGATGCCTCGCTGACCCTTAAAGGGCACACAGGCACTGTGATGTGCCTCAAGTTGCACGGCAAGTACCTTGTCTCCGGTGGTGCTGATCGGGAGGCTCGCGTCTGGGACCTCGAAACCGGTGAATGCAACCATGTGCTCGGAGGCCACGCGAAGGAAGTTCGGTTTGTATGCATGAATGAGCAAGCAATTGTCACTGCTGGGGCGGATGATATCCACTGCCCAGAATCAGAGATCCGCATTTGGCTGACGGACAGTGAAGAATTTGCGGCCGGGTATGTTGAATTCGGGAATCTCGTCATTTCAAGATCGGAAACTAACAATAATAATAGCCGATGCAACTTCAAGCGCGGTGCCGGCGGATTGGTGAACCACCTCCACCTGGTGGGAAATTATTTAATTGCAGCAGGGAATGGTGGCTCCGTCGTGGAATGGGACGTGACCCGGGGGGAAAAGCTGCTGCTCAACCGCCAAGACTCTGACGGGGTCATTGCTATGGCCACCTCAGAGAAGTTCGTGCTGGTGGGAAAGAAATCCGGCCTCTTGTACCTGCTGGATCGGGTGGCAATGCATCTTGTCTGGCTACAGGACGTCCCATCGGAAATCTTCCAGGTCGGCATCCTGGACGAGACTCGGGTAATCGCTGCATACAAGCACGATGGTCATGCCTACCTGACCATCTGGCATGTATAATGGCCATTTGGATTGGGTGTGAATATGTAGAGGGGGAGGGGGGGGGGAAGTAACGGGAAAGTGACGAGAAAGTGACGGTCGACAGAGGCTGCCTTCAACAGGCATGCTTGCTCGACGGGAATATATGGGATTTATTCACTTTAGATTTTCAACAAGTCTAAACAGTATTTTCATGGATATTCTTCGTTCTAAATAATTTATAATAAAACCCCAAGTAGTTCTGCTAGTAGGTTATGTATTTAAACTAGGCATGAGAACTGATATGCACTGGTTCTGTAGTGTAGTGGTCATCACTCTGGTTTTTGAAATGATTGAAGTACCAGAAACCCCGGTTCGAACCCGGGCAGGACCTTCTTTATTTTTTATTTTTTATTTTTTTTTTCATGTTTTGCTTTTTTACTATATTGTTATTTCTTTTTAACTGGTTGAATTAATTTCACGCAATTTTACTAATGGAGTATTTGTTGGGGCGGAGGGATATCGAAAAGGAGAGGTATAAAATAACAGAGCGGGTTACCATGGGAAGATCACCTCCCAGCACCTCCCCAACTCTCCATTTCACAACAAAGCACCCATTTCTTCTGTTGAACCCAGTGCACCATGCCGATTCTCATGTAATGACCTTGTACGATCATGCCCATCCCAACACGCTCGGCTTCGCTGCGCGATCCCCGTAAACAAGTTAGTCCGTTTGTTTACCCTCTGGCAAGCTCTCCACAGCTGTCGCATGCTGCTTCCATTGTGCCACCATTGCCATGCCAACAACTACATACAGAACCTATGCTAATTACTAAAGACTTCAAGTATAGCACGACCTACCACGAAACCCTCCACTCCGCTACCCGCCACGGCCGGCCCGACCAAGGACTCTGTCCGAGAGACAAATAACAAGAGCCGCTCACCATCAAATCCCTCGCCGGTCGAGGGTTTGGCTCTGAAAGACAATGGACTCACTGCCCGAGGAAGAACCCTACTCCCCCAGCGCAGTAACCTTGCTCAAGACAATGGTCGTGGAACGGGTCATGGGCGCATTCAGCCACCTAGCAGCAAGCCGAAACTACGCGGGGACCCGTCACCAACTAGACAGCGAGAGTTATCGCCGGCAAGAAAACCAATACATGCGGATTCTACAGCAATAAATACCACGGTGGCACCCAGCCGTCGTCAAAGCATCATGCGACCCGGTGCATTCAAGATGCCTTCAGCGAAGATTACAGTCCCTTCGTCAAAGAGCTCAGCGCCATCATTTGCACCACCATCGCCCCGCAAAGCGCCAGGAACGCGATCCCCAGTCCAACCTCCTACGACCAGAAGGCCCGCTTCACCCAAGAAGACAGACATGTTACCCCCACCCCGCCCCACACGGTCATACTCTTTGAGGCAACCTGCCAATGCCAGCAAGGAACCGCCCGCAGCAGCCAAACTCCATGCGCGCCATAGGAGTCAGCTGGTGCAGAATACAAAACAAGCCGAAACAACCCCAGCAATCGGCCAACGTGCACGAACACTCTCAACCTACCAACGACCGGCGTCCCCTAAGAAATTCTCCAAACCTCCAACACCTACACCGGGAGCCGAACCTCAGCCTGGGAATATGCTGATTCCTTCATCATGGCCGGATATTGCTGCACTACAAACTGAACTTCTTCAGCTTAGTCTTTTCCATTCTAACTCACTGCAAAACCATGCTGAATGGAAATCTGATTCCGAGTCACGTCTGCGCAAAAAGTACGATAGTGTCGCTAGCCAATATCGTTTGGTACTGGCAGATGAAACACAGCGGCAGTGCCAGCTGAATGTGCAGGCCTTAGGGCTTTGGCTTTCCAATTGTCGTGAACATCGCGGTCCGCATGATTTCTCCGAGCAGGTTCAAATTCTATCCCGGGTTCTCCAAGATGTCTCGGACATGATTGCTGGCAGCAGAGGTGCACATTATTCTCAGGCTGTGAAGATCTTTGAAGAATGGCTTAACCAAGCGGAGGTCATTCGCCATAGCCGTGAACCAGGGCGCGTTGATGCCGGTGCCTTTATTGACCCCCTGGCGCGAAGCTGGAAAGAATCATTGCATACTTTAAATGTGAGGTTGGAGCTCTGTGGTCGCGAATTGCAACTCCTCGATATCCTCGGTTTCGGCCAAGTGGAACGTCTAGAACAGTCTGCTCTTGCCAGAGTGGCCAGGAATCTAGCTGAATTGATACAGCTTATGACGCAGGAGATTCGTGCTATGCAAGCATTGGAAAGAGAAGTGGTGAGTTCAGAAAGAGATTCTGTCAGCCGTCTTGCGACGCAACTGGCGGGCTCTATGAGGGAAACGAGGGCACCCCGAGTTGGGGCATGGAGAAGCTAGTCTGCGGTTATATATGTTTAGGGTCAACTCGTAACATGCGAATACCCATAGCTAGTTTTAAAGCACCTGTGCATACACGCACATGTTATGTGGGAATAAAGAGGAAATGAAGATAATATGAATAATGCTAAATGGATGTGAGGGATATGAGTGATAGTACTTCGCCCAAAGTACCTTGCGGGCAACCATAGCTTGCGCGGTACCTAATCTGAGGTAAATTGATGAGTCAGCCATATCATCCCGACTTGACCTGAGGACTCCCATATATGGTCTAGATCTTGGAGTATCGCGAACCCGCTCGTTTTCCCCATACTTTTATTTCTATCTTTTTCACTCCATTGTCGCTTGTCTCTTTCTGCACCGTACATATATCTATTGGAATGAGCTGCTTCATACAGGGTGATGTAACCTTGCAAAAGTTATCTCTCAGCTCTCTTCTTGACGTCATCCACGGCAGCTTCCGTTTTGACAGATAAAAGCCACCCGTAAAGAGACGGTATCCACTTACTCAGTACCTTTCGAGATGATCGCCGATCGTACCTAGCGAAGAACTTCAACTTTATCGCCCATCTAATCCAGTCATCATGAAAGACTCGCTCTACGATCGCCTTTGGCGCCGGGAATGTGGGGAAAAAGCTGCAGTATGCTGGGCTTCGTGGAATTTACGGATCCAACGAATGGATCAATGATCTTGACATTGTGAATGAGCTCGGTGGGCATACTGGATGTGTCAATGCCCTCAGGTATGTCTACAGCTTCGACCTAGGACGAGGAACTTGGTTTTATCGACTGGCCAAAATTTCCGCCATCTCTGATGCTCGTCATGCTAACGGCCTGCAGTTGGTCAAAGTCAGGGCGTCTTTTGGCGTCAGGCTCTGATGATAGATACCTCAATATCTACTCCTACCAACCGGACTCCTCCAATGCCCCATTCGCGCTCAATACCACCGTTTTCACCGGCCACAAAGCCAACATCTTCTCCGTCAAGTTTATGCCACACTCGAATGATGGGACTCTCAGTTACATGTGCCGGCGACTCGCAGGTTCGCGTCTTCGATATCGAATACTCAGCAAGGAGCGGAAATGATGCTGCCACCTCCGCATTTGCAGCCTCCACTCGGAGCCGGCGCTTTAATGAGTTCTTTACTGGCACGCGGTATCTGAGTGACGGTAATACCAACGCCAGATTGTATCGAAGCCACGCCGATAGCGTGAAGCGCATCGTCACCGAATCGTCACCGTTCCTCTTTCTCACTTGCTCTGAGGATGGTGATGTCCGCCAGTGGGATCTCCGACTACCATCTAGTGCATACCCTCCGCCACGAGATGGCCAGGGCTTCAGGGCATACCGACAAAGGTTGGCACATGATGACCCCAATGTGCCACCCCCTTTAATCTCCTACAGGCCATTCAAATTGGACCTCAATACCATTTCCTGCTCGCCAAGCCAGCCACATTATATTGCCTTGGGCGGTGCACACCTCTACTGCTTTTTGCATGACAGACGGATGCTTAGCCAGGACACCTCCGCTGCAAGGAGCAGGGCTACATCAAGCGCTGCTAGTCTCAATAATGACGAGGAGATGAGCAAGGCGACGCGATGCGTGCGACGATTCGCACCCGGCGGCAAGCACCCTGTGAAATATGACGATGGACACATCACTGCTTGTAAAATCAGTGATGCAAATCCCAATGAGATGGTTGTTAGCTGGTCTGGGGATCACATCTACAGTTTTGATTTAGTCCGCAGCCCAGATGCTCGAGAGACACAGGCGGGAAATAAATCAACTCTCAAGGGCAAGAATAGACAGGCTCGCCGCAGTTCACGGAGCCGGAAGCGCAAGAAGCCCGGAACACCTTCATCGCAGGAAAGTGGTGGCCGACATCAGTCCCATCGTCGCTCAGTAGAGCCAGATACTTTTAGGATCCAATACGAGAATGGCGAAGCAGAGGATGTTCCATTCCCCACGTTGTCAGGTAGTGTCCTAGACACCAACCCCGAGCATTTGCTCGAGCGGGCTCGGTATTCTGTACTGAATGACGCCCAGCGATTGAGCATGCAGATCGCAAAAGGGTTGGTAAAACTCCGAAAGTCGCTGTTCTCAGAAACTACAGTTCGGGAGGCCGCAGGGTCTGAGGATGTGGGACCCGAATCCTACACGAGATGTTTTTCATCCGCCCTGGAAATTGCGTCAACGATCCTCCCGCAAATGGGCGATGTCATGCGCGAATGGAGCTATCCCATGAACCCATCGCAGGAGACTGTTGATTTCCAGCAATCACTTCGTCGCAATCGCCAATCTTCGTGGAGATTTGTCCAAGCTGCTGGCACACTCGCTCATGCATTGGCAGATCAAACACAAGTTCCGGAAGAATCAAACTTCCAGATGATCAAGCCTGCGCCGGGCGAAGATGACCCCATTGACCCAGCATCCCAGTTTGGCTATGAATTTCTCCGAGCAATTCTTCTCTGGCTGCAGGGCGGCAGACAGCGCCTTCTAGAGGGATTTCAACGCCGCAACGCCCCTCGACGATTACATTGCCGATTCCCAATCCCAGATGAATCGGAAGAGGATGCCATCGAAACAATCCTGGTGCCCTATATTATGGACTTGGCGCGTGACACTCCGATCGTGAATGTGGATGCCTCCAGATTCGAGCATGACAGTACGCGCGTTCTGTTCCAGACCCAACGGGCTGCGGTGACTGCATTTGGGAATGCTGTCAGGTTACCCTTGGAAGATCTCGGGGACTCAGCTGCTCGATTCGACAGGCGACGTGTTTCTAATCCCGTCTCACAAATTCGCTCTCTCGACCGTGCCTCTGCGAAGAGGTTCTGGATTTTGCGAGTAGGCAGAGGAATCTTGATGCAGACAGGCAGTGAAGTAAATTACAGATTTGTCAACAATGCTTTCGGCGGACTTCACGCCATGATCGACGAGTCTGAGAGTGACTTGGATGAAGAGAGAGACCAGGCTGATATCGATCCCAATGAGGAGGAAGAACGAATCCAACACGTTGAACTCATCAGGGCAAGTGGTTCTGTTTCCGGGCAGAATAACCCCCGGCCTAGAAGTTCCCAAAGCGATGCAGCTTCTTCGAACAATAGCGACGTTAATACAGGTGAGGATGGTAGTGATGATAGCCAGACACAGGAGTCAACCGATGACGAAGATCTCGATGGCTGGCCCATGGATTCCTCTTCGGATGAAGATTTTGAGGAGTTCGATTCCGATGACACTATGGCCCAGAGATATGCTATTCGAAGGGCGCGGCGTGAAATGGTCGAGCGCCATGCTCCACGTGTACCTCATATGCGAAGCTATCGCGGCCACTGCAATGTCAGGACCGTCAAGGATGTCAACTATTTCGGACTGAACGATGAGTACGTGGTCAGCGGCTGTGACTCTGGTCATATATTTATCTGGGACCGCAAGACGTCGAAGCTGGTCAACATCCTAGAAGGTGACAGTGAGGTTGTCAATGTTGTTCAAGGTAATTTCCTTCACTGGTTAGAAAGACAAAGGTTAACATGGTAATTTAGGCCACCCCTATGAACCAATGATCGCCACTTCGGGAATCGATAACACTGTCAAAATCTTTTCGCCAGACCAAAACGCTCAGAATGATGCCCGTAACGGTGTAAATATCCTCGACCCCGACAATCCATCTAACGAGTTTGGACGAACCGGCTCCAGTATCGGCGGCCTCGAGAGCCGGAAGCGAGTTCATGAAAGCTACCGTATCATGAGCCAAAACGATGTTGAGCGTCGTGGTGGTATGAACGAGGCACACATCACTGTACATTACCTGCCCTCGAACTTTATCTAGATCTCTTTGCTGACTTGACATGAAGCGGAGTATGCTCGAGCGCTTGGCTGGTAACCTTAGGGGCCAACATGGAATTGGTGATATTGCTATCACCGGTGATCACCCGACTATTGTCATCGATGATAATTGCTCGGTATGTTTGGATTTCTTACTGAATTTTGGGAAACAAGACTAATCATTCGATAGGTGATGTAATGGATGAATCGGCAGAGCTCCGGATATCTGCATTGCACAGTGTGAAAAGGATCATCGGTCTTCCATAACCCCATAAATTTATTGTTATAGCATCGCATTACATTCTTTAATGCAAATAGGCACTCGTTTGCTGGATCCATTCATTCAAGCACTTGCCCTTCCTATATATATTTAGGTGCCTTCCCTTCGTTATGAAGCCTAACAGGGGCTCCAAGGTTACCCCCTACCTTCACCCCAACAACTACGAAACCCCGGCTTTTCTATATTTAAGCAACGTTACACACATCTGTCGGTCCACTGAAGCCAGATCTTCTACTTTTCCTATATACCTCATGTCAGGAACTTCTCTATTCGCGACCCACGTGAAACTCTCGCGTTCAATGGGTATCTTGAAAAGTATGTCTCCATCGCGACTTGTTACATCAGAAGCAACTAACCGGAAACAGAATGGGTGTGAGACTGCCCCTTTCTCGGTCTGGCCTCTAGTTAGCGGTATGGAAAGTGCTATGCTACGAACGCAGTAGACTGGGACCCCGCTAGCCGACTAGCCTTTCGAGTTAGGTAAAAAATTCTCGAGGGGAACAACCATGTTGTAAGAGAATTATACCCATTTCAAAGGACGTAAAGCTCTCTTCGCCGCCAGCACTGACATTCCTCGTTGACAATATACCAAAGGAGATGATTGTCAAGTCTGATTACCATTCATCGTCGTCGCGAGAACCACTGTGGCCTTGACAGGGGAAAGCCACGTCCACCTAGCCGCTGCCTGGTTAAACAAAGCTGATAAGAACGTCAGAGCCGCCGACATCGCCTTTATTATCGGCCTGATCATTGCAGACAAGTCCTTCGTCGGAATGCCAAGGACAATCGACAGGCAAATGTTCTCCCACCTTGGCACCTACCCAGCAGGCTATGGCGACGAACAGGCTATCGCGAAAGTCCGGTTCCCGAAAGAATTCTCGTGTGACACCTCCGGAGACACAATGAGTACCTCTATTCCACTACAGAGAGCAAACTCCCCAAAAAGCGAGACAATTTATTGGAGGTGACTATATAGCAGATATCTAGCTGTGAGGCGAAGACAAAACAGGTAAACCCGCCTGGGCAGTTTTAGCTTTCCAGCCAACATTTAAGGCTTCAATATTCTTATCAAACTGGAACTCATTCTGCGTTCACATATTCCCTTTAACTTACAAGTAGTTTTCTAAACTAGAGTGTACATAGTATACGGAGTACTTATAGTCGTAATCTGCAGGATACGCTGCTGCCTGTTTTGTGGAGCATCAGGCCCATACTGTACTCGCCTTCGACAAGTGGCGAACAATTGGCCAATTCGACGGCGGTAGAGCAAAAGCGGATATTCTCAGCGCTAAAAGGATAAGGATTCCAAGTTACAAAGGAATACAGATACCTGATTGACAGGTTATGGTGGCATAGTCTGCCTTGACATTCAAGAAGACTTGGTAGAAGCAGCTTTGTAAATTTCGAAGCGAGAGGCTAAAATCTAGGCTGGAAGTCACAAGTCCCTCGCAAATTATTATCATCTTCTCGCTCTCATTGTTTCTAGATGTAGTTTAGAGGATTTTCATCTTTGATCGAGATTAATAGTCCTATAGCCAACCTTCACTGGAGAGAACTATATATCCACGTGACTGCTCTTATCGTAGAATTTTTCTGCGATAAAAAAAGAACTTGCCCACGAATATCGATGTACAGAGGGGCAGACCACGAACTGCTTATACAAAAGTGAAAAGTCATTGGATATTGTGTCCATGCTCTAGATTCAGCTGCTGAACTCTACAGCCGACTCTCTCTTACCACTCCACATTTCCCAACCTGGTATCACAGCTTGATATCCATTCTATACTGCGTCTTTGGCTGTCAAAAGCCAGTGTATAAAAAGTTGTTACATCTTTGGGGGGGAAAAAAAGGAGAGTAAACATATCACATTATGTCTGCATCGCAAATACTCCAAGCTCGCAACGAGACAACCACCAGGCTCTATGCAGACCCTCACAACCCCCACCTCCACCTTGAACGAGGCATTCAGTATGAAAAGTTGGGCTTCCCTGATCTTGCCTCTGCGGATGCATACCGTGCGCTTGCACTTTTAGAGTCAGTGGTTGACCCAGATGAGTGCGAGTTCCATGCCAGGCGGAAGGTAGACCCTTCCGAGCAGGCTCCCCAGAAAGCGGCGAATGAATCGGACGATGAAGACGAAGACGACAACACTGTTCCCATCACCCAAGAGGAATATGACGCCATCATTGACCAGGTGTATGTCCTTCTAGTACGCAGTCTCGTCCGCTGCGGCTGCTACCGCGATGCATTCGAGTTCGGCCTGCGCGGGTTGGCACTGCTCGAAAAGAGATCCGCAATGGCGTCAGTAGCTATTTTGAACGCACAGATGGATCGTGTGAAGCAAATATACAAATCTCGCACCAACTCCGAAACCGAAAACATCGACCTGGACTCAATCGACCCCAGTGTTCTCCCTGCACAGGGCTTCGCCCGTCGTGTCCTCTATCCCTGGAACGAGCACGAGCCTGACCGCCGCTCACCAGAGACCCTAAACATGCTCAACGAGCGACTGGCAGTTATTGCACCGAAATGTGAGGTCCGCGCAGTGGCCTTACCACTCCTGCATGCCTCAGCAGACGACGCCTCGTCCGGCATGGACGTCTCCGTGCAGCTTGGCCTCTTCGCGAAAGAAGATATCGCCCCAGACGAGATCATCCTCCGCGAGTCTTCACTTCTCACAGCAACCAACCGTCTCCACGACGATCTCTGCGACGCATGCAACGCACCACTCCCAGAACTGTCCGCCGCCGAGCCCCCCCGTCGCCTGCGAGGGCGGCTGCGTAGACATCATATTCTGCAGCCAGGCATGCCACGACAAAGCGCAGGAGGTGTACCACGGCGCGATCTGCGGTCTCGAGGACGGCCTCGATTCCATCGGCAAGGATGTCCCCGACCCCAAGGATAAGGCCGATTACCTGTACCTTCTTCTGCTTGGCAGAGCGCTCGCCATGTCAGCCACACAGGACAAGCACCCGCTCGAGCTGCCTGAAGTGAAATACATCTGGGGCGATTTCCACGATTTCGATATCGAGGCTGTCTCCGCGGAAGTAGAGACAACGTCCACTACAGACGATACCGCCACTCTCCCTTTCTCCTTCCAGCTCAATGTCCTGCAGCCGGAGCGTTTCCTCGATGAAATGGGACTAGATCCTTACACCGTGCTCTACCGCTATGATACCTGGGTTCTGAACACGCTCTTTGCTAAGTTCCGCGGTACGGCATCGGGCCGGCTGTCGACTTGGGATGGAGGCCCGGAGTTGTGCGCTGTTCATCCGATGTGGTGTCTTGCGAACCATTCGTGTGATCCTAATGTGACCTGGGAATGGAGTAGCGAGATTAATTTCCGCGCGCGGAGAGATGATGAGACGGCTGTTTGGTCGCGGGGGCAGGAAATGAAGGAACTCAGGCCTGGGGGTATTGCGAAGGATTCGGAGATCCTGAATCACTATTGTGATATTGGATTGCCGGTTCAGAAGAGGAGGGAGTGGGCTTCTGGGGCTTTGGGTGGGACTTGTTTGTGTGATAGATGTGTTTGGGAGGCTGGGGAGGTTGAGTAGGTTGGTGTTTATGGGTTGGTGTATAGATCGCCTTTATAGATCATGATGAGATACCCTTTTGACTGCATTAAATGAGAATATCGCTAATGGCTCCTAAAATCAAAGACTTATTACATGAAGTATACACGGTGGTCTATTTGGATATGTTTATTTGAACATCGGATATATGGAATCCGAAAAGCGTGGGTACACCATGAATAATCGATTTGCTCCTAATGAATCCCCATAATTTTCCAATTCCTGGCACCAGACCGAATAAAAGAAGCGCAGTGTCGTATTTTCGCTCCAAATACGCACTATTTCATTATCAACAGTAACATACGGACTGTGAAGCCGATCCCGAAGAAGTCGGGATCAAAGCATCAGAGGCTCCCGATTTATCTACGCCGAGGCGGCGTCCGCGAATAGCTTCGACCCCGTGATTCTGCGCGACGCCTAGGAGGAGGTGAGCGGGAGCGAGAGACAGAGTCTGTAGCATCACGTCGTCGGCGAGGAGGGGGTGAAACAGATTCAGTTGAATATCTTCTACCTCTGGACGCTGGCCCACGACGAGGTGGAGGTGTGACAGACCGGGAAACTGATCTAGAGTAGGTGCGGTTTCTCCGGCTAGGAGGGCTTTGGCCTCGACGCGGCGGTGTGACAGACCGAGTAACCGAGCGACGAGTTCGATAGGGACTGCGACTCGGGCTGCGCGAGTCGTAGGAGCGGGAACGTGCTCGACTGCGCTTGGCCGGTGTGCGGGAGATGGATCGGGAAATGGATCGGGATCGGGAGCGTCCTGCGGGGGTCCGGGATCGACTGTCTGATACGTCACGACGGCGACGGACTGGGGACCGAGACCGTGAAGGTGTGTAGCTGCGGCCCCGGGAAGAAGGAGTGATGGAGCGAGAGTAGGAACGGCCGCGGTCCCTAGAAGGAGAGCGGGAGTACGAAGGTGACCTGGAACGGCGGGAGTGAGGAGATCCAGTGCACGTTGAGCACATCGACCGGGATCGATCAGATGGAGTGCGCGAGGGAGTCCGAGAGGCCGCTCGTGCAGGCAAAGCGGGCACCGTAGGACGGGGAAGGGTTTTGAGGTTCTCACGCATGTCCTCTGTCAATACACCCATACCGATACTGGTGAAGTAGTTAACAGAGAACCTAGTGTGGCGTGGGTTCTCCGTCGGGAAGAGACCCTCGAAGCTGGGTCGCAGTATATCATCCCTGAAGCGGGCCTGCAGACCAGGCAGACCGAGATTCTCCGCAAGGTTTTGGAACAGGATCTTGATGAAGATACGGCTGCTGGATGTGGTCTCTTCTTCGTTGAGATGAACCACGGACAAGACATGCCAACCGATCGCATCGTTGCTGATGAGGTGGCCGAAGAACTGGGCAATGTTGCGCAGTTTGTTTGTTTCGTAACGATGGATGGTATCGTAGTACTTGGCAAAGGCAGCCTCGAACAGGTCTGACCAAAGTCGGTTGATCTTGGCGAATCGCTCTCCGATCAGGCCATAGAATTTGGAGTATGTCCGTTCCTGAGAGCAACATTCAATGATCATGGAGGGAAGTTCATGCTCCAACCCGGCCGGCAGGTTGATCTTCATCAGCTTGTGGCAACATTCTTCGAAATCAATGCTGGACATGATTGTGAGGTAGATTGTTCGTCGAAGGTTGACTAGATCAGTATTACTCTGATCCTTGATATCCATCTGTACTTCTTCCGTATCGGATTCTTCCTCTTCGCTTTCATCTGACCTTTCCTCGTCTTCCTCATCACTCTCCTCGCCCAGGATCTCGGCCTTCAATTTCCTGTAAGCCTCCTCATGCTCCTCCCATTCTGCATCGTACTTGAAGATGTTGAGAGTGTCTTGGGTTTCCAGCTCATCATCCAAGCCGGCACGGTGTGTGATCTGATCTTCCTCCTCCACTAGGTCCAACTCCTCCTTGATTGCTGGGTTGTCCTTGTACCGATCCTTGCGCACCTGGAAGAGTACCTCGATCATGTATTGCACACGCTTATCAATATCGGCCTCGTGTAGAATGTTTCGGAATTGGTCGAATACGGCGAGTGCGATAGGTGCATTCATCTCCTCCAGATGCTGACCAACTTCTCGAGTGAGACCCACAGCAATCTCCACGCTGTCGTCCGTTGGCTTGTGCAAAAGAAGCAACAGGATCTGAGCTGCCAACATCTCGTGGGCGACTTGTTGATTGCAGAGATGCGCGATAAAAGTTGTAGAGGAAATGCAGACCGCCTTGTCGTTTCGCTTGAAGGCCTTGCGGAATTGGATAATCAACCGGGTAAGCAATAAATCGCCAACCTGCGGAAGCTTGGTGTTGACGATAGCCGCCATCGCTGCGTAAATCGGAGTGAAGGGTAGACTGGCCGCCTGCGCCTTCATGATCGACCGACAGAATAATCCTCGGCCCCTCACTAGGTTCTCCGCAAAGAGTTCAGGAACAATGAACTTGATGTTGGAAACGTTGACTTTGTTGATAAGACCATTGATCGATTTTTTCAAAGCTTCCCACGCCATGCGCTGGTATTCCTTGCTCGTCTTATCCGTGATTTGCGCCTGTAAGGCACGGAGTCGGGCCGGAGGGATGTAAGTGCCACCGGATCGCATGTTCAGCAGCTTTTCGTATTCTGCCTTTGCTGAAGCCTGTTTTTGTTCCTCGGTCATCGGCTTGCGCGCCGCTTCGCGCTTTTCATGTTCGCGGACACGTTCAGCGAGTTGCCGTTCTCTGTCGTCTGCATGCTCTGCGTCGACGTTCGGAACATGGGGGCCATCTCGAAGGGAATCACCAGGAGGCGATCGGCGACGATTCGGAGACGGTGAACGAGACGGAGGTGAGCGTTTTCGAGAGGCTGCGGCTGGCGAGTACGACGCGCCCGGGGGAGGCGTGGGCACGCGCACCGCAGACTGGAGAACATCCGATTCGGACATTTTCAATGAGTAAAGAGGCCTCCGGGGTAGAAAAAGGTTTGATGTACACCGGAGGAACGGTGGTTGCGAATCTCAGCCGGACTGAGGTTAAGCAAAATGATTCAAGGACGCAGCAGGAGAAAGCTCTAGCGCTGCGCACGTGACTAGAGAGAGGCCAGCTAGGAACAACGGGAGCTCCTGAGATCCCTGGTAGTTCTGTCCAGCCCAGGATTCATCGACGTTCCTTCATATTTGTTTTCTTTTTCAAAATTACCGCTCTTTATCAGAATGGTAAATTGTCTGGTCCCATTCAATGGACATTCCCCACTGACTGTACTTTAGCTGGGCCAACTCGTGGGATCCGTCATGCTTTTGGTCGCGACTGCGATCTTTCTCTACTACACTGCGTGGACCCTGTTGATGGTATGCTAATTGATGATACTGTTTGTTTTTTTTTCCTAATGCTGAGGTTTGTTCTACAGCCCTTCGTTGACCCCGGCCACCCTCTCCACGACATCTTCCCGCCCCGTGTTTGGGCCATCCGCATCCCCGTCATCCTCACACTCTTGGGTTCTGCCGTGGTAGGCACCTTCATCGGAATTGTCATGATCAACAGCAACAAGAAGAAGGCAGCCAAGGCTAAAGCCGCGGCTAAGAAGAAGACCTAAGCGACCGTGGACATCATACTAGGAGAGAGGGCAACCCTCTGTGACAGCACTCTGTACCATCAACCATGCCGAAGCTCAGTGGCTATCAAAACACATCCCAAGTTAATTTAATTTGTTATATTGAGGCGCCTTACAAACAACTTTCATGCTGGATGTGCCTGGTACAAGGTGCGGAAAATAGTGGAGGATAAAGTGGCCATATGAATGTGAATATCCATGGATATGGACCATATAACCACGTAGCCCAAGCAAAAGAGCCTGAATTTGCCGGCCCAAATGTCATTTGCCATCAAAGCCCAGACAAGTCGTCATTTTTCCCATGCCGCAAATGTCCTGTGACCTCGGCTCCAACGATGACGCCAGCCATCCCTTCAACGGCGGGTCAACTTTATCGACAAAACAAACAAGGAGTGGCTAGGACTGGTTAGAAAAGACACGGGTGGACTCGGCTGTCGCCTTCAACCATGCAGTGTCATGTCAAAGCATGCAAGGAGGCCAAGGTTAGCAACAACTAATGACGCGAGATGCCTGCCTGGGGCAGACCCGTCGGACCAGAAGGTATGACTAAGAGGGCCTTATCGGTGTTTGCATGGTTTGACAAGTTTCCCCTCATCTGCATTGTTCACGGCCACAAGGTACATTGTAGAGTCGGGATTGGTGAATGGAAAACAAAGATAGAAGGGGTAAAGACCGAGGATCAGATCATGCTTTCATTAGGAATGACACCGTCAGAGGATTATTCCGTGCTCTGACTCAGGCCCTGTTATATCCTATTCCGCCCTAGCAGCCGTACCTGACTGGTGACCTGGGGTCAGCTTTCCCCCTCTTCTCTTATCGCGAACCATAACATCATCCTTCTTCCTTCTTGACTCATCTTCGGACTTCAACCTTGGAACTTGTGCATGCAAGTCATTTTGGATTACTATTTTCTGCACCAGTTTGAACTATCTCAAGCTGTTGCTGTGTTGTGCTTATCTATCAAAGCTTCCCCGCGTGTCTGGAGTGACCTCCGCTCTAGATCCGCTAATAGTGGTGTCTACAATCGCCACTCCCGTATTTTTTTAAAGGATACTGTGAATACAGGTATGCATAGTGTCTTCAACCTGTTAGGATGTTTGAGCATTTGATTAATTCCGTGAAAGCCATCCTCTTTAGTGACCCCTCCCCAAGGCTCCCGTGCCTAGTTAGGATCCCGAACAGAACGCCTGCATATCCGTTCTCAGGCCACACATAAGGTCCTGAGAGCGGCTTCATTCTGTTGCTTCTCTATCGCCTCTCACTGAGGCATCATCTATTTGAATGCTCCCGGCCGCATCTGACGATCTCATCCGCCAGCACAGCAGCCGTTTGCCCGAAGACGATTACCCCCTCGCCCCGGAGCACAACCGGACCATACCAGAGCATGAACCAAGTGCGAAAAGCA